GAACCGGCCGGGAGTTTACGATACTAATGAATTGAGATGACTTTGATGATCTGACAAAACTTTAACCTGACGCGTGAAATTTCCCTTTGACATATCGTGATGCTTGCGAGGAAAGACGACACAATCCACATGTGATCCTAGGTAACCAAGACTGATGGAGGTTTTTGGATAGGATGTCTTGAAGACTGGGGGAAGGAAGTTGCGGAAATTCTCCGGGCCATTCGGGCTTCCTTCCGATTCAAGTCCTCACTCTGTGGCCCCTACCCGTCAACTTGAGTCGTTTTTGAAGCAGCAAAAGGGTTACTGGACTAGTCAAGCTTCCTCTCCCATCACCATCATCAGGCGCAAAGATAAAGGCAAGGCCAAAGAACCATCATCTCCGCCCTCGATCCTCCACATAAGAACAAAGGCAATGGCGAAGTGGCCGATAACAGTCAAAACCACTCCAATCCCTCTGCCTGGATATGCTCAAGCGCCGTGAGCCGGGCATCTGATGGACGAGCACCCCCTCGTCTCGTGAGATCTTCTTTGGGTAAAGGGTATAAGATCCGGTATATAGGCCTCCTGTGCTGGGCTCCTATGCCTTCTCCATATGCCAAGCTGGGAATCTTCCGCTTGCGGTTTGTTGCGGTAGAGGCTGTGATGACAGCCATTTCCCACGCTGGTATTACAGTTGGGATGGACTACATAGGTAGTGTATGGTCCGACATCGTACTATGGCCAAGATAGAAGGTGGAAGCGGAAGTACGAAGCGACATACCTTTCTCTCCCAATAAAAGATGCAAATGCCTGGACTTCTCGTGCCCTTATTGTAAGGAGCTCTCGGCCGCTGCACATGGCAGGACGACGTGTTTGGTAAGTTAAACTACTACCTCGAGGTTACCTCTAATCTGACGGAGAGAGTTCCTTCGGAGGTACCTAGGGAGCCTAATAGGGAGCGTGGAAGCCAGTCTTATACATATACAGGCTGCCGTGTGGTAGTCCAATGGTCTTTGAGATTTTTATATTTATTAAAAACTAGCTAGCCAGCGAGGTCATGATGTAGTGGGAGTATGGTGTTGCAGATGTTTTTAAGACGTGCTATCGGTTGTTTTCTGTCAACATCTAGTCGCAGACTGGAACTGAGTGGGAAAAGACTGGATACCTATGCTACCTACCTCTAGGTATGAGAAAATAGAGAGGAAGGCACTAACTGCCACGGTCACGGTCACTGACCGTACCTCTAGAGAGTGCGGAGGCAGTCCCAGTCCTTACCTACCTAGGTAGTCTGGTTCCTTTTACCATATAGAGCTCAAAGAAAAATGATGGCATAGGGAACCACGACGATACTTCTTGAGTTCATAAAGACGAGCTCACAAGAACGTAGAACGGTGGAAGAGCTCCCAAGTGATCATTTTCTCAATACTGAGAGCCTCAGTTACAAGTATAGAGGTAGGAGATAGAGGTAGCCATCCTCACAGATCCAGAACCGAGTGGAAACGAGTGCCAAAAAGTCTCAATGACCCGGCTCTCACGCTTTGTTCTTCCAGGTCCTGATGCAGAAGATTCACTCCGAGACCTACTCCCTCCTCAATTTTGCTCGGAACGTACATCAAATAGCCTTTTTAAATGATCTATCTCTTTAACATCATGGCATTGGCACCACCCTTTGTACCAGCCAAGGATAGGTTGTAATACCGTTCTCACTGTGTTGTCCATAAGTGGGCAGCTATCACAATTAACGCAAGAGGGCCGAGAGCAAAGCGGGCATACAGGCGAGATCGCAATGGCAATCACTTTTCGTTGGGTGCACATGTGGCTCATCGACTACGCTACGGTACGTTTCTACATTCATTCAGTCTAGCTAACTAGGTGCTCTGTTCTACTTCCAGCCAAATTCCTATAGGTACAGCCACCTGACATTGACCATGAAGTCCAACATGCCCTCCTCGGCATTTCTATTTACGTCTTTGACCATTCTATGGCTTCCATTCACTGAGTAAGACCTTTGTCCTTGAATCCCAGAGACACCTGAACTCCTGCTCATGCCATCATTCCACGCCTGGGTATCCTCCACCAAAACCAGAAGCTAAAGGTTATCTCGCTATGAAGGAAAGCAAGGATAAAGAATCCCCCTGGTGCCAGGTACATAATCCGTACATGCAAATCGTCAAACAGAAGCTCCTACTACATTTTTGTTATCATTTCCACCTCCTCTCAAATCGCCCTTGAGATTGTTTCTCATGCAAACTCTTGGGATTTAGGAATACTTGTCCATCCTCCCTTGAAAGAGCTTGTCCAGAGCTTTCTTGCTCGTCCTTTGCCGATGTGCACTCCTTTTGTGCAACTTGATGCCTTCCACAATACTGGCATTAACAACTCTTCCTTCAAACCATTTTCCCTCTCACCATCACCCCCTAAGCCTGACCAGCCTTTACCACCCCTTTCTTGGGATTGACATCAATGCACGTCTGGTTCTCGCCAAACGACTTCTTGGGGTAGATATTCTTGACGAGGCACTGAGAGTCGGGAGGAATTTCCCACTCACCGATCCAGCCCGTGTAAGCCCTGAACTCCTTGCCTCCAACGATTTGCCACTTGATACCATCACCTGCCAGTACCTTGCATTTCAGAATTTGGTTTCTGGATGACTGGATGATTCTCGTGTCCATGCCCTTAAGAGAGAACATTTGACCAGGGGTGTTCTCCGGGATACAAAATATTCCTGAGAACCTCTGGGATGAGGCCGAGGCTTGCTTGTGTGGTTGTTGATGGGTTGCTCTGGGCCTGTTGTGGATTGTGAGGTTGGACATGGAGTTCGTTGTCGAGGAACCAACAGGAGTAGTAATCTGAGGAACCTGTGCTGAAGAAGACCTGGGCGATGTTTGTGGATGAGAACGCGCTGGCTCGTTGCTTGATGTGGCATTGTTTTGCTTTTCCTTCGGCATATTGTTGGAATTGCCATCCTCCTTCCTGCGAGCCATTGTCTTCCCCGTGTAGCTCTGAATAGCTCCATTAGGAAACTTGGGCATATTTCTGTAGAAGGAATTGCAGCATAACCAAACACCAAACCGCTTAGCGATGGGTACGGAGGAGAGGAGATAGCGAGGCAGGAAGACACAATGAGGAAAGGTAAACCCGCATGTACGGCACCGTCCACCATTATGAGTAGGGTCGGGACAAGCGGTTGCACCCTGCCTCAGATGACACTCCATCACCCGGCAATATTGAAAGCCATTAGTAGCTGGGGCGGTCCCGCCAAGGTACAGGATCAGCGCCGAGAGCTGATTGATGCTGAGGGTATCGAAGGCGGCGAGTCGACCTTTCCAGTCCTCCGGGAGGTCTCTACGTCTGGGAAGCTCGGTAAGTAGCTCAGAGATCGCTGCATCATCTGGGAGAGGTGCCGGGCTTTTAGAATATTTGATCATGTAAGTCCAGATGGGTGAGGTCTCAAGGTTGCGGCGCTGATCGACGACACGACGGACAGGATCGTGAGGTTGTCGGTCTACAGGCGCCTGCATTCTCCCGTTGCGATCATGCACCGACTCGTCAGGGCCGTCAAACCGGAGGGGATCGTCTCGGAAAGGGTCCTTCTGAGCCTCTGCTCCATTGCCACCTGAACTTTGCGCCTCCCTCTGTGCCTCGACTCTCTGGGAAGCCGAAGTCGCCGAGTTGCTCTTCCTTTGCAATTCAGCCAAGCTAGGCTTGACATCCTCCTCGTCGCTACTAATGTCGATAGCCTCATGGATGGAGTTGCCGGAGGGACGGTCAACAAGTCCGGAACCGGGAGCTGTACGACGAATGGCCGGCAGTGCAGCAATAGAAGGGCTGGGTGCCGGAAGCGGGCGAACTGCTGCCGGGTTGGCGGCACCAGAGCGGGGTGTAGCAAGCGCCGGGCCGGCCAAAGGTCTAGATGCAGACGCTGTAGTGGACGTTGTCTGGAAAGGGGCGGCAGGAGAAGGAGCGGCAGAAGGGGCGACAGGAGCTGCTGCAGGCTGCGGCATGTTGGGCAGCTTGATATCCTTGACAGCCCTCGGGTTGACCTTGGATTCCCAGTTCTCCGGTGGCTGTCGAACATCATCACGTTTACGCTCGCTGTCCGGTTCGAAGTAGCCCCTCTTGACCACAATGGAGCGGAACTTGCCGTCTTTATCTGGAGTCATTCGCTTTCCGAACTCCCAGAATAAGCCGCGACAAGCTTCGTCGTACAAAAGCAATTTGCGATGCGCCCTCTGTTTGGAATTGATGGTCAGCGGTCACTGGGTTACTCATAGTACAAGGTTAAGGGATAAACTGCATGAAATGTGATGCTTACCGAAAAGTGAGCTCCGAGCTGGGAAGGTTGTTGGAAACAATCCCTACAACTTGCGAGGGGGCACACCCATGGATCTGAATGGTTGAAGTTGATTCGGTAGTTGGTCGGGTACATCGCACCACTACCCGATATAGCCCTCGGGAAGCCGTACATCTGTCCCTTCCATTCGTCGTACCTCCTATGACCATCATAGGGGCCGATCAACACTGGAGGGTCGGGGTTGTTGGAGGCGGAAGCGGGTTTAGAAATCGAGGCAGAGGTAGTGCTTTTCTTGTTTGGTCGGGCACTATCTCGTTCGTCCTCCCACTCTCGCTTCCTGTTGATCGAGGGCATTGTGCCGTTTGCAATCACAGGAAGGGAGGAAAGCTTCAGTTGGCGGCGAAGGACTCTTTAGAAAGAGGAGTGACCAATGATTAACACAAGTTATGTGGATTGATGTAAATGTGATGCCGCTTGAAGCGGCGGGAAACCCAGTGAAGTGGCGGGCAAGATTCAAGTCCAGGCTCGCTTGGGGCAGGAAGAAGGTGCAGATCGCGAAATCTGCGAGGGCTAAAAACGAGAAAGTCGCGTCGCTCTGTGTCTGAACCCAAAAACATGTGGGACTGAGGGAAGGAACGGCCGTGTGCCCTGGCGGCCGGCATGGACCGGAAGGTTGACACCCGGCTCCGGCACTTGCCATCACCTGGAGGCGCCATTTGACCCTCTTGAGACCTGGTCATGCTTCATTTCTTTAGTATAACTTCCGTATTTCAAGGCAAAGCCAATATACGGTAGAGGTAGGTATGTATCCAGCTTTTAGGTACCCTCCTCTCAACGCCTCGATGTGAACCCAGAGAGTGTCCAGGCTCCCAGATAGGTATCTTACATAGAGAACACAGAAGACAAACGATTCATCACAGTGGTACCTCTAGGCAGAGGTAGCCAACAAAGAATTACATCCACGAAAAGAAACTCCTTCTCATGTGCAGGGCGTTGGTCTCATTGACATTGAAGACGAGACCAAGGTGGGCAAGAAGTTTTTACTTTGCCCAAATCACTCATCAAGTATGACAGAGGCCCCAGTGAACCCGAAGGATGGAATTCAATAGAAAAGACTGATAGATATTCTTCCAACCAGCACTACTCCTTTGGTGACATGAATGGAGGTGACATGAGCTTTTTGGCCCCATGGGTATTTCTACGACGACGACGAAATCATGCACACTCTGTCGTTGTCCTTTTGAGACCTGTGGAAATCTTCTCGACGCTTAATCGTTTTCACCCCGTGTCCGCTCAGTGCGATGGTCACGGCCACAATAATGTCACAATGCCACGACAAAACACCTTCACTGTCCTACGATGGTCAACATGCTCCACACACTGCACTGGGAATATAACGAGTGTTTTGGGACCTCACACACAGTTTGAGACCTTGCCTAGAGGTAGGTAACTTCATACGTAGAAAGTTTCATGAGTTCCCTCTACCTAGCTAGTAGACATTTGTCCTGTGAAGAGATCTGGAGACCCAAAAGCTACCGTCTCAACTTTGGGATGGTTCTGTCCGAAGCTTGCAGGGCGACCAAAGTGTTTCTCGTGAAGAGGAGCAGGTATCTGCCTGGCATTTTATACACGTCTTGCTCTCCCCCCTATCATCCGGTGACTTATCTGGACTTCATCAACGGTGCTGAGGCTCCTCTGTATAGAGGTAAATAACTAAACCAAAGTACATCTACTTGATAGGCCATTGTAATGAAATAATGTGTTGTGATAACAACAAAACCTTTGGTTCTTGGTAGGTAGAGGTAGGTACCTATTGATCGCGTTACGCTTATCCCTGAAATCCCAGATGAGTTAGGTACTTCGTACATGGTGCTCTCGCCTTCCTTCCAGAGCTAGTAGATCGGATTGCTAAATCTGGGCCGTCCTTTCTTCCTTGAATCACTAGGCCGTTCCCCACTCCCAGAGGTATTCGATACCAAACCTTTGACAAGTGGAAATAAACCTACACTATTGCCCCAACTTTGTTTGCACCGCGACTTAATCCAGGTAGTTAGGTACGCACTTCAATTACCTTCCATGTCTTCACCCCGCTTCATCGTTCCCAACCTGACCTCCTCCCGACCTCATCTTGCAACTGAACGACTGGCCCATACCAGTAACGCCAGGATCTTTGCTCAACAACCCTTCTACCTGACTCTACCAACACGCTCGCTTACGCCGACTTTCAACCCCATTCTTTCCTTTTCTTGCCTCTGTTTTCTGCCACGCCGCCGACCCCTACGTTTACGTTACCCGCCGTCGGGACAAAACTCTGAACAATGGCGGGACACCCATCGGAGCCGGTGGCAAACTTGACCGTCGTAGATGGAAAAAGAAGATACGAAGAGTGGGAAGGCAAATCTGGTGATTCCAGTCTACCCACCAGAAACTCCTGCCTTACGACCGTTGTTTGGGCCTTACTGACTTCGCGCTTAAAGATAGAGAGCGCCAATCAGCATTCTTCCCAGAAATTTACAAGCCGCTGTGTCTCTCTTCAAAGCCCAGGATTTGGCACTGCCCTGCCCGAACTTGTGGACAAGCATGCGCGAAGCGATCGGACATGCGCGATCATCTCAAGGTAAGAGCATTCATGCGACACCCTAGTTTGAAAGTTGGAACCGCCGTACAATGGACTGACAATCTTGTACTTTTTTCTTTACAGAAGTTCCATGCCGGGAGAATTTAGCACTATCACCTTGACAGTACATTCGCTAATGGATAACCTAGCTCTCTTCAACAAAGGGATGTCGGTGAGGGATTGCCAAAAAAAGGGCCAGGTGACAACTTATCCCTGATTTGAAAGCCTTAGAAGAACCCGCAAGAAGGGGGAAATGCGTAATCGGGTGGAAAGACATGACCGCGATAGAGCGATGGGGAAAGCTGAAAGCATTACATTTGTTGGTCAAGCCTGACACAACATGATGATCAAGGGAGAAAGCAACTCTGAATTACCTGTAGCCAGGCTTAGGAGGTAAACTTTAAGTACTTGCAACCTCCTTTCGGTCGATCGCTCCTGCCATATTGTTTGACGGAGAGTACAAGATAGCTCTTCCACGGGGAAAGATCACCTACTTAGGAAGAAAGTCTGGTGAACTTCCTCCAGCTTACTCACCAAAAATGAATTATGCCTCTGCCTTTTGTTAAGATATTCGAAAAGATTGCAAGGAAAAGGAGACTGCCGTCGGAATGTCTGCCCCTGCTTAAGATGTGAAAATACTTGTTGCCGTCGATGGATTCAAAAAGCAACCAAGGGGTTGCTCGGGCACGCGAGTCAATCATTGGTGAGCTGAGCGAGTGGGAACCTAATGGTCGGAGGGATGATTTGCGATTGCGTCCACCTTGGTATAGGAAAGAGAACCAAAGGTACGACGGATGAACTGTGAATGGAGGAGTTTTCAGCAAGTGGAAGGAATACCTGATGCATAAGTACGTACAGACGCAGAAGCATGCATGAGAAGTTGAGGCAGCTACAGCACGCGTGCAGGTTGAAATGTGTTTCCGTTCGGAAATCGCTGCCAACCAGATTCAAATTCTCTTCTGGGGTAAAATCCTGGCTGGATTTGCCAGACGACTTTTGCTTCCTTCTAAAAGCAGATACCTAATCGGATTTTCTTTTCCAACCTCAGCCTTCAATCTCCTCACAAAAATTCTACAATCACTTCCGTGGCACTAAGGCTCGTGTGCCTCACGTTCGTTCCAGCACTTCTATGGCATACTGCGAGTTGATAGGAAGGGGACGGGCCGGTCGTGGGTGGAGAAATTGCTCTTGAAAGAGATGGAGAGAGAAATGACATTGGTGAAGAGAATTAGCAGCACCGTTGCTGAAGTATAGATGCATAAACGGATGATATGGGAGAGCAAGGCGTGTTCCAAGTACCAAATATCTGCTCTCCTTCACAAGCAACAGGCTGATTGCCCTTAAAGCTTCGCACAACACCTTCTCGATATTGAGATGGCTTTTGGGTTTTCAGGTATATTCGAGGAATAAATGTTTTGCTAGAAACCGATAAAGGTTTCCATATATACGAGGTACCCAGGTAGTGTACACTAAGATACGGTAAACGACTCCATGCATGGTCCGTAAGCGCTCCTTCCTTGGTTCCTTGTAGCCATAGTCATAGCTACTCTAGGTAAGCAGAGGTAGACTTTCGCTTCGGTGTGTTTATGGGTATTTCATGAGAGAGCAAGACGTGCGTTTTAGTTAACTGTCAAATGTCGAGAGCTACCACGGCCCGACCTCGTTTATGGAAGGAGCTGGTACCGCACTTTATGCTCTTGCCTACTTTATCTGAACAGCAATGACATTGTCCGGAAAGTTTCGAACAGCGCTTTTCAAGGGCTGTTTGAGGTGGCTTTTTGCGTCTCCAGATCCTTTCGGAAGACAGATGTTCAGTCACCTTACCTCAAGGTAGGACAGGTAGTTGAAATCGATGAAGGTTACCTTACCATGTATGATGCGGTACGGTGGCAGGCAGGTTGCCGTCAGTGCTGCTCTCGTCCTTCCGACCAAATCCGTGCCTGCCGTCATACCTCTGGAGGCTCAGAGCTTGCTCAGGAGCGGGCCAACAACGGAGGGAAGGGTGTTTCTCATTGGCAGGCACTGCCGAAAGTTTGAAGGTGAATGTGAATGACTGAGGTGTCCCTCTTCCCTTCCAAGTCCCAAACACGCGATTTTGTTTACCTACCTTCTCCACCAAATTTCACCCAAGCCTCACCTTGCTGATTGAGAGACCCGGTCAAGTTGATCTACCATCTCACGGGCAACACAATTCACACAAACTGACCGCAACACGATGCCGGCACCACCGCCATGGTTATCGTCCAAGCCGCCGAGCTCGACATCGCAGGCCAGCTATTGTGAACCAAAGTCACCGATCATCAAGGTAGAGCCAGGCACAGAGGGGTCGCCAGAAGCCATGGCAATGTCCAGTAGCGCCAAGACAAAGACAAGAAGCGAGAGTCACTCTGGTACACCCTTGCTGGAGAGGAAGAACACAGAAAGTGTGAGAAGATTGACTTTCGCTCAAGAGAAAGAGGTAGTAGCATCCGAAACCTGGCAGTACATCAATGGTCTGACACCAGTTCCCATCCCAATCCCCGTTTTTCCGAGCGCCATGCGCGTAGTCTTGCAACTTCCACGCCAGCGAGACTTGCCAGAGGCATGGAAACTTCGACTTGCTTCGGAGAAGCTCAGCTACACTAACTTAGCGCTACTCATCAATTACCTTAATGGTGACGCACCCAAGGATATTCTCTGCAACTCCTCTGCCGCCAGCTGTGCTGAAAAATGGAGATCGGTTGTTCCTGCCATCGCCAGTCTAGAGGAAGGAAAAGGAACCATTTACAAGGACGGCGCATTCCCTCGCTGTGTATTCTTACCTATCGTCAAGGAAGAACACCAGGCATCCAGCAAAAGGATCTGCTGCAATGCATTCTACCGGGATTCGGACAGCCCTTCGACGCCGGGCATCTGGTCGCCACCCAATCCTACCCACATTCCGGGTTTATTTCTTGCATCTTCTTCCTCTTTCTCGTCATCGTTCATCAAAGAAGAGCCCCGCATAGAGGAGGCTCCGATCGCGCAACACACACCGAAGAACAAGAGCTCCAAAAGGGAGGAGAGAAGCGACAGCCCATCTGACTCGGGTCCACGCAAGAAACAAAAGCAGAAAGTCGTCGAGAAGCCGAACTTTGAAGAGTTACAGAAGAGGCTTCAAGCAAGCGAAACATGGCAATACATCAACCGTTTCACCACTTGGGAGTATACCAAGCCCTCGGAATATGATGTGAAAAGCTTCGAACGCCCTCGCAAGCGCAATCTGCCCATTGCATGGAAACGTAGAATTGCTGTCGAGAAGCCAAATATCAAGATCAGGAGACTGCTTGTTGGCTACCTCACTGGCGACGAAGAGTCAAACTATCTCTGCAGCCTTCCAGGCGCCAACTGTGGCGAGAAATCGGAGACAATCAGCCCAGCCATTGAAAGCATGCAGCAGGGGAAACTGGTCATTTACAAGGAAGGCGCTTTCCCTCGATGTGTCTTATTCGAAACCTCATCCGGCAAGAAGAAGTGCTGCAATGCGGTTTACCGGGACGCGGACAGTGACTTTATGCCACTCATTTGGTGGCCACCTACTTCCGTCCCCGCTCCGGCATCGTCTGCCGTGTTGCCTCAAGTGCCGTCACCGGTGTTTTCTTCGTCGTCACCTGCGGCATCCTCGTCGGAGTACTCTCCAGAACCCCCTACCGCAGTTGAGAGAGCACTTCCAGAAAACCTCGACCCAGAGATCCCAAGCCATCAGCCTCACCACGAAGCACAAGCTCAGCAGGAGACTGGGTACCTCGCCGACCTCTGGGAGCAGCGAAATGAGGCAATGTACCTCTCCGGACCCATCAACGGTAAAGCACATACCCCATTTCCCCCAAATCTTATATCGTCTCCCTTAAATGCAATACCACTGACAACCTCTCAAGTCTCAACCAGCTACGTCCACTCAGCCGGTTGGTTTCACCAACGTGAGGGACAAGTTCTTCCCATCGGCACCGACGGCGCAACTCTCCAGATCCTCGACTTGGAAAACAAGGGCGCCACGGTCCCACTCCCGAGCGGCTCTCAGAATCTCTTGTGCATCGTCTTCGAAGGCACTGTGGAGGTCATCCTGCAGGATACGCCTGTCTTCACCCCCTCGCGTGGTGGCCAGTGGAGTGTGGGTGTCGGAAAGGAATGCAGAGTTCGGAACCCGCGTATCGGAACGAAGGCCGTTCTGTACAACATTGGGGCACCGGTTAAGCAAAACGACGAGTAGATTCGGCGACTAGATGGGAAGAAAGAGATGACTTGCATGGAAGACGTTTCGCAAGAAGGAGGTGGCTGGATTGTTTTTTTGGGGACAACATGAAGTACTGGCGCTTTATAGTTGCGATACCCCTCTGCTTTGATTGCTTTGGTTGAACGAGAAATACCCGTTCTTATGTTGGCTTTGTTGGACGGAGATAAACAGATGTGGCATAGGTCTTGCGATCATGACGAGACGGGGTCATAGTTCACGCAAGCCACGGTTGTGTAATGAGTTCTGTATAGAAGTTGTAACAATAGATGACCATGATGAAAATCAAAAACTCGAAAACCAACGGCTTGCTGGTTGCCTTTTATCATCAAGAATGTCGCTAACATGATGTGAACTACACCACGACGGTCTTCTGGGAAAGGGAACAGGAAATGCAACAGATCAAAGGTGTAAGGTGAACAAGAATTCTTCGTAAACCACTTGAGCAGAGGCAAAATGTGAGGACTACCTCGACTCGGCGCCAACTACGCCGGTTTGCCTCGGTTCGAAATTCTAAGAAAAGAAGTAACATAAAGCCAGGGGTATATGGGAAATGACAAGGAAAATGAAAACACCCAGACTCCCTCTTCCATCATCTTACCAATAACGCCTCCAGGCTATTGATGTCCTTCTCTTTCTGACCACCAAACCCTCCTTCTTGACACTGGTCCTGCTTCCACTCTCCGTCATTGTCCTTCTCTTGAAGAGCAATCACTCCTCTCGCGTCATATCGCACCTTACACCACTCAACAATCTCTCCCCTTTACACTACAAAACTCGACATCCTCCACACTACAACCACCCCCCTCTTCAATCCTCAGGCCACGGCACTTCCTCCCCCCTGCACCAATACGCATTAACACACGTATACCCACCCAACCGCTCCCTAACCGCCTTCCAATCCTGACCTTCCCCAGCTGTCTCCTCCATTCTCTCCAGATCTCCCTCCTCAAACGCCACACACCTAGGGAACCCCATCTCTTTCCTCACCACCCTTCTGTCAGGGTCAGGATGCGGAGTATTAAACTCACACGTAATCTCCTCGAACCGACTCTTCTCGCTCCACTTCCTTCTTCCGTTCTCATCCCTACCCAGTTCACGGAAAGAATTGACCAAGACATGAACGGGACAGCCCTCTGTGCCGCACGGTGTGGGAGTGCGTGATTTACGTGCTCCTAGGTACCATGCTATGGTAGTGAGTTGCTTCATAGTGAGTGGGCGTTCGGTAGGGTGTTGTTTGAGACGGTCGCGCCAGACGGTGGGTAAGGCGCGACGGCGCGGGAAGGTGAGGAAGGTGTGCAGGGCGGCGTCCTTGGGGACTGGAAAGTCCGGGGTGGGACGGGGGAGGAGGGCAAGTAGATAGGTCCAGATTGGAGAGGCATAGAGAGTCGCGGAGCGTTGGGATAATAGGGCGCGGTTGTTTTCGGGGGCGATGGCGGCGGGAGGAATCTCGGGGAGAGGTGGAAGGGGTTGAAGGGGTTGAAGGCGGCGGAGGGGAGACGAAGCGGCGTCGCGGACTGGAGCGGCTGGGAGAGGAAGTTGGGGAATTGGTCCTTGGATGGCGGCGGGCGCGGAAGCTTGACGGGCGGCTCGGCGGGCGGCGAGAGGTGGGCGGCGACGGCGCGGGGAAATATTGGCGAACTGAGCGGGCGCCGGAAGAGCAACAGGTGCAGCAGCAGGTACGGCCGCGGGAGGCTGAGGTGCGGCATTCAGCTGGGGCGCAGGTTGAGCGGCAGCAGCAATGGCAGGCTGGACGACAGGAGCGGGCGCGGCTTGTTGAGCCTGGACTTGCTGAGCTTGAGCAACCGCTTGCCATCCAGGGTTGGGAGCACGCCTCACGACAACTGGCGCCCACTTGCGCCGTCCATTGCGGTTTTCCTTGTCCGTTGGCACTCTCTTCCTCCCAATTACGTTGAACCTGCCATTCCTGGTATCGAACAGGAGGGCCTTCCGATGTTTTTGCTGCGATAATGTATTAGCTCATAGCTCTGAGGTGGGTTGATAAACCCCAAATGAGAGGTGTCATGTTGTCGGTAGATATGAGAATCAAGGCACATACTCTAAAGTGGTTGCCCACTTTATAGGGGAATTCGAATGCTAGCTCACAATTCGTGATCGGGCATCGAAACGGCTTGGCCTGGTCCCAATTGGGCTGGTAGCCCTCAGGAAAATAAGCTCCATTGCCTGGGTATGTGACAGTCTCGCCGTGTTCTGTGATTTTATGTTAGTAATATAGGTGACAGACAGAATGGCGCGAAGGAATTGGAATCGACCTACTGTCTAAGCCGCACCACTCATCATAACGACGATTACCTGACTTTATAACCACATAACCGCCGCACTTTTGCTGGTTGATCAGCCAGGGCTCCTGCGGCGGGCCATCGTCTTCCGAGGAGGAAGATTCAGACGAGGGTGAGGACTCGCGGCGACGACGGGGCATTGTCGAGGTTGACGTGTACCAATGGCAATGGAAAAAGGCAAATTGGTGGCAATGCGGTTATAGAGTAGCAAGTGAACGTTGGTACTTTTTGCAGGTGACGGTTGTAGGTTGTTGTGTTGTTGGCAGAAGAAGGAGGATGGAAAGTAAGGTTGCACCATCAGGTCGGAAGTAAAAAGAGTTGGGTGAATTTTTTCCACCTGGACGGGATGCAAAATTCTTGACTTGGGATGCGCCCTACCCGGAATCAATTTGTGGCTGCAGACGTCAGTGCCGGCTGGCATTAGGGTTTGCAAACCCATTGGGACTTGGACGAACGGGATTGGGAGATCACTTTGTTCTCACCTTGGAGTTGAAGCTCGTCATGATGGTTGTAAGGTGAGAGAAGGGTGAGAGAACGTCAGTCAGAGGTGGAGTGGGGGAGGGTCGTGGTCAAGTCGAGAGGGAACACCGTGGTCTTGCAGTCGCCACCGCGAGGGTCCTTCAAAGACGAGGTAGAGCCTCCGTAGTTGATGACGGGAGAAGAGAATCGGTCTGTTTCTGGTGGTAGAAGACCGGAGCTCCAGCATATTGATACCATTCCCACAATAGAACATGGAAGAGAAGCAAATAAATGGCAAAAATGAAGCGAGAGAAAGAAGGTAAGTGGCCGTATGAGCATATCAAGACCGAGTGTCGCCATAGCCTCTCGAAGCACTCGTTACTCCTGATTAGGGGGGCAGCTGCTATCCCAACACCACCACGACAAAACAGCTGGAAACAACGTAACCGACCATGATTCAATGACCACTGGGTCATCCAAACGGTTCAAAGTGCACTGTTGTCGACTGTTATGCTTCGATCAGGCCCCAGCTTGGGAGGTTGGAGGCAGAACCTCATCGGGAGACATCCAACATAGATCCGCAATCGACGAGATCCAGAGTATCTGCCATCTGTAAGCCCTCGCTGTACACATCCGGAATGTAACATGTCTCTCCTGCTTTTGATGGGGGAAAGGCTGTCTCGAGCTTGTTCAAGAGACCGCTTTCGAGCAGATCTCTTCTTCAAGCATCGACTCAGCAAAACATTCGAGCTCACCCAACCTGGCCAAACCGTACAACATCGCACTTCCATCGTTGTGCATAACATCACTTGTGACCAGATCCATACATTTCCGCCTTGGCCATCCCACCAACATCAGAGCATCCCAAGCCAGATGCCCGTCAAGCCACAGCTCGCCTTAAAGATGCCAAGACCATCGCCCTCACTGTTTTCATGCGGCACGAAAAGGAAGTGAAAGGGAAAACAACTTCCACGGCGAAACCAGGTCGGCAGAAAAAGACAAAGATCTTAGTATAATAATAACACATGGTGGTACATCACCTTACGTATTCTAACACCCTCTCCTTCCCTTAGTCCTTATTCTCCGTCTTGGAGTCCTTCTTGGGCTCAGCAGCAGCCTTCTTCTCCTCAACCTTGGGCTTGCTCTCCTTCTTGGCGCCCTCAGGAGCCTTGGGCTTCTCAACCTTAGCAGCAGCAGCAGCAGCAGGCTTCTCAGCCTTCACCTCCTTCTTCTCGCTCTTCTCAGCAGCGGCACCACCCTCCCTGGCCTTCTTGGCCTCCCTCTGCTTGGCCAAAAACTCCTTCCTTTGCACCAACCTCTGCTCCCTCTTCTCGCGCACACGTCTCCTGTACTCCTCGCGTCTATCCGCCTTGGCCAGCTTGCGCTCCTTGATGCCGAGCAAGAAAGTGTTTCTTCTCCTCCTGCGGGCGCGGAACTTGGCCTTTCTGCTGCCCACCTTCTCGGTACCAGGCACAGAACCGGGGTCGCCAATCAAGCGACCAATCTCCCAGTTGGTCTCGCGGTAGCTGTAGTTGTTCATCAGGCGCAGGACGCGCGTGCCGCGGCGCGCGAGCATCTTTTGCTGCTGCAGCTTGCGCAGAGCCGATTGTCGGGCGTTGTACTCGGCGCGGGCGGCGAGCTTTTCCTTGATGAGTTCGGCAATGACGGAGGGGCCGCCGTTGTTGCTGTTCGACGTGGCGGAGGCGGAGATGGTGCTGCTGGAGGCAGGGACGGCGGCGGCGCCGGAGGCTGATACGCGGGCGCCCTGGCCCTTGACTGCCTTGCCGGCGGCAGCGGGCGTCGTCACTGCTGGTGGGGGGATCTCGATAGTCTCGTGGCGGGTGACAAAGAGGGGGAGGCCGGAGGCGGACATGGTGGGCTTCTCGACCTCTTCGACCTTGCGCGGCACGGCGACGAGACCGAGCTTGCGCTTGCGCGGAGCGTCCTTAGGATAAGGGAGCTTGTCGTTGCGGTTGAAGACGACGCCGATGTACTGACGGTCCGGGTGGAGCTGGGGGTCACGGTAGTACTTGACGTAGCCGGCGACGGCGGCGTGGATGGTGTGGTCGCGGCCCATGATGGTGTTCTCGCCGGGGTGCCATAGTGTGCCGCGCTGCTTGTAGATGATGTTGCCGGGGATCACGTACTGGTCTTTGAGCAAAAAGAGACAAGGTCAGTCAGCGTCGGGGACAGGGCACTTGGAGTGTTGGTTGCTGCTGCGCAATGCGCGCAAGCCGTGTATGGTGCATGGTGAAACATACCACCCGTCTTCTTTGCGCCGAGCTTCTTGGGGATGGTCCTCTTGGGCTTGAGCCTGTAGGCACCCTGGGCCTTGACACTGGCGTAACGGCGACCCTCGACGGCGACATTGCTACTTGTTGGGCCGATGCGGAGGTGGGCGAACTGCTCGGAGAGGATTGCGGTCGCGGAGACGGAGGAGTGGGTGGTGGGTAACCGGCAGACGGAGTGGCAGCTGTTGGCAGCAGCCCTCGTCAAAGGCTGCCGCAGCTGTGCTAGATGCATTGTGTTTGTTGTTTGTGTTTGTGTTTATGAATTCGTTGTCGTCGGCCCGAGGCAGTCGTCGTCGTCGCCGTTATCCAGTCGTTCGTGTCCCAGGACAAAGTTTCGAAGACACCACACACGGAGGGGGGGGGACACCGGGGCGGAGTGTGGGTGTGGTCGGAGGACGGAGGTCGGAGGGGGGGGGGGGGGACCTGCGGGCGGAGCGGACGGAGGAAGGGTTGCCAATGTCCGCACGACGCGCGGGGAGTCGAAGGAAAACCAAAGTTCAAAAATCGGGGCGGGTCCAGTCCAGAGCCGTGCCGTCCATCGTCGTCCAGGCGAGCGAGCGACCGAAAAAAATGCCCCACTCAAAAGTTGAGGTCGCACCAGAGCCGCGAGCCGGAGAGAGCCAAGACTGAGTGGAGGAGGGCAGCCGCATTGACCACCGCGGGGATACTTTCTGCTTAGTCACTTAGTCCTTAACCACTTAGGTTAAAGGTAGCCATGTACCAAGCACGATAACACCGATAAGAGCTGAGTCCCATCCCGCATGGATCCCTTCCCGTCGCTGACGATTTGGACAAATTGGCCAGCAGGTCCCTTGCAGTGGACTGGCCCCGTAGCTTCCAGCGACCCCAGCACTGTTTCCATCACCAGGGGCATCGCCATCGCCCAGCCAGCCAGCCAGCCAGCCGTGTAATTGACAGCTTGCCAACATCGACGTCCCGTCGTCCCATCGCAACCCACGCCGCGAGAATCACGACAACACCACCGGTTCTTTCGAATTGGATTCCTCTCCAGTCCAAACCTACACCCTTCAACGAATCCGAACCGTCAAAATGCGCACCCTCTACCTCGTCCTCCTCTGCCTCCTCACCCTCGCCTCCCCCATAGCCGCTCAATTCGGCTCCTTCTTCGACCAAATGTTCGGCGGCCACGGCGGCCACGGTCACCAACAAACACAGCAGCAGCAGCAGCACCAAGGCCACGGCCACCAACAGCATCCCAACGTGCCCAGCGACCCGTCCATTTACCAGGCGAATTACCAGCGGGCGCATTGCGACAAGTACTTGTGTCCTGATACTTTGGGTATGTCTTTTCTCCACTCCTTTTTCTTCTTCTCTTTCTTTCCTTGTCTTGCTTGCTTGCTCTGTTGGCTGGTTTAGATATGGCAACAAGGGCTAACGATGGGATCAATGACAAACAGCATGCGTTCACTACCCACACCACTGCCCTTGCCCGTGGCCGTTGCATGAAGACAAGGCCGAGTTAGCCGAAGGTCAACGGATCTGTGTCTCCAAGGGAGGGTTCAAGGTCGGAGAGGCGGCGAGGAAGATAGAATTGGCTAGGAAGGGGATGCTCTGAGCTGTTACCCCCTTTTCTGGGAAGACAGGGGAAGTGGAGCCGTTGACAAAAAGGAAGATTACATGGATGTATTGTAGGTTGTGGGAAACATTGCTTGGGGTTTTTGGCGTTACAATATCACAATGATAATCTGTACAAAGAACTTATGGATCAATTTCTTGGGATTCGTTACCACTCCGTCTGTAATGAAACTTGAGTGCCTTGAAAGGTGAAGTGTGTCTGTCTGCCCATAATGTCGTCCCTAGCGAAACCCGTTGATGATAGAAGCGAAGAGAAAAGAACAAAAAGAAGAGAATGGTAAGAGGCTGCGTGTGCATTCAAATTCTTGTGTTTTGGTGTCAGATGAAAAAAATGGGGGGTCCTGTAACATACGGTAAAACCATAATCGAATAAAGTTCGTAAGAAGAGAAAAAAAAAAAAGAAATACATTGATGCTTCGCTTTCATAGCTCGAAATGCAGACGCCAATCGCATCGGTTACCGCTGACCGATATAGGGTATACCATCACCAACCCTTTCCCTTTGATAACAAAAGCGAGCCGTAGAAAATGAAATAGGGACTGTCCAGTCATCACCTCAACCATATACATGAACCGTCCCAAAATATAAAAGCAAACCTCCATTCCCATCCTACTCCTACCCAGGCGCACCTTCGCCCGTAACTATGTTGAGATCGTCCGCCACTATCGCACTTTTAGCAACGCACGCCGTCATAACCTCCTAGCCTCCATGTCCATCTTTCTTGCTGATAGGACTCGCATCACCGTAACTACCATGCCCGAGACGAGATGGCGATTCCTGCCCTCAGAGTCCACCTCCTACGACGATCCATTGGACCTTGTCGGGAGAGCCGGCACCTCAGGGATCTCCTCATCCTCATCTTCGTCCTCATCTTCTAGATTCTCAGGGTGACCAAGTAGCGACGCCACGCTCTTCATCTCGTAGTGCTTCTTGCGCATCTCCTCAAACTTGCGATGCTTCTCTCTCTCTTCGGCGCTGAGGCCGACCAGTTCATCATCGGGATCATGGCCGCTGCCATTGCTATCAACGTGCACAGCTCTAGGACGCTTGGGGGAGCCGCCATCTTCGGAATGGGCAGTAGCGCCCTTGCCAAAAGGGAAGCCGGCCTCAGGCACCGCCTCCTCAGGCTCGCCGAGCGAGAGGCCAGGGATCTCGTCGTCAATGTTGCCCTGCCTGCGCTTGTTCTGCCTAGGAAGAGGCGACAGGCCATCCACGCGATCCATGTCGATCTTGTTAGGGTCGATGGCTTCTGGGACTTCCTCGTCGTCGTCCGATGGGTCCTCGGCGGGGTCGTAGTGCTTGGCATAGGGCGTCTTGGGCTCGTCAATCTTCATGGTGCTGGACCGCTCTTGCTCCGTGAGGTAGAGGTTCGCCTCGTCCCACTTGAGGCGCTGGCCTTGCTCCGTCGAGTCTTCGTCGCCGTGGTGGCTGGGCGTTGTCGAACGGCGAGAACCACTGAGGCCAGGCCGCGATCCGGCGACAGACGAGGAGCGGCGGGGTCCGGCATTGATCTGAGTGTTCATGATGGTGATTTCTTTGGCCTCCTTGGCGGAAGAGGGCATGTGGATAAGTGGCGGAGGGTGAGCCGCATCATGGTGGTGGGTGTCGAGGGGGGAAGTTGGGCCCGCGGGCGGAGAATTACGGTAGGAGTTCTTGAGAATACCTGGAGGTAAAGCATCCGTTAGCAATCGAATATCGATGACAGTGTAGGTGCGGGCTAAAGCTAAGGAACTGGGCGACAGCATCGCTGGGTTGGGGTGGGAGCTGGCTCAACATACCCTTTGGCCGCGGGACCGTAGAGGGCGGCGGAGTGTGTGTAGGTGACGATGCCATGATGGTTGACATGTTTGGAAACAAGCTGTGGGTTGTTGCAATCAAAAAGTGCCGTATCGAGGAGAATGTTGGCCAAAGAAGGTGAATATAAGGTGCGCGCGCAACGAAAGTCAAGCTGCAGTCGGTGTCGTTTCGTTTTGTTGGCGAGGTGAGATTGTTGGATGGATGGAGAAAGCAGCAGGTGAAGTTGTCGGTCGGTGGAAAGAAGTGTCGAGAGCAACCACCTAGCGACGAGGGAGGGTGGTGGAGTGACCAGGGGGTGACTTTCTGCCCCAGATGATCGAAGACAGTGGGGTCACTGGATTAGCCTGGAATGGATGGGAGGCTTTTGTTTGGTGGTGAAGGCCGCCTTGGGTGGGGCGGCGATCACAGTCTTGGTGGGCTTGTTTGGCGTGTTTGGTGGGATGTGGAAGCCAAGAGAAAAGCAGCAGCCGCGATCACGTTCTGATCAAGATATCGACACAAACTAACAGGTCGGATGAACAGTCGGGTTCACTTGTTGGGCAGGAAAAAGGAGACCGGCGGATCCCAGGCAGATCTGTTGTCACCTAGGACTACCTCTATCAAGTATGGCCGATCGTCTCAACGTTCTTTTTACGAGTGAGTCAGTACGTAGTGTAGTCCGTCCTTGGCTTGTCGTGTTGGGAGGCCTTCAAGATTGCCGTGGTTGGGGACCGGTGGGTGCTAGTAGGAGGTCTGAGAGCCGTCGTCCACTGTAAATGCTGCCCTCGCTTGATCTTATCTGCCGACCTGAGACGAGCAATGAGAAGAGGCTGGGTATTCGCGCAAGTGAGGGGTTGCGCCTGGATTTTCTTTCGAATCGTATCAGAATAGTGTATGGAGATGATGGATTGTCCTCCGTCGTGTCCCAATCATGAGCCTTTTTTCCGGGCCAGATACGATGGGTCGCATTCCACAAATGGCCTGTGACTGTCGGCAAACAAACAGAGGGATAAATCCGGGGAAGTTTGGCGTTTGGAAACTGAAACAGGGTCCGGGTCCGGATCTTCATTTTTTAACCCCTTGGCAGAGTTAGGTACTTTGGGCGTATGCCAGATGACGTGCCTTCTTCTGCAAGCTATTGCCATGACAAAAGTATCGCGTCAAAGAAGGTGTTAAGACGCCATATCCGCGGGAAAAAAAAAGGAAAAAAAGGCAGAAAGGGCCATGTGGTCATTACATCATCGTGCCTTCAACGTCTAGTTCTAGTAGTAGTGTTTCTTCCCCCGCCTCCACTCGGGCTTATTTTCGTTCCTTTGTTTCCCTCTTCCATTCCATCATAGCGAGGGCATTTCTGGGCGGGGCAGACTTGCAATGCTTCATCGTAAAATTAAACTTATATATTACTCTTTCCGAGCGTATGTCATAGTGTACACGGCATCCGCCATCCTGTTTTCCGTTACCCCAAGTCCTCCATGAGGGTCGTGATGCTCATAATGGCGTGAAAGGGACCTCATAGTCAGTCCCCTCTCCCCATGTCATAATCCCATCCTTGCATGTTCCCTTCCTATAAATTCCAAAACATTGTCGCCTGCATTCCCATAACCTCTTTCCATGATTAATAAGTCCCCCGAGTTGGACCAGAGTATCCAAAATTGGGGTCGTTGCTGTAGCCGCTTGCTTGTTTAATGCCGATTGGCTTCTTGGATCTCGAACGTAACAACATCAGTCGTGGGTATGTGCAGAAATCGTGTCAACCTCCCCATTAGATCCGCAACCCATAAATGCTGCCGCTTTGCACCTCGCCGACTCCTTGACTGTCCCACCTCTTAGAGTGAGCGACAGATCGGTCAGGTTGACCACGGTCCGAAGGAGCCACGCCCCTATTCAACTACGAGACCGTATACGCATCGCTTGTACGGTCTCCCATGTTGGCATCCCTTTATACCCCACTGCCACTAGCCTTGCTATCAGTCTGGGACATATTCAAGCCCTTCTCGTACTTATGCAACACCGAGCTATCAAGGGACGCAGCCTCATCAGCGAATACATCCACCTTGGTCTCAGCGAACTTGCGCGCGCTGATGCCCTTTGAGAAGAGGAGGTCGAGCTCGGCAAAGGTGCGGCCGGTGGGTTCGGGGACGCGGAAGTAGACGTAGATGATGCAGAGGAAGCAGATGCCGGCCTGGGATGCGTTAGTTTTGCAACTAGGGGAAAGGGGCAAGGTGACTTACCCAGAAGAAACCGGTAAAGTTGGACCAGTCCCAGGCGCCGGGGTTGAGCATGTAGGGTGTGAGGACGGCAGTGACGATGCCGACAATAATGCTGTGCATTGTTAGTATGCATGAGCTCAGAGGGCTTCTGGGTCTGAGGAACTTACTAAAGCACACGACCAAGAGCAATGGTCTTGATCTGCAGTCTTCTAGTCGAGATTTCACTGACAAGCGAGTAGCAGACCGTTCCGACTGTCAACTGGTACACCAAAGCCCAGCCCAACATGATACTACCAGTCGCGATCGAAGCCTCCCTGTTGTGCGCCTCGGGAACAAGACCAAGGAAACCCAGCACAAAGAGCATGCAGAATAGACCGCACAACCCATACAGGTAAAGAGCTCTCCGTCCAATGCCGCGGCTCATCAAGAACCACGCGCCAAACACGCCCGCCATGTTGATAGCGTACTGCCCGAGAGCAAACGCATAGGCGTCGTCATCGTCCAGGCCGGCCTGCTTGAGGAAATACGTCGAGTAATTCGAGAACGAGTTTCCACTCAGATTCTGAATCGCCCACACCATGCACACAATCTCGGTTCTCCTGAGATCATGACCCTTGAAGCAATCCCAAAAGGTCGCTCCCTGCGTCGTCTTCTCCTCCAAGGCGGTGGTGTGAACCATCATGGCGACGGTCTCGTCCGCATTGAAATCGGTTTCGCGGTTCACGCTGGTCAGACGGAGGAGAGACTTCTTGGCATCATCCAGACGACCCTTGCGGACGAGCCACCAAGGCGATTCGGGTGCGAAGAAGATTCCCAAGGCCAGAGGTACGGGCCACATCCATTGCAGGGCGTAGGGGATTCGGTAGGCCCATTCGTCGTCGCGCTTAAGCATGGACATGATGACTCCGATGGCGATTTCTTGGCCCACGCCCCAGCAGAAGTTGACGTAGGTGGTAAGGTAGCCGCGCATAGCGACGGGGCAGACTTCGGAGGCGTAGGTGATGGTGAGAGTTTGGAAGACGCCCCATGGCTGGAAGTTCATTAGTAAACCAATCATGTGCATTACTCTGAGGGAGGTGAGTGAAACTTACGATACCGCAAAGAATCTCAGCAGCCAACAAGGTCTGGACATTCTGCGCCGTAAAGAACAGCGAAGTCCACGCGCAAATGAGCATCAAGCAACCGATAACGGTGTACCGATAACCAAAACGTTCTGATACGTATCCATTGATGAGAAGGCCGATCAGCTCTCCCACGTTGGCGCCCTGGATATGAAACCGGTCAGCATTGTCCTAGGCCATTCAGGGTCCATCTCGCACGGCTCAAGCTGCAAGCCCTCCTCCACGACTTTCTGATTGACGGGGAACCGGACCCGGACCCAATGCAGCGGCACTGGGAGTGGCTCGGGCGCATGGCACAGGCACAGACATATCAGATCAGATCATTGCACTTAGCTCAGCACTCACATTACTAAGACCAGCCTGCCAGCGAGCAGGAACCTCCCAGTGGCCCGGCGCTATCTCCTCGCCGTACTTGCGAGCAAACTGGGGGAAGGCGTCTTTGATTTGGTCAGCACTGGCTCTGTCATGTGAAGATGAAAATAAGAAAGTAAACACCCACAAAAATTGTTAATCAGACAGACATCGTAACCCTCCATGACGATGCACGTCGAGATGAGCATGCTCCACGCAATCGCCTTTGGGTACAGCTTGATGCCCTGCAACAGCGTCATCTTTTGCTCCTTGTCGGTTGCTGTTTTGGCATCTTGGATGATCCTGTCCGTAGTGTCGGTGCGTCGGACCTCGTCTGAGTTGTGGAGGACATCGTGTTGGCCTTTGGAATCGCTAAATACAATGTCGTCGGATGACGGGTTGGCTGTGGTCCGGGGGTCGGGTGAAGCCATGTTTGCTGCTTTTGTTGCGTTGCCCCTTTTTTTTAATTTTGTTTTGTTTGACTAGTCGTAACTGCCGGGTGGTACGGAGTGTTGTCGCTACGCCTGGGTGTTCCTTTCCAAAAAAAAAAAAAAAGACACCAAAAAGTACCACACCGACGGTCAAGTGTTCACCGTGACCTTTTTTGATGCAGCTAAGCAGCCGAAGTGGACACCGGTTGTTGTCGTGGTAGAGCCGTGGAGGGTTTGAAGAATGCCCAAATGAATGGGATCCGACGATGGTGAAGAGACTGACGGCGTGACGACGAACCACACAGCCTCAGCCGTGATGCAGCTGAGTGAGGAGATGACGGATTGACGGTTGAACGACTGGAATTCCAGGAGGGAAGGACGACGTCGCAAGACGCCAGCAGAATTTAGGAGGTGGGAACTACCGCTGCCTATGAACAGCCCGCCCAGACGGAGCGGGCGCACGCGACTCCATTTGTTTTTGGATTTGACATCCATCCATGGATTGGATCCGTTCCGTTCTTTCCTTTCTCCAGATTTCAGCGTAAGCGGCAGGAAAGCGGCTCCCGGCCACCGGCCACCACGGCATCCAGAAGGGGAAACTTACGAAAGGAACAAGGCCAATGACAGCAGGCCGTTCGTCCCAAGACGTGGTGAGTGTGGAGAGGATGGTGGGGTTAGCGGATGTTCTAGTGTCGAACTGTCGCTTTCGCTGCCGTTCCCTGCCATTCGGGCATCCATCCAGGCCTCAGCTCGGCATTCCTTGGGGCCTGCCGCAGCGTTGGCACAAGTTCCAAAGTGGAGGAATTTGCTGTGCATTAAATCCTCGGCGGCCGAGGTTCATGTTGTTCAGGTTTCGGGGTCAAAGGGTTCACCGTCCAGGCCACGATGCCAAGCGTATGTATTGCATTGTACTGACCCGACAGCTAAAAGTCAAAATATGCAATCTGATATCTGTAAGCAGTATGTAATGTGCCATGTCCGTGGTTGTCAGGATGGACGTGATTAAGATGCTGGAGGGGATGGATGGTGTTGGGGAAGAGTGAGTGAGGGGCAACGGTTAACATTTCCGATGCGGGCTTCCAACATCCTCAAAGATCTCAATGGCATGTAACAAGATTCACAGACGTGATTGTCTGGAACACGAAAGACAGAAGCTCTCATATTCTAGAATGGCGAAGAAAGTCATGGTTCACCACAAGATATGTCTTCCACTTCTCAGGGGTCACTGTGGTCGTCCCTTCTTTTCTTTTTCTTCAATTATTCTCTCGAATTTGGTGATGAACTCCAGTTGTGCAGTCTTCAGTTCCCTTGTTTGATTGGCTGCCGGCTCGAGTGTCGTACATCACAGTGATCAACCCCGCACCGACCACATTGTGCAAGTTCAGCGCGATAAGCTCAGGTGTACTTTCTGTGCTCGACAAGCGGCATTTGCCATAGCGAAGCACAAGCTAGGACACTGGATACTAACAGCTGCTTGTGATCACGATACGTACTCTGAATTTGTGCAGCGCCAAAGTAGTGCAGTGCCGCCCCTCACGACGGATTCTACAAGCAAATTTGATTTCTCCTTCCTGCTTTTTCCATCCCATCATCCATCTCACCATCTTCAAGTTCACGATACTTACACAGACTCTGAACCATTTCAGCTGATTGAAGCAAACATCTCGGCCCCATTACGTTTTTACTGTTCCACTACACTCCCCTTCCCTCGTGTCATGTCAGGATCCCCAGTCTTTTTCCTTCTCGAACCTCTGCGCGATCCCACGCTGGTGGCTGGCGACCACGACTCGAGCACGACTCGTCGTTTTCAAGCACAAGACAAAGTGGGGATCCGCGGAGAAGATGAATCAATCCCTCGTCGTCTCTTTAAGCTTCTTTCCCCGGATCTGCATGGCCTTGACTTGCCCGACTTACTTATGGATCCCTTCCCCAGGATCCTCGGAGATTGAACAAGCGTTCCGAATGTGTGCCGTTTCATCGATCTTTACTCTCCCCACGGTCTAGTCTCCAGCCGGGTGATGGACATCAGCCACGGCGTCGGATGGGCGTGTGGCCTCGTGCGGCTGGCTATCCCTCTCCACTTCTTTCTTGCCCTCTGTCCTTCCCGTCCGGACCTGTCTGGAACTTGGCCTGGTATCGAGAATACGTGGGCCACCACAAGAGTCTCACAGTCTGTGGTTACGGCAGCTGCTTTCTATGATCCGGCTCCCTTTCGTCTTTTCGTCATTGACATCGCAGATCATCGACTCGTCCACCTCCTCTCTGAACACTCACCAGAGTGCACACATCCATCTTCCTTATCCACATCGATGTCTCATCCCAGCTGTAATGGTACGGTACAGTATCTTTCTACCTTCCATCTATCTACCTTACCGACTTTGTTGGGTTGGACGCTGCATTTGCCCGTACCCCCCCGTCGTAATGTTCGCCTAAACCGCCATCTTAACTAGTAACTAAAACCCCCATGGCCGCTTTCCTGTCGATGCCCGGCCGTCACGTCTTCTATCACTATCTTTCTCCGCAAAGACTGATCAGACACTCGCGAATCTATTGTCCCCGCTTCTTCAGCCTCCTGGCTTCACCCCCCATTCCCCTCCCCTCCCTCTCCAAGTCCGAGTCGTAGCCCAGCTGCTCCCCTCCATGTCCGGTCTTCGGTTCTTGCTTGAACAACTGCCGACTCTGCCGCGGATCGACCCAGACAACCCAATCTCCCGGATCCAACTGCTTGCTGCTCCACATTGCCAGCTACCTCTACCTACCACTACACTCCAACAAGTCTCCAACTGCCACTGCCACCAAGACCCCATCTGACTGTGCAGCCATCTGAGTGGTCGTATTTGGATATACACTTTCAGTCTCCGCCCCCAGCCCATGTATCTTATCACAACTTGCTCGCAGATTAGATGCCATCTTCAGCAAGCTCCCCCAAGCCCCTGTCTACTTTTGGTTGGTGAGTCGATTACCAGTTTGGTCCAGGTCCAAGAAATCTCATAACTGACACATTGCTTTGGGCAGTGAAAACTGTCGCCAGCAGCACCTGAAATGTGAGCATGGACCGAGTACCCCTTTGGGCACCCTGCATTGGGAGACATCACCACTGACATCAAATCATTTCCTCTCACCTTTTAGGCGACCGAGTAACGCCCACATGCGGCAGATGTCAGAACACAGGCCGTCAGTGCCGCCGGAGTGGTCTCAGGATTCGACAGTCTCCTCAATACAGTTAGCCTTCCCTTTTCACTTTTTGCAGGTTTTGATTCCGGTGTGACGATCCACCGCAGAAGTCAAAGCACTTCTTCCGAGTCATGGCTATTGGTCATTCGTCAGCTTTGCTCTCCATGGAAGAGTGTCTAACAATTACCACTCTGCAGCCAAATTCAGCAAGACACAAAAGTGGGTCAGGATCGAGAGAAGGCGTGAGTATCCCATTCTTTGCTTTACTTTGTGCAATGACCAACCCATATCGCTGACACTGGGCATATAGTGGAATTCGTGGATGAGACCAGGAAGGTCATCTATGAGGCTGTTGCTTTGGATAGTGGCCTGGATGAGATAGATCCCGACCCAGAGTCACCCATCCTGTCCGATCAGTCGCTACTGCAAGGGTTCAGTCAATCTTCCATCTCAGAGACCCCAAATGGCCAGGAAAACCCACGGCGATTTCCTTCACGGAAGCAGACCTTGCCCGAATCCCCCCGTCTTTCAGAGACAGCATCGGAGGCTCTATCCCCTCACAGATCGGTTCAGCTGCCTGAAACCGTCTCCTCTTCAGAAGGACATGCACGTGAATGTTCTCCCACCGACCGCTTCATCGCGCGGGCTGGGTCCTATCACCAGCTTTACTACTCCAAAAATTCAGCATTCCCAATCGAAGACCCGGTGGAAGCAGAGCTGTATCGGCATTATGTGCAGAGTCTGGCACCATGGGTAAGCAACATCTACACTGGCTCCATGAGCACCTTGTTGATTTTCCATCTTTTTCATTCTCTAGCTCGACCTATGTGACCCACTGAGGTCATTTGAAACCCTGGTTCCTCAAAATGCAGCAACATTTCCTCTACTACTCAAGGCTATCTACTCCTTCTCAGCCCGGCACAAAACCCTGACAGGTTACTTTGATTCGGTCAGGAGCAGCGAGTATTACGACGAATGCCTAACAGAGCTCAGGGATGTCCTTGCTGCATATGACGAATATGGAGCAGACGAAAACTTGTTTGCTGCTACGATTATCCTGCGGGTCCTTGAAGAAATTGATGGTATGAAACTTTCAATTGCTTGCGGAGGGCATATGCTGACATTTCTTTAGTTGTGGACAATGGGACAGATCAAGAAGCCAATCTCCTAGGAATACATGCGTTTGTATCAACCGGGTCGTTCTTTGAAAATCCCAGTCCCCTTAGTATCGCGTCATTCTGGGTTGGCCTCCGCCAGGGAATTTACAAAGCAGTCATCAACAAACGACCTGTCGGACTGAGTGTAGACCATATTCTAGTCGAACAGTCGCTCGCTCGAACGGATTACCACAGCGTTGCAAACAATGCGGTGGTCCATTGCACTCGCGTCCTCAACTTTTGCTTCGATAAGGGTGGAGTGTGTAACATGGAGGAATGGAATAAGTTATGGAAATCGAATGAAGACTGGGAGAATGAGCACGCTCCCTTCCATACACCCATATTCAAGGCACCCGATGATGTTCCCTTCCCACAGATATGGTATCATCAGAGTTGCCAAGGTATGCCGGCGTCCTTCTGTCAGCGATTTCCCAGTTAACAGTTGTCGACAATTTCCTCTAGTGATCGGGGTACAGCATCATCTCTTAGCCAAGTCGTACTTGATCCGGTTCAGGCACAAGTTCTCAGCGACTGGTACACGTCACCAGTCTACTCTAGCCAAAAGGAGAGCTGAGGTAAGCCTAGGACTGCGGGATCCGTGGCAAGACGGCTAACCCTATGCGTATAGGCCGACATACAAAGAATCGTTCGGATGCTCTGTGGCATTGGTTTAGGAAATCAATGGACTCCTCCGGGCATGTTCACAGCCTGCATGGCCATTTCCGCTTGTGAGTCTTTGGGCATTTTGCAGTGTTCTCGTTTGCCGCATGCTCAAGTCTGACCCATCATCCTACAGTCGGCGCTAGTTTCACCCAGCGGAAGGACCAGGAGGCCATGATCGACATACTCCGAAAGACAGAGAAAGATCATGCTCGTCCAACCAAGTCGGTGCAGGAAGACATGATGAAGGCTTGGGGCTGGTCTGCTTCCACGTGGACTCCGACGCAGGTGCCCCCATGGCCGGATACGACGCAGTATGCGACGAACTTGAACATGAACGACAGCATGGGTTACCAGCAGGCTTAATAGACCTGCGTATCGTTGTGCTCAAACACAAGACCGTTGGAAAAGAAAACACGGGATGGATCTTGAGCGGCCGAATAGGGCTGTTATATCAGCCCACGTGCTTGCTCAGATTGCGACCAGTCGAATGTACAAGTACGTTAATCTTCGATCTACGAATACATCTAACGACATTCCACCACCGCGAGGATCAGACGATGAACCAGATGAACCACAAGCACGGGCATGGGTCAGGGTCAGGGTCTAAGGGCAGGGTTAAAGTCAGGGTCAGCAAGGTATAGCCCAGCAGACATGGCAGGCAATCTTGGTCGAGTTCGAACCGCGAAGTATTCAAGCTAGGCGTCTGTGCGCCAAAAGAACATTGCCTTTTTCCTACAATGAGGACAAATGCCACATCAACGTACTCGTCGATGAACCGGTCAATGTCGCATGTCAGCCATGTTCTGCCACTGTTGCACAATCGCATCAGAATGCAAGGTCAGCAGCGGTTTGTGGGAAAGGCTTCTGTGCGACAACGCCCGATTTAAGGTTTACGATCCACCCTAAACCCCCAGCCCCTCTATCGATCGTGAAAGAAGCCAAGAAGGGTCAGGGTTGGTAGGATGGTTTCTCAATTGCAAGCAGATTTGCCAGCCCTGAAAATCCAGCCAGGGTTATCATGCGAGATCGGGGTTCATGCGTGCCCTTGGTTGTGATCTACCAGGACACGCATGGACAGACAGACAGGCTGCCGACGGAACGGGATCAAGGGGAAGCCACAGGGCCAGGTATTGGAAATAGGTGTCTGCGAGAGAAGTGCAGTGCAGTGCAGGCCTTGCGAGTCACAAGGGCTTGCAAGCACTCCCGTTCTTGACATGCTGCTCAAGTTTCACAACAATGACTCGGTAGTAACCACTTCCGCTTGTCCGTACGCTCTCTCGTCCTGGATCCTGATCTTGTCTCAAGTCAACTAGGTCGGTAAGGGGGAAGGAAGCCCTGTTCCCAGGTCCTGCTTTGTCAAGGCTGATATGACTTGGTCGCACGCTGTCCATGGCACCCGTGAACTGGTCATCGTCGATTCCGAGTCATCTTCAGATTGGGAAGATCCAGCATAAGAAGAATGCAGATAGCCATAGAGCTGACAAACCAGTGCGGTATTGTGCGCTTGTCCTCGGGCAGCCAGCCTTGATACCGGAAGTTGCGTCCCTCCCGTTACAACCGTTGTGTGTTACACGAAGGAAGTCGAGATGATGGTATGTAAGCCCCATGGTCTGGTGTGGTACCTTTCTCGATATGTAAAACAGGGCGGTACCATACTTATGAAGTGAACGTTCTACTACATCAGACCCGACCCGGCCCGACAATATTCGGGCGCGCTGGCAGGCGGGATGCAGTATCTATGCAAGAAAGCTCTGCTTCCTGCTCAACGGGTAGGACGCACACTACCCTTAGCAGCACTGCACATCAAGGATGCCGGTATGCAGGGAGTAAGCCTCATCTGCCTGTATCCCTACCCAAATTGCCCTTGCTGCCCTTGTTGCTTTTGTCTGGTGTCTGCGAATCGATGCATGTAAATCGATGTGATGCAGACGGGAACGACAAAGTTCGATTCCCATCTCCCGTCGTGCGAAAACCCAAAAAGAACAAGCCAGCAGGATGACGGATGATGGAACTTTCCGAAAGCTTTCCCGATTGCGCTGGCGGTGTTGCTATCGGAAGAATTGCGCTTGCTTGCATTGTTTGCGATACTTTGGCAACCGTTAACCTTCCGAGTTCGTATCATTTGTGTGAGTATGTGAGAGAATTGGGAAGGGGGAAGGGAGGGAGAGGTTCATAATGACCTGGCTTTCTTTCGAGGCTTTCAAGTTCTGTGTCCCCCTTGCGGTGTGTACTCCCCCAGTCTTCGGGAAAGTTGTACTATCTGGGTAATCCGATGTCCCCTCGTTCATATCGTTCAAGTCTCCAGAGCTGAGGCAACGTTGAAAAGCCATCATGAAGTTGATCATGGCGGGGCAAAAGGAGCTACACATGTACAAGCTAACTAGTGTAGCTGATAGCAACGCCAGGTGAGGCGCGCTAAACAAAGCTAACAAGCTTCTGTTTAGGGCGCAGATAGGGCCCTGTCTTCGATCGGAATTTCTTTCCTCTTTCGTCTTCTCGGATAGGAAATGTGTTGATGCTGTTAGTGCAGAGCGGTGCAAAGGGACCCTCTGAAAGTCGAGAAGCGAACAAATCATGCCAAACTTTAGCGCCGGAACATGTTCCGCCAGGGGTGCTTAACTGTTTACTCTGACCGCAAAGAAACCTACAACCTCACTCTATCGGACAAAATTTCCTACCTTGTCGAACCATGACTGTCAACCTCCCTTGTGATGCTAACGTTTTTTTTTCTTCTGTACATTCCGTCCGCACTCCACTTCATATTCCTACCCGATCAACGGACGAACGAAAATGGAATTGAAGTAACGAAACAAAACAGCTCTACCCAGCAAGCACCTATCCACCTTTCTTTTCTCCAATCTCACCAACCTCCCAGTGTTCCCCGTGCCTTGAATCTTGGACACACAAACACCAGGTGTAGACGCAACTCGCGCTCACGACGCTGACATATCATTACGTCCCGCCAGTCTGGTCACAGATAAGCCCCCCTTCATCAGACCGCAAGCCCATGACAGGCCCGTTGTTGGCTGGTTGTATGAGAAAGGAAATATTCGCCTGTGAGGAAAAGAACGGAGACGGTGGTGGAGAACAAAGAATAACTACAGGCTGTGTCCTCGAGAAAGAGATAAACAACAAAAGTGGATATCGGCGTACGATCTTGGTTCCAGTCGTGCCATCGAAGCTGACTTTCATTCCCAGATGGGGGGTCTTCGTTGGATCTTGATCTTCAAGGCGTTTCAACAGGTGCCCTTATCCTGTAGCTATCTACCTACCAACCGGGATATAACATATACACACCGTCTAACCTGCCTGTTCCACCTGGATCAACCCCAGACTTCTCCAAGACTTCCTTCCAAGGGTAGCCGCGCCGAACGGGTACTGGGAGCCGGGATGCTGCTGTTCCAGCCCACTTCCTTTCTCCATGTCTTGTTCCTTTTCCTCGGCCTAGGCTAATTGCTCGATCCACAAACCGGGCGGGATCCTTCCGGGAACCCCCAGTCCATCTGGCACTGGCCTGGCGGCTCCGCCCAACAGCTATACACTAGGCTACTGACATCCAACCATCCCGATCCGGCCAGAGATAGGAGCCCGAACTGGTATCGGCGATGCGGTGGGATGTGGGTAGGATGGGATCAAACCGATTATCGTTCGTGCCTAGTTGGGTTGCGTTGACAGTGGAACATCCCATCCTCCATGTCAGACAGTCTGGCTCGACTCCATCCGTCGAGATCGGAATAGGAAAGAGTGCGCGGTAGGTAGGTAGTAGTGGTATTGGATGGAGTGAAAAGTCTGTTGACTAACTGTACACGTAAAGAGAGGCAAACTTACGACTAGTGGTCACTTGAGAGATATAAAGAAGGCATGTGTTCTCCCCCTTCGAAGTGATTTTCGCTTTTCGGATAATAAGAAACTCATCATCAGCACACGACCGACCGGCAGTTACTCAACCTTTGACCTTGAGAACCTTGATAGGTAAGTGTGCACGAAGATGGTACTTTACGCCGAACACATGGTCTTTGTATACTGACCTCGTCATACAGATTCAAAAAGCATAAGAACGGCCTACTTCCCCTCTTGAGATATCTACCTTACCTGCTCTCTTGCATCACCAAGAAGATCGACTGGACATATTCTGTCACGAACATCTCTATCCTGCCTTCTTCTTGAACGTCACCTCTCAACATCCACCAAGTCCAACACCACCCCCTTCAGTCCCCGTCAAGATGGCCCCCTCAGCCACCTACCCCATCATCAGCACCACGCACTCAGGCGCCGACCTCGAAGCCATCTCCGACGCCGTCGACGAGATAAACGTCCTCAAATTCAAAGCCGCCCAACAAGTCACCGAGATTCTCAACGACAACAACAACTCCTCTGTCCCATCTTCTCCCACCTCCGAATCCTCCTCCACCACCCATGAAGAAGAAGAAGAAGACCTCGGCGACTTCGACACCCCCTCCCACTTCGACTCTTCAAAGGACCACTCCCGCTTCCGCCAATACACCACCGCCGAATCTCGCGTTCTCAACTTCTACACCGAACAACACACCAAGCAAACCGTCTCGCACAACCTCGCTGCTCGCGCCCACTTCAATTCGCCCGACCGTAAGCGCCCCGAGATGACCATCTGGCAAGCCATCGAGTGCTTAAACTCTTTGATCGACGAGTCCGATCCCGACACGGAACTCAGCCAGATCCAGCACCTGCTGCAGTCAGCCGAAGCAATCAGACGAGACGGCAAGCCGCGGTGGATGCAGCTTGTAGGACTGATTCACGACTTGGGCAAATTGATGCTTTTCTTTCAGTTGGCTTCAGGGCAGTGGGACGTAGTCGGCGACTCGTTCCCTGTCGGGTGCAAGTTCAGCGAAAAGTGTATTTTGCATGAGAGCTTTAGTGCGAATCCGGATTCGGGACACGCGGTGTATAGTACCGAGCAGGGGATTTATGCTCCCGGGTGCGGGATTGAGAATCTGATGATGAGTTGGGGCCATGATGAGTATTTGTATCAGGTGGTGAAGGATCAGAGTACGATCCCGAGGGAGGGGCTGGCGATGATTAGGTTCCATAGTTTTTATCCGTGGCATCGTGAGGAGGCGTACGGGTGGGCGATGAAGGAGGGGGATGAGGAGTTGAGGAGGGCGGTGAGGGCTTTTAATCCATATGATCTCTATTCGAAGAGTGATGAGCCGGTGGATGTGGAGGCTGTCAAGGTGAGTCTTTTTTTTCCTACTTGGGATAACAGAGAGAGAAAAGATGCTAACGACGAGATGGGCAGCCCTACTACATGGAGTTGATCGATGAGTTCTTCCCGAACAAGGTCATCAAGTGGTAGACGACCAAGACCAACACCACGACTACAGAACCATCGTCACTTTTGACGATGTTTGAGAAGCGGCACTTTGGCCCAAAGGCTGGCCTCTCTGGGCGTTGGAACAACGGCACGAGTTAACGGCTTCCGCTCATACATGCATCTTTCTTTGCCTGTTATTGTCTTTTGTGTTTAGGTCACGGCGTCATGGCGTCACGGTGTTGTTAGACACGCACCTGCGTTGCGTTTCATTCCCTTTCTCTCACTTAGAGGTAGAGTTTGGTTCTTGCCGTCGGATTTGTGTATCATCGCATCCGTCAGGCACAGCGATGTTATCCTTTTTCAGTTCAGTACCTGCCCGTACTTGACTGATCCGTCCCAGTCGGATGTTTGTCGCGCCATAGGAAGCGACTGATGAATAGAAGCAAGCGTTGATTTTTCAAGTATGCTTTTCGTGCTGGACACTCGTCGCTTGTTATGGACTATGCCAGTGGCGATTGTTGTGCTCGCCATTACCCTATAATCGCCTGCTTGGTGCTCCGTGAGTCTGGCGAACATGCTTACCCAGCAAAGAGCGCAGATCAATCAAATGGATCAAGCCCTCTAGGTCCTTCCATGACGCTCTTGACGTTGTGGCCTCCAGAGTCCAGACCATCGCTCCATGTCATGCCTAAGACACGCTCAAGAGGTGACTTCCTTCCCCGTATCGGATGTTCAACTGCCTGCCATTGTTTTGCCAAGTGAAGCAGCACGACCACTTGGTCCACGTCCCTGCTCAGCCGAGCCAACCCATTTTCACAAAGCTTAGTCATGATCATTCCTCGATCCATTTGTTCTCAGCTAAACAGCTCCACCTCCCCTATCACAAACATAAAGCCCGGCATCGGACAACTCATCCTCTTATCTCAACGGGATCAACGGCCCTGTTTAGGACCGAATGTCTGGTTTCTGTTTCGCTGTACATGCCCGGGCAACTTTCCCACCAAAGTAGGTAAGTAACACCAAATGTCTCGGAGACGGCAAGCCAGTGCCACATTGCACCCTATACTCGTGCCACGCCGTCGGCTTGAGTCGGAACTCGACGTTCCTTTCCGGACCAACCGTATATGGACAACGAGCCTGGTCCTCCTTCTAGTGCCGAGGTCGGCGTTAAGCACAGAGAGGGGCTAATGCAGGAACAATGCCCGAGGAGACACAGGTGTAGGATTGGAGGGGCGGAGGGGGAGATGACCACTTGGTACCTATTTGCACATTGATGATTACCTACATGTACCTCTACCTCCTCGTAGTGATGCTTTTAGGGACCACAATTCCCGATAGTGTACCTACCTCTACGCTGGCTGCCGCCGTCCTCGTTGACGGTGCTTCTGACTCCGGTTTCGTCGGTCGGTCAACTTGGAGCCAGCAAGATGGAGATGTCCATAGTCACGTCTAATGTTTGTACAAACCGCTGAGTGGGACGGTAAACGTGCGAACAAGTACCGTTTTCTCTTGCCACTCCCGCTCCTTCTGGTTGTTCGTGTCCGGCGTCGCACCAAGAGTTGCAAATGGGGACCCAGCCCGTTTTCTTCCCGCTTTCGAGATTCTTGTTATCACGGCGGGGGCGGCCGTTACCCATTCTTTGCTTTCTTGAGGGAGGTTTCGCCGGTGGTCTAACATTCCACAATGTGCGTGGTCCTATTATTCGTTTTCGAGTGACCGGCACATATCCCGTCGTCGCCAGAAAAGGCGATGGGGATAGGAGGAAATGCTAGGACCGACAAACCGGGAAATTCGCTACTGGATTCGGGTTGTAAGGAGCCGAGTGCCAGCGCTGTATACGAGGGCATGTCGTGCGTTTTAGTAGGTGAATGCAAGATGGGAAAGTTCGCGCGTTCGGAGACGCCAAGGGTTCGCGGAGCGGAGGACACGCCAACGCTTTTTGGGACCGGAGCTGGACTGGTGGCAATGCTCAGAGAAGGGTGCGCAGATGGTGCGGAGACAAACGCAGAAACTAGTACGGAGTCAGGGAGGGTAACCGATATCGGTCAAGAAAGTTCCTAAGGTGATTCTGGTGCGCAGCATCATAGTCAGTATTGGACAAGAACGTTCGAGTAGACGGAAAGATTTGCGCATTTACCTTTACTGAAATTTAAACTGAAAATATCGGGAGGACAAGATCAAAACGTGGTGGAGCAAAAGCAGATTTGGAAAAAAAAAAAAAAAAAAAAAAAAAAAAAAAAAAAAAAAGAAAGGGCGAAAAAGATGCCAGCTTTCTAACACGCGGTGTCGAGAGGTGACCAGCCCCTCGCACTGCGGCAGTACTAACTGAATGCAATGCCGAAGATGGTGATCTCTGGCAGGACAAGTCGGACAGGCCATATTTGGGAGCAAGTCGCTTCATCCACAACACAGAGATCTCCAAGACTCCTGCCACGACTGGATAGGAACGTGTAGTCTCCCTTTAGGGCAAGTCCTGGGTAGCCGTTTCCGGAGTCTTGGAATCCGCAATGCTATGATGGTGGTGTACTTGGGCGTCCCCTTTCCCCTCACCATGTACATGTAGACTTAGTTGCAGAAACCATATTGAGCGTGTTTTTTCCAACCAGAGCCCTGAATCGGGATCGAACTCGTGGCCGAGACGTTGGTTGACCAACCGATGGCAGCAGTTGAAAGCATTACCAACTGAGCCATGGCTCTTTGGAGCAGCGTTGGTACCAATCGTCCGGTAGAGAGGTAAGGAAAGGGTCCTTATCTAGCGCTTGCTGGACTCGGGAGACGGATGGTATGTGCGTTGCTACTTTTGCCAGTGTTGGGCGGTTGTCGGGTGGCGGATGATGCAGGTTGTGATGCAGGTTGAGCTGCAGGTCTTGGTGTTGAAGTAAATGGGACTCCGGGGGTCCGGCGTGGCCCGGGCTCAGCTCGGCCGATGGATGGATGCCGGCCGTTCACATGCCAGTGATCAGGAGTGTCCGACCCATCGGTTCCTAAGGTAAACCCATAAGTGATAACTTGTGCAAAAGGACCGAGGAAGAGCATAGAGCTTGGCGAAATGAACGAGGCAGCCATGCTACTGATGCCGTCGGAAAGCGGAGTAGCTCTGGGAGACGAGGGGGTCATTAGTAGTTTCCGTGTCAAAGATGGCAGTTGAATTTCATGAGATGACAATTGAAGGATAACCAAGAGTAGAGATGACACAAATCGACATCCTGACTTGTTGTCCTCGAAGCCGGTGATGGAGATTTCGAGGTGAACACTTCACGTGCTTGTGAATTTGCGGTTGGTTGGCGAGGTTGGGTACGTACCTGATAATGTGGCTCGTGCACACCATCAGCGTCCTCCACGTGATGACGTTCAACCCCGCAGTCCCACTTGGGAAACGACGCCAAGCGGGGCTAAAGATGCCGGCGGCATTCCACTTTCAACAACAACAACCCAACAATCATCACCAGGTCTCATGACAACATTCAGGCAGGACTACCTCATGGTTATCGTTGAACTGGCGCTCGGAATAAAATAGTTCTTGACGGTCTTTGTCTACGGACGCGTCTTATTCCGTACACAATACGATAAACAGACCATCTCTCCACCAAACACTTGTACCAACCGCCACGACAAAGTATCACCATTCAATGATACCATCATAAACGACATCAGACATCATCGCCAACATGGACCCTCCAAGCCGTCCTCTTCCGCCAATTTACCACCTCAACCTTGAGTTAATTCTCATCCCCCCCATTCTCTTGGCCATCGCGACAGCCCTCAGTCTTTTCACCCATTCCGACACGGACCTGTACATGCTCTACTCGCAATGTCATTCCCACGCCCGTATCGAATGGCTCTCTCGCGTTCCCCTGTTTGGTCCTCTCGCCTGCTTTCTCGTGTCTTTCTTCCAAGAGGCTCTCCTCTCTCCGGTCCGCTCCAAAGGCATCATGTCTGTCATCCTCAGCTATGTCGCCGGTCTGCTAACCATCACCACGGTCGAGTCCTCTCGTATCTGCAATCAATCGGCCTTCTTCCTCGCCTTCCCCACCGCCACTTGGCTCATCTTTGACCTCGTTGGCGGCGCCCTAGTCTGGGAGATCGTCATCATTCCCGCCTTCTTCCACCGCGCAAAGCTTGTCATTCTGGCCCGTCGCCAGGGCACCACCACCTCCGAGGGTGAAGAAGCCGCCGAACCCGAGCTCATCCTCGGCGCCCCGCGTCACTTGTCCACCCTTGCCGAGTCGATCTCTATCCCTGTGTCAATTGCAATCGGCTACATCCTTCCCTCGCTACTCATTCTCCTCCTTCCGTCAGACCAAACCACCGTCCCCATTCTCGTCTGGCTCTTCTTCCCTGTCTGGGTGTCCTTCCTCCACCAAGGTGTGCGCACCGCGCTCCTCCATGTGTTCAGAGACCACCCAACTTGGCCTAGACCCTTCCACCTCGAGACCTCTCTTCTCCCGCTGGTTTTGACCTACGCTGCGCCCATCTTCTTGTCGCTGGCTTCGCACATCTACCTTATCGTCACACTCTTTACCCACCCGCACGACGATCGGAAGGAAATGACGCTTGCTACGACACGGTTCATCATGGTGAACATGGTCTTTGTCGGGCTGACGGTCCTGTACTGGGCGTTCATCGAGGCTGGATGGCCGACTGCGTTGGTGATGCTGGTGGTCACGGTGTTGGCGGGCCCAGGAGCGGGAGTGTGTGTGGGATGGATATGGAGGGAAAGTGCGGTGGGGGTGGATTGGATTGGACGGAGATTTGGACCGAGAGCGGCTGTTATTGCTGTCGCGGTGGGAGGAACCGGCTCGAGGAGAGGGAGTGACGGTGAGCGAGATGGAGAAAGGGGTCAGGAGGGTGGCAATGGACCGTCTGAAGAAACGCCGCTTTTGCGATAGTGAAGAAAGGATGGGATGTGGTGTTCGTTATGCCAGAACTTGGGGGTTTGTTGCATTTTGTCGGTTTGGTGTTGCACGTTTTATTTGGAGATCAAGATGGATTGAGGTTTAGACGCCGTGCTTCGTGATTCTTTCTATCTTTTTCATGCTCTCAGCGGCGTTTTTGGCATTGATGGTTCCTCTTTTTTCGTATATCCAAGGTTCTCCGTTTCGCCAAATGTTTCATTGGCTACAAATTCAAGTTCTCTTTGTCCAAGTTCACATGTGTGCATCAAACCTCCCTCGTCTTTGCCGTTCTTGTTCGATCTCTTCGTCGTGGACATTCAGAGCTTGAGAATTCTGCAAGTTATCCATCGGTCGGTGGCTGATTTCCCTACAATGTTTATCACAGGCTCGCTCCTTAGTGTTGGGTCTTCGATATTCGGTGCGGCGAGGGAGGGTGGACTGGGCGGCCCCACATGCTCCTGCCTCGACAGACGGACCAAAGTGGAAGGAAGTTCGGGGCACAGCAACGAGAAGCGGCCCCTCGTCGAAATCTGAACGGATTCTCAACACCAACATCACCTCGCTCTCACCTTACACAGTCACAATAATTGCTTCAATGCGCACAATTCTTGAAATTCGCTGTGGGGCCAACCTCCCACCATAAATTCCCTCCCACCTTTCACCCTCTTCCTTCTCGTCTCGTTGCGAATTTCGGGACCGGACAACCTTCGCACGACGACTTGACTCAATTCGTTGTTTGCTCCATTCAGCGCATCGTCATTTGCTTCAATCCAATCCACTTATTGTGTCTGTTCAATTGCACCGATCGTCCGACTTCGAGCAAACACAACAGAGAGATGCCGTCGCCGCGGAGGAATGAGATGGAGTATGACCGCATCCGAGGCGGTGATGGTCGCAGATATTCTCTCTATAAAGGTACTCGTTGCCCATTCTCTTTATCAGCCTGAATGCAGCGTCAAGTTTTGGGCCATACTAACACCAATCTCGTCGGCTATCTAGCCAGTGGTCCGAACAAGCACGCCCACTATGGCCATGGCGCGTTGTTCCCAGAAAACTATGCTCCTCGGCCAGGACGCCCAAATGCGAAATGGCATTGCCCCATCATTGGATGCAATCGAGCCTTCAGGCTCCTCAGAGATTTGGGCGAGCATTTCAATGTGAGTGTCTCCCGTCTTTCCTTCCGTCCTCGGACATATCTCTCAGCCAACCCTCGCCTTTGGTTCTCTTTCTCGTCGCTAACCTCCCCTTACACCCAGACCGATCACAAAGGCGACATTCTTCACGACTTGCGAGATGGCAACTTTCGCAAGATTGGCAATGCCGGAAACCGCCCGCCCTACGTCGGCTACCGAAGTGACAATCCGCCGTCGCCCATTCCCCTCCCCCCTCCATCGCCGCCTAAGCGTCCGGCCGCTGACAATTCCTCCGCCGGCGCCGGCGCCGTCCGTACAGCTACTCCTGGATTGTTCTTCAAGCAGGAGTATTCTGACGACGACGACGCCCGCCCAAAGGAGACATCGTACATTATTCTCGACCATGAGAGCGATGAGTGGGTTTCTACAAGTCCTCTCTGCCGGTTATAACAAGATTAGCTAACCCACAAATCCAGCCATAGGTCACAGCAAGAAAGCAACTCGGATAACGACGACCCGGACAGCGCCGATGGCAAAGAGGACACCGATAGCGACTCTGACGAAAGCGAGCACACCGAGAACGAAAACATTGTTCAGCAAAGAGAGCAACAACAATTCTCTGACAGCCATATCGACAACGACGACTACAGCGTCCATGATCATGGCTCCGACATCTGGGCTTACCTCAACAGTTTGACGCCGGAACCTATCGCCATCCCCGACGACGCATGTATCAAGGAGCTGATGAAGCTGCCTGTCCTTCGTGAGCTCCCCTTCTCTTGGAAAGCGCGTCTTTCCAAAAAGAGCTGGGTGAAAAAATACTGCAGCCTCAAGACTATCACAGCAATCATGCACTTCCTCGTCGGCGAAGACCGGGACCGCAAGGTCTGCAACGGCCTAGGTTGCGACACTCTAGGGAACGACGGTCTTATATCCGCGCTATCTGATTTTGCCATAGGCAGCGACGGATTCCATGGAGAGTACGCCTTTCCTCGCTGCATCATGCTCCCAGACAACACCATGATGTCGGAGGCCGTCATGGAGCGGATTGGCATTAACCAATGCGTCAACGCATACTACAGACGCGGCAAAAAGGTTCCATTTCCGGGTCGAATCTTCCCCCGTCGCCTGGAGGTGCCTCAGACACCCAAAGGCCGTGGCAACAACCGCCCCTACAGCGAATCTTCCGTCCTCCGTCGCCAGGCCCGACTCCCGTCGCTTTCTGTCACGCCATCCAGATCTCCCAAGCGCAAGGCATCCTCCCCCGAGTACGAGGACGAACTCCCCTCATACCGCCTCGCCAACCCTTCCTCTCCTAACAAACCCGCTCCTTGGGAGCAGTTCACCGGCTTTCTGCCACTTCGCTCTTCGCCGCCCCGCGGCCATCGCTCCTCCCAAGCCGCTTCTGATGTCATGGTTGCTCACTCGAGCATGTACCTCGCATCTCAACCGCAGAAGCGTATCAAGCTCGTTGACCATTCTGGTCTCGGCCGCGGCGACTTCGCTGTCCTAACACTGGCTGGCAATGATGATGGCCATGTCTTGAGAGTTGACCAGGGAAGTGGAAGGATGCTTAATTGTTCCGTGGCCAAGGGCAGGGTAGATGTCTTCTTGGTTGTCAGGGGTAGAGGCCAGGCGCAGGAGGAAATGACGTTTACTGCTGGCGAAGACACGCAGTGGGTGGTCAAGGAGGGATGGGCATGTGAAGTGACGAAGTTTCAAGGAGAGGCGGACGAGGCGAAGGTCCATGTCACTGGCTTGGGTGTGGATGAGCAGTCGCAGGAGTGAGGGAGCCAAAGGAGATCGGATGTGAAGGATGTTGAGAATGTTGAAGATGTGCAGAAGTGTCTGCGGTCCTCGATAGAAGAAGGGCACCGAGGCTGATGCCGCGTTCTATGTGTTGGAGTTTCTCAAGAGGTGGATCATTGTACGGAGGTGGGCGTGTTTGCAAGAGGGCATGGCGAGTTACCAGCCAAGAGAAGGATCATTTGATGTTCGGTGCTCGATTTACCGGATGTTGAACATAAGTTTGCACAGCCAGTGGCTGGTATCCAGGTGGAAGCTTACCTGTTTACAGCTCATGGCTTGTCTCGTGGTTCCAGATACACGAACAAGCGGCCAGCATTTTCCTTCTGTCCATTACACTATGCTGAGCTAGCATAGACGATGCTTAAAATCGTTTGTTATTGAACATTACCTTTCTGTCCCTGTTTTCCTCATACTTCTCCAGTGTTTGATGTTTTGTTTTCTTCTTTCTTTCCCCCTTGTTTGTGTCTTGCGACATCCACTCGGTGTACCCAATCCAGGCTCCAAGAAGCCGAGGATCGAGATGGATGTCGATGGCGAAAACATCGTGTTGCGCATTTGGTGAGAGTTCCGTACAGTATGGGGACAGCGTTGCTTTCTCTTGGATATTCTGGACCTTTGACGCTTGGAGCAGTTTTTTACCCATGGTCACTTGCGTATACCCACGGTTCTTCCATGGACGAATAAACATTTGGTGTTTGTTTTGTTTTTGTGCATTTCCATGCGTGAAAATTATGGCGAGTGTTCGTAAGAACAAAACGAACACATCAGGGTCCAGCTCGTCATACCTTCGGAACAGTCTTGCGACCGCTCGCATGGCCACTTCCACACCAGACGTTACCAAGTCTTCGTTCCTCCCTTCACTCGTCCTCGGCTTGTGTCATCCCGCCATTGAGCTGTGACCCACACGTTTTAAACTTACCAGTCCGTGCCGGCCGTCAGGGCAAGCTTCTCCCTCCTCGGCCACGAAAATTTCAGACATCGAATCTCCTTTTTGCGGAAGTCGTGACCTTCAATTTTCCTTCCCGGTCTCGGCACAGGTGCAGATCCCACTACTCACCTTTTCCTACGACATCAAGCGAGACCTGGCATTCATCATTGCTTCCTTCGTTCGCTAATCCCTAGCTATTGCTGCTGCCATACTATCTCTTCTTATCCTCGCTCACTTCATCTCTCCTGGCGTTCGGTAAATCGCGAGAATGCCTCTTGCAGGTGCCGATATGAACAGAAAGCGGCCAATTGAGGGAGGAGCAGACAATACCCGACTCCGAAAGAGAAGATCGCAAGGATTCACTGCTCCGTCCTCGAACTCCGCCTCTACCGGAGAGTTCGAACTTCCGGCGCTGATCAGTCTCGCTGATGCATCGAGAAGGTACGACGAGTGGAAGGGTGACATTGGTAAGTGGCTGTTCTCCTTCCTGGGTCGAGATTTCTTCCAAGCGGTTGCTTACAACAAGAACACAGGAGATGGTGTCTGTAGGACCTTAACAGGAGGCGGCGCCTATTTTCCGACAAATTACAAGCTTTTTCTTAAGCACCCCGCTCCGTGGCTATGTCCTCTTGTCAACTGTAGAAAGTCTTTCGCCCAATGTAGTAGTCTGGGACATCACTTCTCGGTCAGTACCTCACTTTCTCTCCCGAAGCTGACGCTATGCGTTGACTGCCTCGCATATATCGCCATCGTCATTGTCTTACCTTGTCTCAATGCTATCACGATCATCTTCCGCTGACCAGTCTCCCTTACAGAAAGCTCATCGCGGATTGAAACTCTACGATGAGGCAGAGAGGGGCCTCTTTCACCCCCAAGGCATGAGAATCAAGCCAGACAAGGACGGAAAACTTCGACCAATTGTTGTCGCGAGAGGATTTGGCGCTCCAGATGATGATCAACAGGCCCCGGCCGCGCTTGCAGCCAACCGTCCCGCCACTGCCAATTCCGCGCCGGTCCGACCTCTCTCTACCCAGGTTGCTTCAGCAGCCGCTCCCACTCCCACTACTGCTCGCGCCGTCAATAATTCTGCCTCGACGCCCACCACATCCGCACAAGCCACCAATTCATTGACTCACGATATCATCGACATCGTTAGCGATGACGAGGACGTGCAGCTGGTCCTTAACCAAACCCTTTTCAGAAAACCCACTACTCAAGGCTCGACTCAGCGGAAACAGCCAAGAGCAGGGGACAACAATGGCGGCGCTGGTAGGAGCTCGTTAGACGACCTCGTCCACGATCTTATTCCTGACCTCGAAACTGACTTTTTCGAGACATTCGACAACTTCGAATTCGAGGTTGATGATTCCCAGCCGGCCGGGGGCGCACAGCAAACGAAGAATATCCTTGCAAGTTCGAAGCGTGAGAGGGGAATCCAGAGTTCCAAGAAAGCCTCTCTCGAGATAAACAAGGAAGCCAATGTGCAGTTGCCAAAGCTAGTCTCCTTTGGACTGGATTGCAACGTTGACAGGCCGTGCCCCAAAAGCACCTCTTCCAAACCACACCAGGACGGCAATTCACAACGCCCGAAGAATGTCTTATCCAAGCCGAACCAGGAATCAATTACACAGCGACCAAAGGACATCTCTTCCAAGCCCTCCACGGGGTCAGGTGCTTCGGGACCGAATGATGCCAACATCTGGGAGTACCTAAGGAAGTTTTTGAAGCCCGGCACGCAGAAGCGTATGCCTGAAGATGCAGCCATCCAAAAGCTTTTAGCTCTTCCCCGGCGTCGCGAACTTCCGACCGGCTGGCAATTTCGACTTCGTACGTACGAAGGTGTTCATCTGACAACGCTGATTGCCATAGTTATGTACCTCGGCGGCGACGAATCTCCCAGCAGCCCTTGTAGCGTTATGGGATGCAGGGAGAAAACAGAAGGTCTTAATCTCAACAATAAAGACTTTAGGACTGGGCGAAGCCGCGACGCTAGGTTTGCTTTTCCTGTATGCGTCATGCTCCCCCAGTGCCTCTCAAACTCCGATACGATCCACCATCGGCTTAACAACAAGATATGCTGCAATGCATACTTCAGGTGGTGCAAAGTGGAAGAGCCTGACAGTGCCCTCGATAAGATCTGGACAGCGGAGAAGGAGATGGGGGCGGCATCTGCTTGCTCGGAAACAGCGAAGGTCGAGAATGATAAAGTGCCCAATGCCACGGTAAAGTGCAGCCGAGGGAACGACACCAAGATAAACCGTACCATGTCGAAAGCAAGACCATATGACACCAAGTCGGATCATGTCACACCGACCATCCAACCGAGTCATCATTCGGTGCCGCTCTCTGGCTCACGACTGTCTCTACCTAATGGGACTTCTATAGCATCGGCAAAGCACGAGGAGCGGAACAGCATGATTTCCAGGCGTTCCAACGAACATATTCAACCATCCAATGCACGCACGACAGCCATATCGACCTTCTCCCAACTTGCAGTCGCGATGCAACAAACAGTCAGTCCTCGGCGACCGGCACAAGAAGATTCTTCGCAACCGGCAACAGTTACGAACGCCAGAAATGAGTTCGAGTCGCAAAGCTCCTCAGCGGATTCTGACTCAGATGAAAGTGAAGGGGGTGATTCGGAATATCACTCTCCCAACAAAAGGGAAGCTGCGCAGTCCAAGTGGAAGGGTTCGAAGGAGTGGATAGAGTGGAAAAGAAAAATGAAGAAGAGGAAGCTGAGAAGGGCCAAGGACAAGAAGTTGAAGAAGAATCGACAAGCCAGGCGAGACAACGAGAAGGAAGAAAATGACAGACAGGTGTCGCTGGCTAGCCAGACGAACCACACCCCCGTTTCCGCGGCGGCAGCTTCTTTTTCTAATCTTACGGTACAGGATACATCCACGACGCCTTCCAGAGCGCAGCAGCAAGGCGGCCCAGAAGAGTCGCAGAAAACGACCGTTTTCAACATTGCCAATGGTTCCACACAGCCCATTGGCTTCAAGGGTGGGCAGTCCCAGCTCATTCAGGCATCGAAAAGACAAACTCTGGAGTGCACGGTTTGGGCAGGTAGTGTAAGGATGAAGATGATTGGAGATGATGGCATGTCTATTACGCGGAGGGTGGACGCGGAAGGGACTTGGACAGTCGGCCCGGACAGTCACTGTTTGGTCAGCAACTTCTTTCCAGCAGCCAAAGAGACTGCTGTGGTCAATGTTAAGTCTAAGTCTGTGTCGACAAGCATCGGATGACCAACTGAGGGTAAGAAAGCAAGATGGATAGGTCGAAATAGATATATGTTTGTCCCCAATTTCATTCCTTATGGCTATTGAAAGATTCGCCCTTGGCATGTGTCCCTTGACCGTTGTCAATTACAATCATCTTGATTGAGCTTGCGCGCCTGGCATAAGAGGCGCAGGACCAAACGCGGAAGGCAGCTTCATGGGCCTGGCAACTATGACCCCCCTTTTCACCTTTGACCAGACCCACTCTTCATCTCTAAACGCATCCAAAATTTCCATTCACGCTCCTAGGACACTCGCAAATAATCTTTCACGAACAACTCCTATATCCGTCAAATTGAACTATTATTGCGGTGCTACTCTGAATTTCCATATCCACAACCTTTTCGTTCCTTAATGACCTGTCTTGTCCCTCTCGTCGGTCATTCAAATTATCGAGTTCCGTTTGTGCAACGTGCTCCTTTGGAGGTAGGGCGGCGCATTTTACCGGTCGCATGCTGGCACTAAATACCGGAGGATCCGCTCTCGTAACATACGAAGGGGAGAAAGGCTCGCAAAGCTGAAATGGCTGACGAGCAGACACTAACGGTCGTGATGGCGGTGATGGCATTTTGAAAACATGAGGTTGAATGGAGGGCAATGGTTTGGACGCTTCCACAGCTGCCAGGCATGCACCATCGATAGCTTCATTGTTGACTGCATATGGGAAAAAGATGGATGTGCCTACCTTTGGCGGTTCTCTGGTAGAAATTTTGCCTGATCTCTACATGAAAGTAGATTTACGATGAACACACATCTCACTCTCAGCACCGTTGTTGACCCTATCTTCCTTTACAACATCAGTGTGATACTTTTTGGTCAGATGATCTTCTCCTCTCCGAGGTCCTTTCATTACCTCAGGCAAAACAATACAGGTCGAGGTTTTCTTGCAAGAAGCGTACCTCTAGAGGCACATAGAGGTATATACAGCTTCACACTCGAACCATACAACATCGTGAGGCAGGAGCCATACCAAGGACCGGAATATTTGTTTGCGAGCACATTCAGGAGTTATCATTGTCCAACTTTTTCGATCCAAAACGGGTTGTCTGCATAGGGGCATTCTACAATACATCAAATAGGAATCCCGTTTCCCAGTCTCTTCAACTGATTACCAGACAAAATACCTCTACAGCCCGGCGCGTGACAATACGAGTACCTGCCATTTATCTTTCCAATTCTGCTCCCCTTTCAGAATCAGAAATCCAGAGGTTCGAATGAGGAATGACGCCGTCCTCCTGAGCAGTTCAGACAGGACCTCAGATTACCTGGTTACCTGGCAGGCAACTGGTCTCAAATTCGAGAGTGTTTACCCACAATAATTTTGCGCTGTTATTTCCCTCCCCCGCACTTCTATCGTCTCCTTCGAGTCTGACCTCGTCCTCGTCACGCTTTGCAAGATTTTAACCTTGCAAGATCTTCGTCTGCGAAATTTCTCTATCAAAGAAGACGCGTCGTCCTTCTTGAAGCTTACAACTTTCACCGAGATTCTTCAAGATTACAAAAAACTTTTGTTACAACTCGTCGTTGTCGGCAGACCTCACGCATACCTCTACCTCTATCTCACTCTTCCATACACGGTTACCCCCTTGACTATCACCATGGAGCCCTGGCTGCAAGAGCAAGCGAACGCCGCGGGCGGTAGGCCCACTCCTCTTGATGGCCGCGCTTCCTACCATCACTGGACAGGAATCTTCAGTACGTTTACGATATCTCAAACGATATTTTACTACGTTCTCACATTAGACTTGCTTGCTAACACCTCACCTTTTGATAATAATAGACGGGCAGCTGTTTACGTACCATCACCTGGCCGCTCTGTTTCCCGAGCGTTACGCTCCTCACTCGGGAGAGAGATTCCCGTGGCACTGTCCCGTCGTCGGCTGCCACGCAGTTCATCAGTTTGCTGTGCAACTGGCTGGTCATTTTACTGTGAGTACAGTACCTACCTATTTTCTACGAGACCAATATCCAGACTTTCCAGATACACCAAGTTCAGTATCATGAGACAGATCTGAGAGTCCCGCCCTCAATCAGACTGAAAGATGCCTCTACCTATATTCCAAAACCATATACTGATAACCTGTTTGTTCTTCTTCAGGTTGTTCATCTGAGTGCCCGTTTCCTCGATAACCGCGATGGTACCTTTTCGAACCTGGGCCCGCAAGATGATCCCCGCGGGTTTGCCTTCGTTGCTGCCCAAAGGCAGACACCACTTGGTTGGGCGGCACCATTCCAGTTCGACCCGCCTTCGGAGACGAGCAGCGGCGCCGCCACGCCGGTACCCGAAAACGCCGACGACAACCCGGGTAACGGCGTGGCGGAGCCCGACGACGGCAGCGACGACGACGACGACTTTCCTGCGCAGACGATACAAATCCCCATTGTCCATCCCGTCGCCCAAGCCCACGGTGGCGATGGACCTTCTGCTGCGGACGGAGACCCCATGGACGTCGACTCCAACGTTCAAGCCCCCGCCGCCCAAGCCGTCCCCTTCCCCAGCCTGCTTGTGCTCCGCACCATCCACGACCACCATCCCCGCGAGGAGCTGCCCGACCCCACCCCTCTCGAACTGGAGATCTGGCCCTACATCACGCGCTGGACTCTCTACCCTCTTCCCCTCCCCTCCCCTTCTACCCCCGCCCATCGCACCCTCCTTGCTCTCCTCTCCTTTCCCCGCATCCATACCTTGCCGGTCTCCTGGCAAGAGCGCCTGCGAGCCCGTACCCCCTCCCTCGGCACCCTCACAACAATCGCCCTCTACCTTGGCGGCAGAGCCGAGTTCGGCTCGCCCTGCCAGTCACACTGCGGGCAGCATGGCGCCCTGGTGGAGAGGCTGTTTGCTGTCCAGAGGGAGGAAGCCTGGGAGAATGGGCTGGGGCACTGGAAGTTCGAGAAGAAGTTTGCGTTTCCGAGGTGTGTGAAGGTGCCGGAGGCGTTGGAGGGGGATCGGGAGGTGGAGGAGGTGTTGAGAGGAAGGCCGTGTTGTAACCATTTCTTCAGGGAGTTGAGGGGTGCGTGGGAGACGAGCGAGCCATTTCCACCGAGACCGCCGGGTGGTCTTGTTTGGAATGGGCCGATGTGGTAGATGTATAGCGTGGGAGAAACTGTTGGTGGGCGGGTTGTAAGAAGGAGAAAGGATTTTCTTGGTTGGGTGCACATGCTTGTCTGGGCTTATTTGCTGAGGAGGAAAGAGCCGGTTTCCTGGCTGGTTTGGGTCGCAGGGCAGGAAAAAGCGTGAAATTCGGGTGGCGCTTACCTGGGTCGTCTTGCGGATAATGGAAGTGGAAGTAATGAGTGCTGGCACGTTTTATTGCCAAAGCATGAAATAAGAAAAGTTTGAACACATCATCTTTTGTGTTTGTCTTGTACAATAGAGAGCTTATCTGAACCTCTCTCTTTGCTCTCACACTCAGCACCCCTTTTTGTTGTTGCCATGTGATGTTCTTTGCCAGTGTGTGTGTGGTGATGAAGCCTAACATACCTTCCTAGGTACAGATCGTCAACAAAAACAGGAATAATTGGTTGTTAAAAAGAAATGATTCATCGCAGCATGGCTGAGGGGAAAGGAATAGAGTATCAGCCCAGGTCTAAGAGATGGGAATACTCGCTGCGAAGCTGGAAGATCGACGCACCCGGAACAGGATGCACCTTCCACGTACCTCAGTCAGAACACGCCCGGCTATGGCAGCATGCATATCACAAAGCAGATACGATGCATGCGTATGGCTGCACTCCTCCTACCCGCCTATTCTACCATTCCATTCATCATGTTGGCGGGGTCGACTCTTGGGATTTGAGTCTCGTTCCTTGATTTACGGTTGAAGCCCAAGGCTACCTACTCTTCCCGGGATGCTGCGGCGATTGCGCCCATGTTTGGTCTATATTTGGAATTGTCAGAGCTTTCGAGAGCCTGCTTGTAGAGAGTATTGTACGGGGGGACCTCATTGCTAGGCCAGTCGTTCTTCTTCTTGTTGTATTTTCAAAAATTTAAGAAGTGGGAGGACATTAGGGCGATGAGAGCAGACCGGACGGCAAGGGCTGAAGAGAGGGTCATGAAGGTGGAGAAAGAGCTTGAGAAGCTGAAATAGGTAGTTGAGGAAATGGGAAAGAAGCTTGAAGATATGGGGAGAGAGAAGGAGAGTTCGAGGTGGTGATTACGAAGATACTCGGCTGGGTCTGGTAAGTTTCGCATGCACAGCTGGACAACGCGTGTAGGCAAATTGGTGGGAGATTTGCCAAAGGACCAAACCGGCAATCAGCCACTAGAATTGGGCTGGTCATCCAGGGCCTTCCCATTTCACTCACAAACGGTGCCAGCCAAGAAGGTCAGAACGCTCTTTGGCTCCCAGCCTTCTCTTCTCTCATCTCACTCTTTGGTCTTTCTTTTTGGGAACTGATCGTCCTCCTTGGTCGTCTCCTCTCAAGTCCAACCCACCATTCTGGCCGCAGCCATCCTACTCTTTGTGCAGTTTGACCCAAACAGCCAATAACAAAGCTGAAGAGAAGACAGCAAGAAGTCGTCAATAAGATCAGACCTCGAGAGCGGGGTGGAGTGTTTACGTGTTGGTACTAGAGAAATCAGGCTCCAGACCAGCTTGTATCTACGTAGGATCTAATTGAAACGGTGTCACAGGAATATGAGGCCGTCTTAGTCAACATCGAGCAGTCATTGCTGGCGCCTCCAAACAAGCTTTAACCTTAGCACATCCACTGGGCAACTAGCATGACTCCCAACTTCATTACAACAAACCGCTACTCCAGCCACTGCACGCATAAGAAGGATCACAGTGTAAGCCTTATATTGATCCAGAACTATTTTTCAACTCATCCCGGACCTGTCACTAACTGATTTCGTTTAGCCTTCTTACTCGCAGTTGAAGAGAGCTTTTGTTAAAGCGAAATTTAACAAGACTCTCAGCAACGAGATGAAGGCGTGGATGTGTGATGGCTGCACGCGTGTAGGTGCCGAGATGAGTAGTATATCCAGACTAATTGGTTGTCGAGTTGATACCAGGACAAGTTGAAACAGAAGAAAGATTCTGTGGGGAAAGAACTGATAACCTAGAGGTAGGTTAGAAGAAAAGCTCTTTTTCATAATTATTCAGCTAGTAAACAAGGTAGGTACCTAGTTTGAAGGGTCATGCTGTTAGAAGATAAAATAAGAGGTGAATATTGAAGACATCTTGTACACGCCTGAATCACTCGAAAATATCAAGGGAAAAATTTCAGATAAATGCAAAAGTTGAACAGAGACAGTACACGTCGTTGATCTTGCCTCTCCAACGCGACGGCAGGACTAGGCACCTACCTAATAAATTGGAAGTAACCTAAAGTCCCTTCCCAATTTTTGCTTGGTTTGGGTCCCTTCCTTCACGGTTGCTGCTGCAGTGACGGAAATCATTAGCCCCTCCCGCAAAAATGCCAACCATCACCCTCCTCGGCGCCTGCGATATATGGAGGTGTGGACAGACGCTGATCCCTGTAGGTATTTTGTACCCCATGCTTCGTATCCTTCCTCCGCTGATACCTCCAACGAATGGATGGCTGCCTTCGAAATGGTGGTTGTGTCTGTCAGGGTCGGTCGCAGTTGTTTCATGCATGACCAAAGTTAACACCTCCAGAAACGCCGCATGGGTGCAAAGCCCGTCAAAAGTCAGGGCTTCGTATTGCCACGGGCAAAGTTTGGGCAATCCCAACTGGTCTGGAGACTTGGTCGAGTGATATGCCCAAAGGGCCGGTGTTGCCATCGTCTCGATGGGTTTGTGTGGCAAATAAAAGTGATAAGGGACAAGCTGTTTGACCGGCGCCTGTTTCGTGTGGCAGTTAGCGATAGAGATTCAAAGGATTCTCTTCTCTCTGCCGTGGAAGGCAGTCTTCACCAAGTTGAATGCGAGATTGCAATTGGTCTGAACTAGAGGTATGTACCGCATGGAATTCGTAATCCAACTTGCATTCCATCCACGTCCAGTCATCTGTTCATTCACCATTGTTGCTTCAACATCATGCTGAATCTTTTCAATCAGACCGTCGTTCAGGGCTTGCGCCACGTGCCTGATGTTACCTAGTAGGTAGGCATTCACACAAATCCTACCACGCGGCGACATCAGCGTCAGAAAATGACAAACGCCAGTTTGACAGCCTCCTTCTTGCCCTAGTGTGACTGAACTTTAGTCACAATCCTGTCGGGCATATATACCTGTAGGTAGGTATTTACGGAGGACACAATCACAGGATGCAGTCAGCTTTGTCTTCACAGAAGAAAACTAGGGTATAAAGGCCTTGACTCTGCCCGCCTCTGAAAAGGAGAGGAGGGATCGAAAAACGTTACAACTCACCAGCATGTCACTTATATTGAAGGTAGAGAGCCAAGATTTGAACGAAGAGCTGATTATATCAGCAATATACAGGCCACTTAAGACACCTTCCGATATATAGAGGTGAATAAGTGGATGTCCTTACCAGCAATCAGTACCTAGGTGAGAACAGGAACCATTTTCTCTTCATTTTCACTAACTAACTTGAATACGTCTCCATCCACAAGTCCTCAAGAAACGGCCAGCTACCTTACTCAATCTGGTGACCTTTTTAAAGGACAGTCGGCCAACCGATCCATTGAGTTCTTCGCCGAGAGGAGTCAACTTTCGTATCGCTCATCTTCCACGAAAGCTCAAGAGCCTGGCTAGGGAATCGGCTTATGTCCGCGAGCATGCGGATCGCGAGCTGAAAAAGCTTGCCAAGAAGAGCAAGCGCTTGGAGAAGAAGGCCAGGGCTTTAGCAAAACGTACCGTCAAGAAGCTCATAACTACCCCGAGACAGCAAGCGCCGCAGTTCCGATCACCCATTACCAGTGGCAAACAGGAAAACTTCCAGGTGCAGAATCCACATCGAAAACCACCCGTAATCGAGGAGTCTAGAGGCAACATCAGCGTCCAGCGCTCGGGCGAGATTTATCTGGTGTTCGAGTTTTATAACACCAATGCGTATTCAGACCTCTACGCCGAATCTGGAGACATCGATATCCGAAGTTCGGGGTACTTAGCCGTAGAGGTAGATATCTGATCACCGAGGTCGAGGACAATAGAGACGACCTCGATCGAGAAGAGATTCATGCTTCGCGGCGTTTCCTTGGGCAAGAAGTTCGATGCTATGACCAAAGCCTTCCTTGATCCGTCCGGGTCAGTAACATGAGCTGTCTGAAGCGGTCTGAAGCGGTCTGAAGCGGTAGGATCTTGTGCGACTCTTTTTTCGAACTACTAGTGGAGTCGTCGTTGATAACTCATCACCCAGATGGGGGAGCGGAGGTTGTTGATCAAATGTTTCCGATATCGCGTTCTCTTCGCAATGCAGTCGTTCCTGCAGTGCCCAAACCCTTAGGAAGGAGCCTCGCAGATTCTGCATTCCCCGCCCCTTGCCCGCCATCTCTTGCCTTGGGAGAATTTTATGATTTTGTGAGTTATAGTGCGCAGTTCGGAATTCCCAACTCCCAAATGCACAGTCTCTGTTAGGTAGTCAATGGCCGTGTCGACCTTTTACGACGCAGCTCGTAGTTTGACCATCTCCACCACCGCCACCGCTGCGAGCACTTCTCTTAACCCAACGAGTTTCGTACTTTGGTAGTCGCGCCCCCTCGCAAACTTTGTCGCATCATTGAGTTACGATCTCCTCTCTGCGCCAGCAAAAGATGTCGACCGCTGCGCATTCAACAAGGCGACACTCAAGCGCACGATAGCAAGACCAGCTGCTTCCGCTCGCTCTTATTCCGGTAATACTGACTCTTTGTATAGTACACCAACCTCGACTACCCTCTTTTCGCGATTACTTTTCTCCCAAGCCCTGATTACAGCCGGTTTCTGGTACTCCAAACCATTGGCCGCGAAGCCAACGCAACACTCAAAGACCACGAAACGATGGCTGGTCAACGGAGGACGAGAAGAGGAACCAAAACTCTACAAGCTGGCTGAAGCCATTGCCGAGATCCCTCCAGTCTGGCAGAAAGACTTAAACGTCGCGAGCACTTAACAATCGGTCGTTTAGCTCGAGATATATCACCTGTATGTCACGTCCTACCCTTCTTTCCCCTCTTCTATACCATCAATGACCAACTTACCAACAACAACTGCTTCGGAAAGAGGCATACATAGAGCGGAACGCGCATCGACGAGACCAACCACACATGCCGGTCACCGGGAGGAGAAGATGTTGATGCAGCCTGGCCATACCACTTCCCAAATACTTGAATAACGTTACATATTCTGAACAAGAACGAATACCAGAAAACAAGAAGCGCAAGCGATTGCGGAGAAGCTGGAGATCCTGCTCAAGTTCCCTTTGCATCTCGGCTCCCGCCTTCTGGTATTTGCGGAAGTACCTGCATTTATGATGACCGAGATGAGAACTGGAGGACCACAAGACCTACATCAAGAATATTTTTGGACACCTGAGCGACGCAGGCCTGAAGGTGGATCTGAAGAAGCGCGAGTGCCATGTAATAATTCTCTGAGAGAAAAGAAGCATTCACCGATGTCGAAGCGGCTTTGAAATTGACAAGGATCAATACCACATGCGGCCTCAATCTACACCCCTTATCCTAAGCGCAAGCCGAAGTACCACTTCCAGTCGCAGCACAAAGTCCAGTACCAAGCCATACTGGTTGTGGAGGAATAGAGGCTAGACTAGTCAGTCACTTGCGAGCCCGTCATCACTTATATATACGTCTATATACCATATTTTCCCAAGACTTCAAGGCCAACTTATCCTTCTGTTAATCCTCTACCAGAAGTACCTTGTGCCCGTTGACGAATTCCCAGACCATCGCCGAAGGATCCGAAGCATCTCTCCACACACAAACCGAGAAGATGTTATCCGCTTACCTGGGTAACATGATCAAGGCTACCTTCTACGTCCTGAAAGAAGAAGCGCCAGCTGAAAAGGAAGCTGCAAAAATTGATGGAAAAAGGGAGCTTCTTCTGAAGACGGCGAGGAAAAAACAATCCAGTCCGTTGACCAGGAAGGAACACAGGCAGAGACTAATAAAACAGCCTTCACCCAAGCTGTTCGCCCAAATGTCGCACGGCTGGGTCGTCAAGTACTAGGTAGGTATGCTGGCGAGCCCAAGGTGGACACAATTCCCCTCAAGTATGACGAGACCGCAAAGGAGGAGTTGAGGAACGATGCCAGCAGGCATGTAGCCGAGGTGATGTGGCCATTCCCATACAGACTGGACCTGAGTGGCTTACTTAAGGCTCAGAGTCCAGCCACTTCCGCAAAGATCGCTCTCTCTGCCCTCTCCCTTCCTGTTCCCCGGTCGGTGGCAGCTGAGACTGATGGTCAATAGCATCACAACTGGAAGCTATGCTTGCATGGTTCAGATCGTTGATTGTTTGAAGCGAACTAACAAATCACTTCCAGGATGCCGATAATGACAACTTCGAGAACTACGTGTAGGAGAAACTGGTACGCGCCTGTGAGGGGCTTGAGGGCAGCCGGTACCTGCATTTATGTCTGGTAGTAGTGTTTGGTCAAATAACGAGATGATATATCTTAGAACATCATCCATTAGAGTTGTCTCTTCATGGCATGCATCGTCGGGTATTTTCCACTCCAGCATCCAGCATCTCTTTCTGTTGCGCGGGAGTTCGACTATGACCACGTTGTTTAGGTTCCGTACCTCTACAGTGTCTTGAGAGCCGCCCCAGTGTCAATTTATTGAGCAATTGTGGTATTTTCTACTTCGCCAGCTCATACCGTGACTTGGCTTCCAGAAGGCCACTATACAGTCTTGGTCTGCGCTGATCATCATAGCGGTCTTTTTGTTAGTCGAAAACCTTGGCTTCATCGTGGGGGCGAGGTTATTCGCACTTCCCTTCCGCGCCAATCCTTTTGCACGACGGGAAACAAGTTGTTACCAGGTAGCCGAAATCGAACAGGCGACTGCTAAGCTGCGATGTAATGCAGACAGCCAGCTTCGAAAAGAGAAGATGCAAACGCGCGTTGGCCACCGGTGGTGCAATTGGAGGGGCGAGGAATGAGCATGGGAAAATAGAAACCCCGAAGTCGCGAACTTAGGGCTGAAGCCGAAGTAGCACGTTTTCAGGTTGTAGTGTACCGCGCTCGGCAACTCCCACTGACAGGGCAACGGGGGTGACGATATCTGGACCGAGATGGGTCCCGTCGCCATGCGACTCTAGGATGCTTGCTCCTGGGGTTCGGTTGGGTTTCAGATGGAGCTACTCGGAGGATCACGCCCCGGGCCGCACCAAAACGGATACCAATCCGATTCTAGCTCGACAACTCAAACACGACGACAGGTAACATTGATGAAGATAAAGGTCACAAAACTCCCGCATGTTCCGGCTTGGCCTTCTAGAAGTTTTCAAGGCTCTCTCTCTCTAGCGTTCCTTCCTCAAAACTTCACCAATCTCAGCTCCACTCATCGGTTTCAAACGAAAAGGAAGGATATTTGACGCCACGTTGCCGCCTCTTCCACTTCTGCACTGTGATGTATGTATGCCATCGGAAATTACCCAAGTACCATGAGGCTGCTCGCGCCACCAATGTCACCATCACCAGATTTGGCTTGGCGTGGGATTCCTTCCTTCACACCGACAGCGTCCTTCAATTTCGTCAACGACACGTTATCGTCAAGATGAAGCGAAATACCACCACGTCTTTGGTATAAACCTCCAACCAACATAACGAAGAGTGTTTGGCCACGCCGAGTTACCTCGAGGTACAAATAGCGCCCAGCCGCAAATGACGAATAACGCGTTCCCGTCACATATTTGTCCAAGGTCCCTGTGCGATAGACAAAGATATCAGGTACACTAGTCCCAAAATCTCACAAATACCTAGCCATAACGCCGCCACTTTCTTTGTTACAAACGGGAAGAAGGGCATCGACGAACAAGGAACATTACCCCAGTTCTCATCTCATTGAGGATTCAATCTATGACATTTGAAAACACGGTCGCCACCTCCGACACTCTCTGGTCTTGACTTCCTAGACTTTCACTCCGTGCCTCTTTGTTCTAGACTGTTCTCCACGCAGTTTTCAGATTCCTACCACCTGTGGGAAATACTCTGTGAATCGAACAAAAGACTCTAGCTGGAAGTTCCTTCCAGATCTCCAGAGGCATTGCAGTCTCGACTTTCAAAACAACCAAACTGGACAAGAGCGACCGTGAGTCACATACCACAAACTGGCATCATAACACCAGGAACTAACGATGAGCAGATTAATCACATCCGCACCATCAACGGTGTCTTCACTAGTATCCACGGTTTCTACTCAGATTCTGAGCGACATCAAGTCCAGTCCAGTACGGCACAGGATTCACGTTTAAACCTCCCTTTAGAACCACATTTAGAGAGCCAGCCGAGTGGTAGAACTGCACGACTTCACTCACCTCGCACGCACGACCGACAATCACCCATTAACAAACCCCCCTCCTCAAATCCAAACACACACTCACAACTCAGCCCAATCCGCACCCAAAGACCAACACAAAAGTTCCCAAAAATGCCCACCCTACCTCTACCTTCCCTCTCAGAGGTACTCTCCCCCCGCTCCGACCACTCCTCACCCGCCTCCGGCCACACCACCACCACCTCCAACAACAACGACAACCCGTACTACATCCCCGCCACCACCCTCGACGGCGTAAACCCCCTCGGCTGGATCCTGATCGGCCTCCTCACCTTCTGCTTCGTCATGTCTTTCCTCCTCGGACAATGTTTGTTAAGGGGCCAACCGACGTCAAGAGAAAAAGAGCGGATGAGACATTTGATGGGGGTACCCCAAGAGGATTTTGAGGAGGTTGGGTGGCGAAGGTAAAACATAAAAGCCACCTGACTTCTTCTTATCAGTCAGGCTGGATCCTCATCGGTCGGTCTCCTTTCCGTTTACGTCCTGATGAGGTGGCTAAGGGAAAATGTCTGTGGGGATAACGGATTGGAAGAGGAGAGGAGTGATGAGGATGATGGAGGAGGAGTTGGGACTTGGAAAAGGAAAGCAAAAGGATAAGAAGAAAGGAAGAGTGGAGGATGGAGGGGTTGCGAGAGAGGGAACTTAAGGGAGGGGAGGAGGGATGTTGAACGCGGTTCTGGGAAGGGGAAAGGGAAGTCAACTTGGGAGTACTTTGAAATGATTGTGTGAGAAGGGGGGGGGGACAGTTGGAAGAAGAGGTGGGAGGGGAGATGACTGGATGGGGACGACGGGGAGGGAGCGGGGAGAAGTTATTCCCTCATGCCTTTTTTTTTTTTTTTCGATTCTCTGGTGGTTTGTTGGAGGAATGTTTTGCCGATGTGCTGGGAAGCGATAAGAGCAAGAACGAATGAATGACTGGAAGAGGTAATGCGAAAAGCGAAAAGGGGAGGTTAGTGAGTCATGATGAGTCATGACGAAAAGAGAGAAGAGGGGAATCTGCGTTTTTTTTTTGCTTGTCCTCAGAGGTTTTACGAACCATGAGAGAAGAAACCGCAGGAGAGGTAATCGAACGCCAGGAGAAACCAAGTTGTTTACACACACACACACAAAATCCAAGTTGTATTATCCGCTCCGCCATCTTTCCGCTGCTTGCAGCTGGTTGACTATGTAAAAAGTTCTCAAGGTATAAGGTATCCGCCCAATGTATGCTATGTGCCATGCATTTTGATAAAAAAAGAAAATGTTGTCAAGAGTAAGCGACAAGAGAGTTGAGTAGGTAGGTAGTAAAGCACCCCGACTGGTATCATCCGTCCATCCGTCTGTCCATCTAAAGTATCTTCGCCGTCGCCGTATGTGTTGTAGCTGCTGTATATCCGCCGTAAAATGTCTTTTTTTTCGTTGATTTAGTCGTAACATCATCATCAAATCGTCAGTCATCACCTCTTTCCCACCTTCCTCCACCTCTCCATCCATCCATTGTTCCCCTCCTCTTCCAAATCTCAATACCCTTTGGCAGTCACCGCCCCAACAGCGAGCGTTTCAATCCGCCCCTTGTACAACTTCATGACATGCATCAACGGATCACCCCAAATTACCCCCCTCAACATCTCTTCGCTCGCCACCACATGCGCCACCACTCCTTCATTTAGTCTCTCTTCAACCGTTTTCCCCTTACCCTTTAGCCTGGACTTTGGGTCACCACTCCTTAACACCACAAGCCGACCGGCGCAGGAGAGGGTGGAGGCGGGGAGTTTCCAAGTTGGTCCCGACGAGGACGAGGAAGTGTGGCTGCTAGAGACTGACGAAGCGGTCGTGGATGTTGTCGTCAGGGCGGAGCTGGCGGAGGATGTGGAACTGCGGGAGCGCGAGCTGCTGCGGTGGGAGGAACCGGAGGAAGAAGAGGTGTGGTGGCTGCTGCTGCCGCTGCTACTTCGGCGCTCGGTACTCCTGGCGTCTGTTGACTTGCCGGATTTCGATGATTGCAGCGATGATCGAGAAGATTTTTGTCCGGCGGGCTTCATGCGCATATTGAGGTCAGAACTACTGCTCGGTCCTTTGCGACTTGGGGCTGGCGAAAGTGGGTTGATCAAAGGCGCGGGAGAGGTGTACAGCTCGAGCAAACTCTTCACGTAAGCCTTGTCCGCCCGAGCAACCGGATCGCCCTCGTTTATGAAAGATAGGAACAAGCTTTTCTTCAGTTCCGGCCTCCTCTCAAAGTCCTCCGGTTTCTTCAACGGGATGATGCTGATTGGTGGAGTGCCGAATGTGACACAGTGAACTCGCTTAAAGCACCCAGCTACCGCCGTCAACTCGCTTTGCGCCTCCTTTGTCGTCGAGAGAATGTGGCTGTAGAGCAGAGCAGCGACGGCGCCACCAGCGCTATGGCCGGTGATGAGCAACGAATACGACGATCGGCTGGGATCCTCCTCGAGAAGCTGGCGCAGCCGACGAGCCACGGGTTGGACCATATTCCGAGCGACGTCAAGGAAGCCAGCGTGGCAAAGGTTGCCGGGATCGTCCAGGAACCCTTCGGGAGAGGTGGGATTCGAGTTGAGGTTGACGGCCCAGTCCATGAAAGTTGCTGTGCCGCGAATGGCAAACACGATGGTGTTGACATAATCCATGGGCACGGATTTGATGACCATGGCTTTGGCGCCGGTTCGCCAGTCGGCGTTGACATGGGCGTCTCGTTCGGCGCCCTTGGGCCTTTCATAGACTCGCTCGGAATACTGAGCGGCGAGACAGAGGAGGGGCCAGGTGGGAATGTACCTATGATGGTGAGTGAGTTGACCAGATGCGAAATGACGGTGTACCTACAGTCTCAAAGGGGGCAGGTCGGTAGGCAATCTCGAGTTGGCGTAGAGATCGACTTTTGCAAAGTAACCACCCGAGTTCGTTGACGACGAGTGCTCCCGATGTTCCCTGTCCCTGTGCTCCCTGTGCTCCCTCGAATGCGAGCTACTCCTCCGAATTCCCGACTTCACCGCGGATCTCGATCCGACCATGCTCGATGAGGGCGGATACGAGGTTTCCTGAACAGCCGGCCTCCATGTGAAGTGTTCCTTCTCCTCTCCACTGATTTGGTTCAGATCTATCCTCGTCAAGACATCATTTAGTCGACCGGAGATTTGGTCGTAGAGGGCGGCGCCTTGGTTGAGTAGCTGAGTCTTGTTGTCAGGCCAATGGGAAAGCATTCCGTCAAAGCCATGGGCGAGGCTTGGTACTTGGGAGATATCCGATGCCACCTCCATCACCGACCCCGCGGGCATCTTGTTGAGAGAGCTGGTGCTGTTCTTTGGCGGCGGAATCGGTGGTATTGACTGGATGAGTTGTGGCGGTGGGGAGTTTGGACCCGGAGTGCCGAGATAATAGTGATGTTGGTTGACAATGATGGGCTGTGGTGAAGACGGAGTCCATCCTGTCGGTGATGGGAGGAGGCCGGCGGGTTCGAACGGCTGACCCTTGTGCCAGTCATGCGGCGAGTAGGCTGGTGGTGGTGGGAGAGCGGCATAGTGATGTTTTGAGGACGAGCCGGAAACCTGCCGGTCACGATGACCTCGACTGGAAAGGTGAGGAGGATGGTGTGGGGATGTCGGTGTGTCTCTATCGTCTTTCCTTGGTTTCTTTGACCGACCAAAGAAAAGGAAACCCATGGTTCAGAGAGGAGTGGTAGAGTGCGGTTGTAGCTAAGGCACCCACCCACATACAATGCTCTGTAGAATAGCAGTAGGTAGACAAGTGATGAATGGCAAGAAACGAGCGGTGATTTGGGAAAGGGAAGAAGCAGAACCAAGAGGCGGAAAAGTGGATGATGGAGACAAGGACAACACATGGTCAACCGAGGCGGGCCGTCAAAAGTGGATGACTATCTCAGCCCACCACGCTAGAAAAGGGCAAAAACTGATACAGCACTAGTCTACGTAGAGGTAGTCGTCGTGAAGCTGTCCTCGATGGGAGCCATGATTTGCTGGGTGCCTGTCCTTCACTCGAGACACAGGTCAATCCAAGGCGAGCAGTCCCACAGTAGGGACGGGAGTGCCTTGTCGTTTTTCGATGGGGGGCCGCTGCAGCTTCCTATTCGCTGCCGTGGAACCACTAAGCCTCCAATGGCCGGCAGTGGTGGCGGTTTCGTGTGCCCCAGATTGGTGTAGACGGTAGATGACTGGTGGATGAGGGTCAGGCTTCTTGGGTGCCAGTGAGGGTTGGTGAGGGTTGATGAAGGCTGGTGAGGGTTGATAGCCGCCCACGATAGAATGGAATCTGCATTGGATGGGGAGAGGCAGGCCAATACGGACACAACGTGTGGGAGCATTGGGTACGCGAGCCATCTTGGTCCGTCGTCTTCTTTTGCCAAGGGTCTGGAGAAACGAAGGGAAGCTCTCGGGAGATATCCATGTGCATATGCTGCACCCAAAGGGCCGTTTTCTGAGGTGCATAGAGCATCGTCAATGTCAGTGTCAGTGTCAATGCCAGCGTCTGTTTGGCAAGTGTGTCCGTCTGGCTGTCTGCTGTGGCCCGGCCACGTCGTCGACATATGGGAAGTGGCTGGTTGAAGCTTCCTCCTCGGGGTCCATTGCGGGGAACAGTTCAACAGACAATACTATGAATGGAAGCTTCATGATTGTTGGTCTCGGCCTTCGGGGCTCCCATCCGGCCCGCCCTGAGTCGATGACTGCAGTAATGGACGCAGTAGGGACAATGTAGGGGAACGTAGGGGGGCTGGAGGTAGATCGGGGCAGTCCAGTCATAAAGAGACAACAAAGAGTTGAGCTTGTGAAAAGGAAGAGAATTTCAGACTTGTTAGTGTTGGATGACTCGTCCGAATTGGTTGGCTGTGGTTGCCTTGTACAGCGTCGCATTGCAGCCATTGGCTCTTAACAGTTCACCACTATTGGCTTGTCAGGAACAGGAAGAGAAGTCGGCGACATCGGAATGCCCTCGACTGCTGGCCCCGTCTGTGTGTTCACATGCTTCTGGAAACCACAGTTGCATGATTGCTCCTATCATTCTATGTCAGAGAGTTTCGCAGGATCGATTGAGTGATGATGCCCGACGACGATGTCAGAGCAAGGAAGTCAGATGAAGCAAAGATGTTGACAGCTACAAGTAGTACCTGGTAGGTATAAGTAGTACCTACGTATCTTTGGGACTACAAGTATGCTGTTAACGCTCTCCACGTTATTAATAGTAATCTGCTAACAGGGATACACCTGTCAGACACGGCAGTTTCACTCTTGTCTGAGAAGAAGCTGTTACCCCACTTCTTCCTCCTCCCATGGTGGGGTTGACTGAGATCCATCTCAGGGTCCGTTCAGTTCAGTTGCCGGTGCGGTGAAAGGTACATTGGGTTGGTACCTGAGACCCCTTTACATACCTTACGCCCGTGCACCGACCACCACCCTGATGGCCAACTAGGTGAGCACCGAGCAACCCAACTGCCACTTGGACGCCGCCGAGCAATCGTCCGTCGATCTGGAGGACAACCTGGACCACCCGACCGACACGACGCGATTCTTCCTTGTGTGTGTTGTATCCGCTGTGAGCCGTACACCGACACCGACACCGACCGAGACCACCGAACCCGACCCCAGTTCCCTCCCCCCGTTCCCACTCACCACCCGGCGACCCGATCACCGCCCACGCCAGACTAGGTACCTAGTGTAGCACACAACCTACACACACACACAGACAGAGAGACACTCCCCGGTTTGCTGTTCCCCCTCGAAATGCTTCCAGAGTCGCCATGGACTTCTGGTCGCGCCTCATAGCACACACGCTCCCCTCGACGGGCAACTCGCGGAACTGGAAGGACTTCGCCAAGGATCCCGTCCGCCGCCTCCAACGCTTCGAGAAGGAGTACACGCAGCTCATCCAGGCATGGCGCCTCTCGCCCAGCATCGCCCACGATGACGAGGCCGCCGAGCGCATCGAGATCTGTCTCCAGGAGCTCACCAACATGCTCACCGACGAGAACCGCCGCCCGCTGCCCCATCCGTGCATCACCTTCTGCGCCACCAAGCAGATATACATCCCCATAGCCAAGATCTCCACCACCTCCAACAACGAATGGGTCATCAAGGAGGCCGTCCTCTTCTTCGCCACCCTGATCGAGAGCGAGGAGGAGGCCTTTGTCGAGAATGACCACTTCTCCGCCAGCCTCACCCACCTGATGGTGCGCATCACCGGCGCCAACACCCTCCGTCTGAGCGCCGACACCGAGGCCCGCGTCGTCGAGTTGGCCTTCAACATCACCACCAAGCTTCGGCTCGATCCCGACATCCTGCCCGCCTGGTTTAAGTCGCAGCCGCAGAATGGAGAGGAGAAGCAGCCCCTGGGCGAACATGAGCGCTTCACGGGGAGGACGCAGAAGCAGGACTTCCCTCTCTTCTACCTGCTCATGGACTACATCCACCACGAGGGCAAGGTCGGCGACTTTGCCAGAACGGGCCTGCTGTACATCATCGAGGCCGCGTCGAGCTCCGTCGAGCTGGAGCAGTGGATTGTCGAGAGTGATCTGTCGACCCTGATGGCCACCGGCTTGGGTGCTCTGTATAGTCAGCTGAGCCGCAAGCTCGTCATCGACCATCCGTCCAATGCTCTCCCGGCCATCCTCGCCCTTTCCGACTACGAACATCCCAAGCCCAATTACGAAGTCATCAGCTCTTGTACCTTTGAGTTCCAATCGCATCTGGAAACCTTTCTTTCCCATCTTCTGTTCTGGCAAGATGTCTTGAACCACTGTCGGTCGGTAGAGGTCAAGTCCTCCTTGCTCGAGCACTTCCAGGTCATCTTTTTGCAGCAACTCTTGTAAGTCAAGGCTCTCTGGCCATGCCAACACGGTTCCACACTAACCCTGCAGATACCCATCCCTCCTCGAGTCGTCAGATATCGACGGCGGTTCCTCGGTGGCTGTCTTGACTTATCTCCGCCATATCCTCCAATCCGTTGACCACCCCGACATGATCAACCTGATCCTGCACTACCTTCTGGGTCTGCCCGATATTGTAGGATCCGTCTCGTCCGACTCCAAGGACGGCGTAAGTGCCGCTCGAAAGCGCAAGTCTATGGATCTTGCGACCATGATGGCCTCCAAGTCCGAAGCCGCAGACCCCTTGCTCTTCAACCTGGTCGATCTCATCCTCGCCTGTCTCAGGTCCCAAAGCCTCCAAACCATCTACGTCACATTGCAGCTGGTCTCGGTGATTCTTAAGAGACATCACCGCTACGCAGTCATCACCTTGCTCTACACCGAAGGCGTACTGGGTAACTCGTCTTTTAGAACCACGGGCGCCCACGAGCAGGAAGTCGAGTACCTGATGGGCCTGGCCCAGACCATCGGCGGCGAGGACAACTTCAACGAGATCTACGACAGCGTCATCAAGGACACCATGATTCGCGTCGAGAACCACCCCTGTTCCATGAAGTTGATTACCCCGAAAGCGCTAGCGAGCAACCACAAGCAGCCCGCCATCCCCGACAGCTTGCCCGGTGCGCCCAGAGACGTCCGCTCGCACACGCTGCACCCTGATGACCCCCTGCTCACCAGTGTCTTGGACCGGCTCGAGACATTCTTTATCAATCCCGTTGAGACCAACCTGTCGTTAACCGAAGTCATCTTCGACCTGGCCATCTGCGGGTACATGCATCTGGAGGGCTGGTTCCTGAGGCATCCGTCCAATTATACGTACGACGAAGACCAGGACGCACCTGCGGCCGAACCACCGGCAGACATCGACCCCGAATCCCCCGAATACGACGAATACCAACAACTCCTCTCCATGCACCATTGCCGGCGCCGGCCGCAATGGTCCCGCGATTCACTCCCCCGGTTGTTGCGCATTCTGCAAACCCTCTGTGACGAAGTCGCTGCCTACCGTGACACCATCCCCCGTTTCAACGACCTGCTCCAGCAACGTCGCGAAGCCTTTCAAACAGCCGACGGAGCCTCAATACCACCCTCCGTCGCGCCCTCCGTCGTCCCCTCAGCCGCCCCTTCGCGGTCACGCACGCCGTCCACACTGCAGCCACCCGCCCAGCTCACGCCCGGTCTGAGTACCCCGGGTAATACCGCGCCCGAACGACCAACCTCCGGCCTCGGCCTAGAGTCCTTCGCCCAGCGCATTTTCTCCGACCTCTCCTCCACCATCTCTACATCTCCCAACCGCACAGCGAACAACTCGCCCCGTCCCCGCTCCTATACCACACGTACCGTTTCCGAACGATCGAGCTACTTCACCAGCAACGAAGCCCCGCCTCCCCTACCACCTAGGAACCGGACGCCCAGCATGCTCGTCACCTCGCCACGCAAGGGAACGGGCGGCTTTGGCCTAGGAGCAAGCGGAAGCGCATTGGGCGGCGCGAGTGTTCCCGGCGCAGTGGCTAGTGATATTAGTGGCAGTGGGAAGATGGAGTTGGTCATGAGCCAGGCTAGAGCGTTCCAAGCGGTGGATCAGAGCATTTTGGCGAGGAGAGTGGGGATTCCGGATGTTTCTGATGCCAAACACGTTGGTCCTAATCTTGATGGGCAGTCCGATAGTAAGGCTGATGAAGAAATGGAGTTGGGCGATAGGCTGGCTGGGGAGGGACAGGATGTGGCTGTGTTGCCGAGGTTGACGGTCCATCGCCCGCCGCCAAAGGGAGAAGATGGAGGATTAGATGCTTTGGAAGGGGATGAAGATGATGAGGAGGCGAAGCCGGCTGTTCCTCCCAAGGACGATCCACCTTCTCCTGCACCCGCTGCCGGCACTGACACTCCTCACGAGGCTGGCGAGGCTCCCACCTCCTCCGAAATAAATGATGAAACCACGGACTCGGAGGGACAGAATCCCGCCACCGCCACGGCTGACGGCCAGAACCCCGACCAGCAACCAAAGACGGCCGAAGACCAACAAGAACAACAAGCATCCCAGGAGGCAGCTGAAGCCGCGGACAAAGAAGAAGAAGAAGAAGAAGCAACAAAGGCATCAGTATCCCATGTCCTGACGAACGTCATCATCTTGCAATCCTTCCTCTTTGAGCTGGCGAGCTTGGTGCAAGTTAGGGCGGGCGTGTTTGAGGAGGTTAGGTTCGTGTAAACAATTACAGACAGGTACTCTTACTTGCGTACCTACCATGTTAGATACAGTATATATACTATAATGTTACCTCGTGTATAGATTGCTATGGAAAGAGCGTGGAGTAGATGAAAAGGCTGCAGATGACTAAGGTATGTTTATGTAGTCACCGATGACTGGTGATTGGAAATCGGTACATGGATACGAGAATCAATCGTTCGTAGGTATCGTACTGAACGTCCATCATATCCAATTACCCAAAATCAATCAATACTTCTGGGGAAGCTATGGTACTTTGGTCCTCTTGATAAATATTGCGGTCTTCAATGGAATCATTGTGTATTCTCAGTCCTCCTCCTTCATCTATCGAGTATCTTTTATTAATTACTTCTCGTTTCTGAACACGTCAGTCCTGTGATAGATAGACGTACTACTGTCTACAATAGTTAAACAATCATTCCATTATGTAGAACTGCCATTCCGCTCATTGCAATCTAACAAACTCATGTTGCCGAAATATAACATTACTAAAATTTCTCTATAACTGTGAATCGATCAAACCGAAAAGAGATCTGAATTTTTATGGAAGTTGACCGAAGATCCTGAGCTGATAAATATCATGATATCAGTATTGGACTACATGAGGCTCACCAACCTCCGCGCATCGTCTCTTGAAACTTTCTTCAGACTCTCGCGATGACACACAGACATTGATTTTATTTCTACCAAACGCTACGAACGCAGGAAATAGCATACGCTCACGTATATCTGATTGGTGTCAATGGTGTCTTCTTTGCCCAACCCATCGACATCTTGCTGGGAGTCCTTGCTTGGCCTAGTATATGTATCTGACCTACTATACGGAGTCACTGTCTGCAGGCTGAAGCTTACAAAGGCAACATGTGTCCGGAGGTAACCAGTCTCAAGGACACATTATAAGATGGCACGATCATTTACGTCGGTGCCAGAGGAAGACCAACTGGCTGAAGATGAGGCTAGATTCCCTACCAATTCTGATGGCGAAACCTCTAGCAAATGTACCAAAAACAAGTGTACTAGCCTTTTGTCTTCCATGTACCTATTGTATCCATGTCTTAGCCATACATATGCCCCTATGCCGTCTAGAACGAGATCAAGTATTTTGCAAGCGATACAAACAAGTCATGATCTTTGCAAAGCCATCTAAGCCGACAATAACATAACAACGTCAACGGGACGAGAACAGTATACCAGGGAAGCAAAGCACCCAAGCATACCAGCAAGGGCACCCATTGTCATTAGTCATCCACAAATCGCAACACTAACTGAAGCAACCACAACAACAACTGACAACCAACTGATACAAGCTGCATGAGCCTTTCTGACTCACTTCTCAGATCTGCATCCATAACCATATCTGATGCTGAATTAAGTCTTGCAATGCTTTGGGGAAATCCGTCATGTTCCCATCATCGTCCAGGTCCAGCCCAGTGGCTCAAGTCTTCAGCCCCCGCTCCATTCAGCTTCCTTGTCATCCCTTTTCTCCCTTGCGTTGCATATATCATGTACCAATCGCTTTTCCTTCACGTTCTTCCTCTTGAAGATGTATCATGACAGCCCCTCAATATCCCTTCTCTTTCTTTCCCAAACCATTTGCATCAAGAAGAATAGATGTAGTTGTCAAAATCCATTTCGCCATATCGAAACAAGTCGAACTAAACTCCGCCCAACGCCATCCGCATGTGTCGCGTTCTATGGCCGACCGAGCACGAAGGATATAAAACCATTTTAACGCCGTAACCGCTTGGAAGACCAAAAAGCAAGGCGGTTATGCAGCCTGCCAAGAAACGACAGACAAAAGACAAAGGAAAGTGTCGGCAGGCTGTTGCGGGCCGGGTAGGGTTATCAAACAGAGGGCTATGAAGTCGTCCTCTTTGTAGTCGCGGCATCCTCATGATGCGCATGTTGGGCGATTGTGCGGATCCAACAAGAGATTCTCAACGAGAAGGCGGCACCCAGGTGTCCCATAGATGGTCCAGTTATTTTTGGTTCTGCCTCTCGCTCTTCCAGATGCCGGCACCGAGCGGCTTGCTGACGCCGAAGCCCACGCCAACGGCAAGACCAATAACGAGCAAGCCGATCATGACCTTGACGATGATGCGGTTGCGTTTGCTCATTTGCGCCAGACAGTTGCAAGTGTGACGGTTCATCTTGGCATCCTTCGCCTTTTGCTTCCAGTGGTCTTGACCGGGCCATACCTGGCACTCTGTTGTGGCTCCCTTTGTTGTTGTGCTCTTCTTGACGCAGGTTTCATTGGTGACCATGGCTTCGATGTCGGACTCGAAGGGATTGGCACGAGCGCTGTAGGGGGTAGAGACGTCTGAGGGGCGCGATAATGTCATGTTCTTTTCGGCCATGGGAGAGAGGCCGTCGGGAATGAGGGTATCTCGGGAAGTCTTTGGCTCGAGGCGGGTCGTGGTGGTCTCAAGGTGCAGGCCGGCCTTGTTCCGCTCATGTTCAACGAGGGACGCCATGTTGGAAGCGGGAGTGGGCGATGGCAAGGGTCAAGTAGACGAGGGGAAGGACTGGGGTGGTGGTTGAAGGCTAACTGGCTAGACGAGTAAAACCTAGTGGCCGGTTGGATTGGATAATGTCTATGTTGGTGTGTCGCCGACCGTGCTAGTCCGCGAGCGTGATAGGGATATATGACGGCGAAGCGTTACCCGAAATGGCGATCTGGAAGGAGTCAGCTTCACGTCTTCAGCAGAGATGGAAGAGCAAGCACAGAAGGGCGACACAGGGCACTTCGGTTGGGAAGGAGTGACGATGTTGGTGGTGGGCACGGGTGCGTACAGCAACGGCCATGATCCATGATCCATCGCACACAGAACACTGCAGTGAGCACAGACAGGAACGAGAGAAACAGCGACTCACCAAACAGGTCGTAATAATATGTCGATATCTGGTTCGACTCGAGTATCGATCGACTGGCGTGAAATGAATTGAGAGACCAAAAGAAGGATCCCCAGCAAACAATCTCTCTACCACGTGTGGTCAAACTGTAGAGGTAGACAGGTAGGCGGGATACGACGATGGGGGGAGATGAGAGACAAGAATGAAGATAAGGGAAAGAGGGATAGGGATTTCCCGTATTAAGATCACCTCGGTGGTTGATCCTGGGGGCAAGGAAGACCGATTGAGGAGAAGTTGCACGAGACCAGGTTCACTCCAGGCGAGTCACGATAAGCGGATAGCGGTGAATCTGGGAGGGGAAGTGAAGGGAATGGCCTTGGTTGTCGTCGTCGTCGTCGTCGATGTCGTCGAACGCCCACCTGGTGAAAGGATGGTGATGACGATACCTGGAGAGATAGGTCCAGGTATTGCATGAGGAGAGAAGAGGGAAGGGAAAACAAGAGGAAGGAACAACGACTGAAGAGCAAGCAAAAAGTTGGAGTTTCAAGAGCCAGTGGGGGAGTAGCAATGACACCTACTAGCAACGGGCAGGTACCAACCAGGGCCGGACCAGGTTCACTCACCCAGGCGCAGGCATCAAACTTCCAATCGGTTCACGCAAGGACGGGAGGGAAATGAGAAGGGGCAGGGATACGTACCTGCTGGCACACAAATCAGCACATTTTCATTGCAGCGCCTGCTATTAAGAAGGTGCGCTGCGCACTGTCACTGTCACCAACGAAGGAAGAGGGTCACCTTATACCAAACGAAGAAAGAGGCACGCAATGAATGCAAGTCACTGCAGTTAGTTCTTCCCTCTTTTCCCTTGTCTTTTTTTACTTCCTTTGCTCCTTCTCCCCTGGTCCGTCGTCCGTGTATGTAGTTTGGTAGTGTAGGTAGTTCACAATCCATTCACCAATTGGCCCCCTGAGAATACGGGAGTAGAGGCTTGGCGGGAGCTAGGGCCAAACAGGGGAAAGTCCATGTGAACAGGGGTCTACCTGCAGCAGTCGCGACTCGCGGCCACTCTTGGCTGAACGTCTTGGCTGAGCCGCTCGCTTGTGTGCTTAGCCAATAGAAAGCTGGCTCAAGTGGATCTTGACCGGCCAGTTTTAGACCCATTTAAACCCATTTCCTTTTCCAGGTACACGCCGCTTGTGTGATTGGCCGGGAAGAGGCCCTTATGGTGGGTAGCCCTGGACCAAGCTAAAGTAGGCCACCCCACCACCGTTGGTACAGTACTTTACTTTAAAAGTACCCTTCCCCGTCGCTTGCCCTTTCCCCTCGAGCGAGAAAAGGGGCAATGGTGCTTGACAATCGAACATGTCGATGATCCGTTGAACATCATTCCACTTCAACTTGCCCAATGGTTGACCGACAGACGGGAACTGAACCACCTCAAAAGCACGCAACCGGCCGTGAATGCAGCAGTGGACGATGGATGTGCCGGCCTGTGCAACAAGTGGCTGCATCGACGGTCGGCGTAGTGCGCGCAGTCCATATTATGGCCCTTACTGTGCCTTGATAAGACGCCCGCATAGCAAGCTGTAAGTAATTGGACAATGCAGTGGAAAGTATTCGAGCCTTTCTGCCATCATACCGTCTCTCGAGGCACTGCAAGTCACACTAGTTCAGCTGCAATGATCATCACCGGTGGCCGATCGAGGTTCCAAACGAGCCAAGTTCGACGACAGCTCAGCGCCAGACCCTCACACACGTGCTCCGACATTCTAGACACACCATGGTTCTTTTATTTCTTCTCGTGCCCTTCCCCTCCCTCGTTATCTTTAGTGTCGGCCTCACACATGTCTACACTGCCTCTAGACACTACACACGATACTGTGCCAACTGCAAACCCAGGGATGTGGGTAAGGACGGTTCGTTCTCCCGGTTGCAACGCTGTTCCCTGAGAATTAAACTTTGCCGCCATTGGTTTTGCCAAGGCTCGCTTCTTGTTTTTGCTACTCGTGTTCCTTGCGTCTCCACATTGCTTGTTTCCTTGGTCTCTTTACGTTTCACACGTCCGGGATCAATCAATATTGAACAATCAGGATCCATCCATTTAACTTATCTTTATCTTCAAACGCTCAGTCCCAGAATACCTAACGATCAAATCCCAACATTTTGTTCTGAGCAATCAGTGCTTCACCGGTCACCATCGTCAAACATAACAGCTCGACGGCCCCAATATGTAGCCCGATGCCCCCCTTCGGCTCCGTCCCTGGTCCCACCATCCGCACCAACAAAAGCCTGGGGCGGTCTGGACGGGAAGCTATTTCTGCTCCATGAGCTTAATCCTACCTCCCTAACTGACTTCTGCCGACTCCCTCGGGTCCTCTTCGCCACCATAAACCTTATCGCCCGCAGCTCCCACGAGAACTACGCGGCACATTCCGGTACAATGCGGGGAAAAGGAACGCTAGCATAAAGAACTATCGACCATGGCTTTTACCGCTAGTCAAGAAGCATTCCTCCTTCCTTATTCCTCAGGTCATGGTTTCCAGGTCATCCCTCCAAGGGCCAGAGACACACACTCACACGGTCTGGGATGCGGCGTCTTCCCGGAAAACCCTCACAGACCCAACTGAAGTCCAATTGAAATCAGGTAGCCCAATTCGCCACACGATATCAACATTGAAGGCCAAACACTTTCAAGGATAGTCGAGCCACAGCCCACGTTGTGCAGAGCAGGTGTCATATGTCACCCTCTCTCTCTGTCAAACTGCCAGCACCAAAGGGTCTCGCGTCGTCCGAAAGTTCGCACGTACCTACACCTGCCTCATCGTTCCTTTTTGTGAAAGCCCGTTGATGTTCCTGATCTCCACCGCATCTTCGTGCAACACACCATGATCATTGTCAGATTCTCTTGTTATACCGTCGGAGATCTCCTCGTCGGTCAACGTCTGCCGTTTCACTTCAAATTCGCCTTTGTCCTTGTTCAAAGCACATGTTTTGTGCATGTAAATGTGGGTTGTAGGGACTCACGATCCCATCCCCCGCCATCTAATTCCAGATTCGTTTTCTTTACGTTCTTTGTTATATTCTAGGAGAGTTCCTGAGTGCAATGTGCGCCTGATGACGTTCGAGGGGTCATTCTGTGGAAATGAAAGCAGTTAAAGGACATGCCTTGCTTCCATGAAAAAAGAGCTGTTGTTTCTATGCCCCGCTTTCATCGGCTTCGAGAGGCATCTTTCGCTCCCATCCGAGTGGTTTCAGAGGAAGATTCCGTATCACCAACGGGTAATCACGCAATGCGTACCTGATTCCATAAGAATGGCAAATACCTGCCTCACCCAAGGCTTGCTGCATCGGTATGAGGATTGGGATGAAAGCCCAGGCAAGTCTCCGGATGCGAGTGTGTTCTACCCTGAAAGCACCTTTTTGTCACCTGTAGCAATAAAGGTCTCATCTGAAGTCATCCGTGATTTCTGCAAGAAAGTAAACCGCAGATTAGCGAGGAAAGTAATGCGCTCCCCTCACTTCCCTGAGTTCCTTCCGGGTCTGGTGCCTGAGATGGAAGATGGCAAATCGGGGAAGGAGTGCTTTGTGTGTGCTTTTTGCCTCTCGTGATGATCTATCCGGAGCTCATGAGAAGCAAGACGGCTACCGATGGCATAGTTCATCGTCAATAGTCACTTTCTGAGTCTCATCGCATTTTGCTCGCTTACGTGACTGGATTCCATGGCAGACCCCCGTTTTCGCAAAAAACAAGCCAGAGTGATCCAGACAAGCGTCCGAGTAAGAGCAGAGGGGCAAGAAGGAAATCATTTGTTGATAATGACGATCTCAGATTCAGCGATGAAAGTTCACAACGCAGGTCATTCACAAGATTTCAAGCCGGGAAAGAGATTGAGCGTGAACCAACAGCTGTCGAGTCTTCGCAGTCTGATGGTTCTAGCCTCAATATGAAATATTCGATGACATGACTTGCTCTTATATTCACGCCTGAGCTCGCGGATGTACTCCGGCCGAGGTTTCATGAAGTCCAGAGCAATTTGATGGGTATTGTTTCTCATGCTGAAATCTGTAGGAAGCATTGTTGTTTGCTGTATAATACGTACAACAAGCAGTTACTGTGATTGAGTGTCAAGGGAAAAGCCAACACTTGCTGGCGAAGATCATCACGTTGGCGTTAATATCATCGACAGTAAATCGCGATGCTTTCGTAGGGAATGATGTGAGCGAGAAGTCATTGCTTTCTTCATATGAGCACAATCTCTAAGTCCTCCTTCATCTCACGATCTTGGATCACGCATCATGGTGCTCAGTTGGTTTACTTCCAGGCTGCCTTTTCTCAGATATGATCTTATCTGATGTTGTTGTTTTTCATCTCAACACCATTTTGCTTACGCCCAGGCAGCCTTTCCTCACACGAGCTCTCTCATGACGAGGTTGTTCGTCTCAACTTCCTGCTGTTTGCCTCTAAGCTGCCGCTTATTATCAGGAAATCGAATGATGAGAACGCTATCATCCAAACCTCCAGCCGAAAGGGTTCTCACGAAAACCGCGAGAATCATCCACCCAAACAAGTATAAGAAACCCCTTTCCCTCCGCCAACGACGACAAGATTCTTTCCTCTTCCAACATAATCACATCCATCTCACAAAGCTATCTCTCAGTTCACCCTTTACTTCAAGTTCTACATCTGTCCACATCTTCTACACCCCTTCAAGATGCGCACCACTTGCATCGCCACCGTCCTCCTGGCGTTGGCACCCACTGCCATCTTCGGTAGCCCCGTGCCTGTTCTTAAGGTCGGCGTCACCACTAGTGACCACCACGATCTCACCGGTTCCAAGGTAGTTTCCCCCCCTCTCAAACCCCGATCACCCTCAAGTCAAGCTAACTGACACCTCCCAAGACCACCAAACTGAACCATGGTATCGTTGACCGCGACGACCACAACCCTCCGACCAAAACCGCCGTTCCCGGCGACTTGTGCATCAATGCTCACGCCACCATGATTTGCACCCCCGGCGGAGAGGGTAAACCCAACTGGAACCAGAACACTAAGTTCTCTAAGCCTGACGACTCGGTCAACGTTGAGGCCGCCGTCGCCGAGGCAGCTGCCAAAGTCGAAGGCCGAGATGACACCGATCCCAACGTGTGGAACTGCAGCTCCACCTCCCTCAGACAGTACCAGTGCACCGGCGGCCCCGACAACGAGACGTGCATCTTCGACGACGGCCGCAAGGTTTCTTGCACCAGCAACCAGAAGACTGCTGCCCTCCAGACCAACGCCAGAAACGGCGAAGGTCCTGATTTCACCTGCGTCACCGACACGAGGGGGGTTTGCGTTTGCACTGGTGCTGATCTCCGCTGCATCATTGAGAAGCAGGGTGATGCTACTTGCAGCTTTAATGGTTCCGATGGCGATGCCAGCAAGTTGAAGGTCAATACCGAGCGTCTTGCGACTGTTCTTTCCACAGTTGCGCCCAAGCCCAAGGACGACAGCGACCCCTTTGACGCCAACCCTAACTACTCCTGTTCTCAGATCTCGGACTGGACTTGGTCTTGTGGTTCGAACGGTGCTGATCCCGGCAATCCTAGCGGAAACAGCCTTGTCTCGGACGGTGGGCATTATGACCCAGGTCAGGGATGTAACCAACCGCAGGGTTTCTTTGGTGGTTGTGACGGCAAGCTTGACTCTCACGACAAGATCGAGGGTGATCATGTTCCCAAAGCCAATGCCATTGGGTCCGACGTTACCTGCGTTGATGTAAGTCTTCGCCTTTCCCCTTTCCCACTCACTCACCACTAACGTCGTCCTAGATGACCGACCGTAACAAGCTCCCCTATCCCTCCGGCCTTAACGACTGCAGCGCCCTCCAATCTGACTTCCTCTCCCCCAACAACACCCTCTTCAACCCCGACCCCGACGTCAATCCCCACTCCACCAATCCGGACGACTTCGTCCTCTCCTGGTCAACCGACTCCAAAACTTGCAAACACGCGGCCCACAACACTTGCCACCTTTCCATCTGCAACTACGCAATCATGGCTGGCGCAACCGTACCCGTCAAGATCCCCAAGGCAGTGATCAGAGAGAACATGAAGATGGTGCTGGATAAGTGCGTGGAGCAGCAGCAGGTGGGCGGCTATGTGTATCCTGAGACGACGCATGATGTGACTTTGGCGTTGGGGACGCTGGATACCACGCAGACCTATGGAAAGAGGGATGTGGCTACTAACGATGGTAATCCGGATGAGGATTGCAGTGTGGTGGAAAGCTTTTTCTGGTATTGCAAGGCCAGGTGAGAAAGGGGTCGGACCGAACTGGGAATCTGGTCGCAGTCCTAGGAGTTCCTTGGGATCTTGACCACTACCTACTTCTGACCAGCCAAGGATATAACTAGGGTAAAGGGTAACTTGGACGGGGGAAGTTCATGGGGGGTTTTAGCTCGAAGGATCTAGTCAAGATGCATAATGGTGATAGCTTGACGGCTTGACGATGGAGGTTTTTCCGACAGTCGCTGACGTGAGCCAGATAGCTGATATATACCTCTACAAACGCTCGTTGTCCTTGCAACATATAATCGTATCAAGGGTTGACTTGACAGAATCAAGTTGCCAGAAACTCCTTTTTACCCTTCAAGACCCCAGTGCTCGTGGCAAACACTCGTGCATCATCAAGCTCTTTCGACCGTTATGGGTAGAGGAATGTTTGACGCTTGCCATATTGGCTTTGGGAATAATTAGGCAGGCATTTACGCCAAGTTAAAGCATCAGATTAGCGATGAAAACGGCCGAGGGCAACTTGAGATCCTTGAGGTTTTACCAGATGTCTGCATTCTGCCACTGAACATTTTTTTAAAAACGACTTATCAGCCTGTCGCGAGCCCGCACCGATGGTTTGGTTCTTTCATCGGCCCTCAGGTCTGTTCATTGTCCACGCGAAACGAAAACGGAAGGCACGCGTGAATGGGACTTGTTCGTTCCATCTGAACCTTTCCAGCTCGGCGCCAGCAAAATCGGGTACCAAGCAGATGGACGTGTCCCGTTTTCCCTCTTCTCTTTTTTTAACTCTCCTCAACACCAACTTTTATCACCAGCCATTTCTTGGTGTTTTGGTTTTGGCCGGTAACTTCTACCGCTTCGTCCAAGCAGCGCTACAGTACTTCGGCAACGAAAGTACCTCTACATTCGACCTACTTACACCAGCCACACCTCCTTATCGTTCTTGCCAAGCCCCGCGATAAGCCAGCCCTGCGTCACCATCACCATCACAAGGATGTCTCACCACCAGTCAGCCTGGACCGCGAATCGGTTCGGATCTCGGCCAGGCCACCCTACCGATCCGCACCGTCACCACTGGAACGCCATCCAAGACTCTCTTCACCCCATCTACCCGCGCCCTCGTTCCAACGTTCAGCTCGACTATCTCGACGAAATTATGCCTACGCCGCGACTGAAAGATCACGTTGACACCTTTTTTGGACCGGTCAGTGACGGTGGAAGTACGGTATGTCTTGTCTTCTCTCTCCGTCTCCTCTCCATCCCACCTTCACTCACTCTCTCTCCCTCCTTTATTATCTATCTTATTTTCTCCAATCTAACCAGTCCCCCCCCCCGTGCTTAGAACAAAGACGCCCACTTTACCCCCGTCCACCTACACGCCTCCCACCACGCCGACCTCTTCGACGACTTCACGCGCGACCGCCTCCCCGCCTCGGAAGACATCTACGTGCCTCCGCACCTCCAGCCTCTCAACCCCGAAGACGAAGATGACGTGGTGCCTGACCAACACGCTGCGTTTGGCATCCAAAAGGCTACACAAAAGACGCGCGAGCCGGCCTGGAGGGATTTGGGACTGGAGGAGCTGATGCAGCAGGGTCCTGGGGCGCCGGGGGCCGGGTTGGGATTAGGGAATGGCGGAGTGGGTGGTGGGAGCACGGCGGGGGTTGCGGGGGGTGGAGGACCAGGGGCGGGGAATGGAGGGAGGAGTAGAGTGGCTAGGAAGAAGATGAGGGCCGGTGAGCATGGGGGTTTGCCGAGGTGAAAAGTAATGTCGAAGTGGAAGGAGGGATGGCGATGATGATCATGATGATGAGCCATACGGACTGCGTTGGGACACGGCGGCTGAAGAAGGTATCGTCATGGAATGCGCAGAAGAACGATGACGGCGGCGGCGACGCGACATAGCGCTGGCGAGCGGACAGCTACGGAACATTTGCGGTTATAGCATGGGCAGGAGTTCGAGTTTCCCGTTTGCGACGCGGTGACGGAGCGCAACGCATGGAGTTGGAAGGCTCATTACTATATGGGTCAACTTGACGGGCCCTGGATCACAGAACAAGGGATAACATCACAACAGACGGCATGTTGGAAGCGGCGTATGGCGGCATAGCTAGGACGGCGCAAGATTGTTTATCAGAGATATCCCATGGGTTTTTGCTGTTAGAATTGTGTACCCGAAACAACATAACTTCTCTTTCCAACGCCAACGTGGTTTCTTGAGTCCCGCCGTGAGAGATAACCATGCTGTTGCTCGAATAATGCGCCTCAGTTAATAACCGGCCTTGATTTGACCTGTGCTAATAATCTTCACAAACAATACCATCATGACCGCTTAAACGCCGTGCTAAATGCCCAATTCCAGATCCCAAAGCCCCAAACAGAGTATATGCCTCCTTCAGCATCCTATCCCTTCCTTTCAACCTGCCTTTTCCATCTCCTTTCCGCATCATCAACTCTTAGCCCCAATCAACGCCTCCCGCTCCAACACCTCCGGCTGGAACTTGACCAAGAACACCGTCCTACCAGGCCACATCTCCCCTCCCTCCCCTCTTCCACCATCCGCCCCCGTCCCTCCACTCCCATTATTACTCCCACTCCCACCGGTATCCCCAACCGTATGCGCCGTCACCCTCGCCGGAAACCCCGCACCATCACAAACCCCCTCTATTATCCCCGCCGCAAACGCCGCGCAATTCAACTGGCTCATCTCCTTGGGCACACTGATATACGCATTCACCAGCGGCTCGTTATCGATAATCATGAACTCGTCGGGCGTGTCGGGGTTGGAGGATTTCTCGAGGCGGTCGGCTTGTCGCCCGAAGAGGTGCGTCCAGACGTTGATCTTGATAAAGTGTAGGAGGGCGATGATGTTCAGTGGACGGAGTTGCGTGCGAGGAGGTTCGCGAAAGAGGAGGAGGTCGAGGAGTTTGAGGCCGATGGGGTGGCCTTGGAGGTTGAGGCTAGAAGCAGGTCTTGGGGTAAGCATTTGGACTGGATGAATGGGATATGGTGAAAGTGGTGGGCGGGGGAAGTGTATGAGCGACCAACAGGACACGACCAAGGAACCAAACAAAACAACAATGTGCGGGTAAAAGATGGCATACCGTTTCTCCAACTCCTGAATTCCCGTCACCCTTCTCTGCGCATACGACACCATCTCGGCAAACAAATACGCAAAGGCCGCTTTGCTCAGCTCCGCCGTCTTAGTGCGGTTGAGCGGCCGGTGGTAAATCGTCTTGCCGTTCGATGGGTATCGAAGCCCGGAATCCCCTGCGCGTCCGCCGCCGCCGCCGCTGCCTGCTCCGGCTGGTAAGTGGTTAGACATGGCTGCTGGTGATGGCCCTTGTGTCGAGGACGTGTTTGTCGATCGATGGAGGCGGTAACGTAGTGTAGGTATGTGCGCGACGGTTATGGTGTTGTTGTGTATGACGTCGCTGGTTGAACTGGTTCGCGATGCTGTAGACAGACAGCTATATTTGGTGGTTTGGATTCCGTTGGATGCTTGGGATGGTGGGACATGAACGGCCGCAAGTTGACGAGGGGACTCGGGAGCTTCAGGTGTCAGTGGGTGAGCCAAGCTACGGTAGCCGCGATTGACTGTGGCTTGGTGGGTAGGTGGGTCCGGCGACCAAAGGTACCTTTGAAGTACCTGTACTGCCTGCATACTCTCTGCACGCTCAAGCAAGGTACATGCAACTATTCAACTTGTTTTGTTTTCGACTTCCCCCCTTTTCGCCCAGTTTTTAATGGCCAGTGATGGCATCCAACAAGACCGACAATATTATGAGCGCACTCAACCCAGGTTGAATTAAATGATTATATACCTCGCTCCTCGACATAATCATTACTGAAAAACACTAATGGCGGGAAATAAGCGTGCTCTGTTGGTGTTGTCGCACGTTGTTCTCAAATTAATACAACGAACCATTGCTTCAACCTCGGCACCATTTCACCACGCCAACTCTCAAGGCTCAGCAAGCGTAGCAATGAAATAATAGGTATCACATGTATCGTATAGTGTTGTCCCGCCTCTAGAAACTCGACAACTTTTTCTATCGTGCTGCAATAAGACTAAAGTCACTTCCACCTGGACCACAATTCCTCTCACTCTATTTTTAATCGTCCTTTCATCGCCCCAAAATGGCAACCAAAGAAGCTTTCATAGCTGCTCTGTCCATCACCTCCACAACTTGCTCACTTCCATTCTGATCTCATCCACCCCATCATGCAAGGCAGGTCGGAACTTATTCACCAACACCGCCCTTTTCATACGAGAACATCCCATCTCTTCTTCACTGTCGCTTTCCCTGGTTCGCTTTCCCTCGGCCGTCGATGTATTATCATCCGGTTGACCATACTAAATCACGCCGGCACCTTTGCTATCCTCATCTCTTAGGATCTGAAGTTGTGTCTTATACTCCTTCGATGCCCATTCCCAATAGCTGTGCCAGACCTGGTTAGTACCCGCCACCGCAGCCGATCCCCCGGGAACTGCCGCTCCCACCGCGCCGCCCGCGCTGAGGAAAGCCTTGAGTTTCTCCCCGAGCAAGAGCGTGACCCTAAGTGCTGCCCGGTTGGCCTCGGCTTGCTTCTCGAGCTCCTGCTTGACCGCCGTGTCCTTCAGCTTGGTCGACAGCGTCTTACGGAAGGCCTCTGCGATGGAGTCTAGGCGGCGAATGGTCTCCTCAGGGTCGATGTAGGCGAGCTTGGAAACCATGAGGTTGCAAAGAGCTTTGATGTCGTTATCATCCGACAGGCCAGCGACAATGCGGTCGTAAAGATCGATGATGCTGATGCGAGAAAACGCGGTTTCCATAAGCGCGTAGAGGGTTTCGTATGCGGCCTAGGAACGTTAGTCTCAGGTAACCTTGTACACAAAATCACCTACTCACCTTGCGAAGTTCCAAACCATCATCGATAATATGCTTGAACGGACCCATCTGCACCTCCCTGATGAGTTCCGGCTTGATCACTGTCTCCTTCATGACGTAAGGCATCAGCTTGTTAAGATGACCAAGGATGACGTCCGCCTTGTTGTGCGCCGCCGAATTGAGCGTCGACATGGCATGACGGCGGTTCTCCATCTCGGGATCTTCCAGCATCGTCTTGAGCATGTCAACCAGGTGGCTCTTGAGCATGCTGTCAAAGACCTCGTTCTCATCGGCGAGAGTGTAGCGAAGGGCCTGAATGGCGATGGCCCTCAACAAAGGCGACGGGTCGTTGAGGAGGGACTTTGGATCGTTAGTGCCAGAAAACCTCACAGACAGCGTAGGTCCCAACTTACCACAAGCTTTGACATGTACGTCTTAGGATCAATAATAACCAACCGACCAATACACTCTGCACAAACTGCCTTGTTGTCCTCTGACCCCGACGCAGCAAGGATCTGGTTCCAAATTGGCGTCGATAACTCACCAAGGTCGGTCGAAGACATGGCAACCTGCTGAAGAACCTCCTTGATAGACTGAAGGAGCAAGTACTGCGTGTTACCCCCTTGCTGCATCGACTGAAGGATCACGGGGACATAAGCAGCTACATTGCCCGCGCCAGCACGACCCAAAGCAACGGCAGCAGAAAGCGACGTCTTGTCGTACTCGCTATGGAACTGCTCAAGGAAGAGGCTGGGAGAGTACGGGAACTTGTCCCCAAGACGAAGTCCAGCCTCACCCAGGATGGTAAGCGCAAGGCTGGCCCTCTCTCCTTTCTGCTTCTGGATCTCCTGGACGAACAGCTCGGCCGTGTAGGTGCCCTTGTTACCACTCGCCACAAGAAGGGTACCAATCACCTTTCCGACCACCGATGGGTCACCGCTCAGGGCAACCTCGTTGAGCAGACGCTGCATAAGAACCTCTCCCTGTCCAGTCTGGCCGATGCTATTGACAAGCACTAGAAGAGAGTCGAGGACCGTGCCTGTAACTGTCGACTCCATAAGTAGTTTACACAGCGCGGTCATGAGCTCCTCGATGATGACAATTTGCGGCTTCTCTTGGGCCAGGCGTGCAAGCACGAGAAGACCGGGGCCAAGAAGTTGGGCATCGTAATGGGTGATGACTGTGACCAGCGCGGTCACCACCTTTTGGACAGTCGCATCATCCAGAGTGTTTTTGGTAGCCGGCGAGAGGACCAAATGCTTGAGAGCCATGACGCTGGAACCCCTCAACGAGCGGTTGGCCTTGCGCAACTGAGCGGCAAGTTCAACAACCACTTCTTGCGTCCATGGTGCGTCAAAAGAGATTTCAGACGACGAGAAAGCGGCGATAGTGTCAATGGCCCGAACGGCGGCGAGACGTGTGGTTTCGTTGAAGAGCCTTTCCTTGAGGTGACCGAGGGCAGTCTTCCGGTCCACGTCCGAGAGTAAGGTAGCGCCCTCGGTACCCGAAGTTCGAGAGAGGAGGGTCCCAAGGGCATGGATGGCCTTCTGGCGAACTTCAGCGTCAGCGTCATTGTCAGTGGTACGGTCAACAATCACACTGTAAAGCTTCTGCAGCTCTCCCTTGTACTTTTGCGCAGTCATACGAGCACGCGGGGGAGTGATGGCCTTGGAGACTTCCTCGGCGGTTTGGACCGCCTCAGCGGCGATCTTGTAGACACGGTCATGAACAACCGAAACAACGCCGTCAACAATCTTTGGTAGATACGGCTGCAGGTCGTTTGAAGAGTGGTTCCTCGCGAAGCTGCTGATCAGGCGAAGCGCGGCAATGCGAAGAGTGTTAGTCGTAGCAGAGGCGCTGCCACCAGCAAAGGAAACCGGCGCGGATGAAGTGCTTGAACCGGTCACCTTGATGGCATCCAGGATAAGATCTGTGATTTGGTCAAGATATGGCGCAAGGCCACCCTTTTGAACAGAAATCAGATCATCAAGGATGCTGATTGTGGCCTGTTTCGTGGGAATGAGCTTGCCCTTGAGCAACCTGGTAGCCGACTTGACGATAGCAGGAGTGAGGGCGGCAAGATCGGCACGGGGTCCGGATGCTGGGATCTTTTCGGCCTTTGGCGACGTGAGTCCGGTGCCGGAAAGGTTGACGGGCATCCCAGCTTGACCGGCTGCGCTACTCTGGCGTCTGCGCTTCCGGCTTTGAGGAGCTTGGCCAAGGCTATCGCCAGTGGCGTCGTCGATCGTAAAGTCGGGGATAACACCCTCTCCCGTCTTGCGAATCAGCAAAGAGACGGCAGAGAGAACCTCAAGGCGAACATTCTCCTCGCGCTCGTCGAACCTCTTGACTAATGCCGGGGCAACCTTTTGGTAGAGAACACCGCTCTCGAGGAGGTCGCCGCTGCTTCTCGTGGAGATGATGGTATGGAGGGCCTTTGCAGCACATCGCCTGACCTTCCAGCTGGCATCATCGTCGTCGTCAAAGTTACCGTCAGCCTCAAACTCATCGTCGTCGTCGAAATCGGCATCCTCCTCTCCCTCCTCTTCCATCTCCTCGTCCTCGTCGGCGGCGTAGTTGGGGTCGAACTTGAGGTAGCGCAGACACGCCTCGATGGCATCATTAGTGTACGGACGCATCTGGTTGGGGCAGGAGGAGAGAAATGCGTCTAGCGCAACAAGAGCGGCTTCTCGGACGTCGCTCCATTCCGAGGTAGTCTCGCTGCCTTCTTGGATTGCTTCGAGTTGTGCCTGCAACTCCTCCTCGTTGAGGGCATCGAGAGCGAAACTGACGACTTCTGGCAGATATCGGCCAAACCTGTGCGGAATGGAGCGGGCCATAGAACCCAGGATGGTGATGTAGAGACGGCGGGTGGCGGGTGGCATGCTCGACTTGCGTAACAGAGCGACAGTGCGCTTGACGAAAGCAGCCAAGAGATCGTCCGACAAGTAATGAGCCAGCATGGAAACGGCGGCAACGGCCCTCTTCTTGACGACGGAAGCGCACTTCTCCTGGGCCAAGAGGTTGAGAACGGCATCGTGGAGAGCCTCGATCTCGACCAGGGTCAGCACTGGGCCGAAGCATCTGACAACCTCGATAAGAACGTCGACAGAGTCCGAAGTGACTTGGGCTCCCTGAAGCAGACCGGGTACCTGCTTGCCGGCAGTCTGACCGAGGAAACGAGGGATAAGCAACTTGTTGACGCTGTCATAAGCCTCTTGAGCTTCCTTGGTCAGCGCAACACCAGGCACAGGACGCGGCAAGGCCTCGACGACGGCTTTGAGGGCCATGGCAGGAACTGAGTTGACATCCGAGTTATGGCTTTGCAACTCGATAAGCTTCTGCAGGGCCGTGGAGTAGAGCGGGGAGGGGAGCTTCTTGACCAGGGGACCCAGCACCTTGATGGCCTGGTTCTGGACCTCGCCATTCTGGTCACTCAGAGCCTTGATGACCTCGTCAAGAGTGCGATTTGATGTGTTGAAGTCGTGCTGGAGGATGTCTGGCTTGGCAACGTTGAAGGTGGCCAACAAGTCGTTGAGGGCCATGTAGCGGAAATCGGGGTCGGCATCGCTGATCTTGGTGAGGAGGAGGCTGACCGTGTGGGAGGTCGGGTTGGTCGGGACCGTCGTCGCCATGATGGATGTATTATTATTGTGGGATCAACCGCACATTCGATAATGGTACTAGATGTGGCAAACACTGGGGTTTCTCTGGCGATGTTAGCTTCCGCGCGTTAAACTGTTGCGCCGTGTTGTATGGTGCTAGCAGTAAACAAACAGTTGTTGACTTGATGATGTTGCTATCGCGAGGTGGAGTGGAGAAGGGCCAGCAAGGTGAGCTACCACCTACATGTAAACAGACTGGAGCTGACACTAGGCTTTGCTTCCTTTGTAGACGGGACTGCCTGGCCTGGTGTGATCCAAGAGTCGCCGTTGCTTCGTTAATCGGGGAGCGGGATGGAAATGCGCGGGAAAGGACGGAAACTTCAAAACTGTTGTTGTTGCGGGAAGAGAAAAAAAAAAGGTCGAATGTTTGTTTGCCTCCCTCTCTCAATGTCAGGTCAAACAACAACGCAGGCACCAGGCATGAACTGTAAAGTCAACCGAAAAAGGTTCCCATCTGCACAAGTCCGGACGGCTACCCAAGTGGCAGCAGCAGCTACAGTAGCTCATGCCCGCCGCTGAAGGTGCTGTCAAATGGTGGGGTGATGACAGGGGCAATCGGCCAAGGTAGGTACGTACCTCCAGACTCCAGGCAGGCACCAGCTTGCGGCAGGCAAGTGGAGTTCTCTCTTCAGTTCTGGCATCATGTTTCGGCAAGCTTGGACCACCTGCTGTTGCTGCCGAGTTGATGGAAGACACGAGAGACGAGCGGCCCATCAACAACACCGCAGCCACGGATGCAAGAATTGTGATCTCTATCATTTCATTCGAATTGAAATTATGTGAAAGGAAAAGGGGCCAGAAATGAAAGAGGCAGTCACGAAAGCGCAACTCAAGACGACAGAGTTTATCCGCTTCATCGCTGGCGCCAAGACTCGCGTGTACTGTGTAAGTCGTCGACATCATTGATGTGTCGGCCAATAGAGAACATCAGACATATTCCGTGTGTGACAGAATGGACATGAAGAAGAGAAACTACCATATATGATGGAGTGAATCCCTCCAGCTACCCTTCACGGTTTTAACAAACGACTGTTGTCCATCTACCTATACTTTAGGTGCAAGACACGAATGCCTCATATACACTATTCACCACACCAACCGCCATCATGCGAGCCTCAAGATTGCGAGCTTCCATCCTGCCATAAGTAATTCGCCAGCCTATACACAACTAATCATCTGACTTCGACACGTTCCGTTATGCAACTCTGGGCAATGTGCACAAGGCAAGCGACTGGACATGCTCGTCTCTTTTTCCGAGTTGTACGAGCGCAGCTAACAATTCCTCAGCTTCTCCTCGTCTCCTGGAATCTCCATGCCAATACCTGATCGCCAGCGGATCAGCAAAGAAGAAACTCGTTGATCACGGAAAGGAGCACGAAGGATTCAAGAGGCACGACGAACACAAGGAGGAAGAGGCCAGGGCGAAGCAAACAGACGACAACGAGAAGCTGAGAAAGACCAACTCGGTCAACAAGAACATGGACTTCAAGACGGATGATGCAAGCAGCTCCAAGCAGTCAAATTAAGGGGATAAGCTGAAGGATGACAAGGTGAGTGAACCCAGCTACATTCACATGAACTTGACGAGAACTCCTGCCGACTTTTATGGCCCACCTTGCAGTTGGCCGGGGATTTGGCGACAGTCTCGGAAAATCCATCTGACGCAAAATCTAAGCCGCTGCACCCTCGCCAGAGTCATTGCCAGAATCAAGAGATTCTACAAGCAGCAAGTCCGGCCTACCCGGTTCACTACCCGGTTCGAGCTCGACCGACAAGGCCATTGGCAGGGGATGCAGTGGTGGACGTTTAACTGGGTGTGGACGAGGGAAGGCATGATTTAACCTCGTGCAAGAACGGATGAGTGAGCGTACTTACTTACCTCTGAATCTGTCAAATATTTGACTTTGTTATGCTGCTCGGCGAGCGCGGACATCCCAGATAAGCTTCGATGACGCAATCTCAATTGACCCTGGAGAGTTCAACATATGGGGAGTCGGTGCAAGCGCAACTCAATGTCGACACCTACCTCTCACTAATCAAAACACCAAGTACGAGGCAAGAACACATGACAACCAGACAAAACATGTGTGCTTGAAATAGCAACTTACCACATCTTCACCTCGCCCTGTCAAACCGCCATCCTCCTTCGCGGAACACTTCTCCAGTTCATCCCAGCCACTCATTTGCCCGCAACCATCATCCCGGCATAATCCCTTCACAAATCCAGTATCATTATTTTCCGCAGATCCGGTCATCTCCCCCATTCGCGCTCACACCTGTAATGGAGGACAGAGAGATGTCGACCAAAACAGAAAGCACGTCGTCCAGGCCGCCGGAGATACCAGAAAATGACTGGAAAATCAGTCTCTACGACCCCGGCGACAACGATGACTGTCCCCGAGCTTGTTTCCTCCCCTGTGACATGTTCGCTCACACACGTTATCGATTGGACTTGATCAAACAGGGTCGAGATCCTCTCGATCTCACCGATTACAAAGACTTCAACCCCACTTGTTGGAAGTTCTTCGGGTTGTGCACTGGGGGTGTCTGTACGTCTCACACTTACTCTTCTTTAACGCTCGGTCTGTGATCTTTGATTAACAATAACAAGGTATCGGCAGCGGCATCTACACCGGTAGAGAGACGACCAGGATCCGTCAAAAGTACGGCATTAGGGGCACAGCAGGAGACGACATGACCAGAGGGATTTTCTGCCAGCCATGTTCCCTAATTCGAAATGACCTCGAGATCCGCCAGCGTGAAAGTATGAAACAAGAGGCCGACCTTCCTCCCCCGAGGCCCCTTGGCGAGGACTACCAGCCCATCTTTGCTATCAAGCCCGATGGCTACAAGTCGGAGCCGCGAATGACTACCCCCAGAGGCATTTTGAAGCCAATCACGTCTCCGGAAAGCTCATCGCCGCCGGACGGACAACCCGCTCTGCGAGAAGTACACTTCCACGAACCGGGGCTAGGAAATGCACCCAATGTGACTGCGTCGTACCCTGCTGAAGTCGGTCATGTCTCTCAATCTTCTTTTAGCCCTAGGACCGAGGGTGGCCCTTTGATTGTCAACCAACGACGCAGCAGAGAAGGGACGCTCACTCCGATCGAAGAAGCAGACAACCCTGCTGGTGAAGAAAGGAAGAAGAGCACCGTCTTGGGCCCAGCAATGAACACCTTCCAGAGGACGACAAGCCCACCCGTAATGCATGTCACCACCAGCGATGCCCCCATCCAGGCGCCAACCCCAACTCGTGACCACGACAGATACGGCAACGGCCGAGGCCCGGACACTAATCGGTTGGAAGCACCAGTCCGATCCCGGGAATCGCCTCCTATGACACCTACTGGATCTACCAATGCCCGAAGTTCTGAGGACCAGCCTGATCGCCTTGAAGCTCCGAACCGGCCTTTGGACTCAACCCCAATCCCACAGAGATCTCGAGATATTCGACTGTCCGAGCACAGATCCGACGAAGCACCTGCACAATTCCCAGTCATAGAAGCGCGCGTTCCGTCACCCGAGCTTTCTCGAAAAGCACCCAAGATCGGAAAGTCAAATACCCCAGTCCGCAAGTCGCGCTTCTCCGAGGAGTTTGATGCACCCTCCGCCGACGAGATCTTCTCCAATATCCCAGACGTAGCCCCAAGTAGCTCACTCGATGCGCCGCCCCGGCTTCCGCACTTGCCTGGTGCATTTGACACCCCAGCTATGCCACCCGCAACCGTACCTGCAGGCTCCTCTAACGTCCCTTCCCAATTGCCCCAACTCCCTGGTGCATTCCCTTCCTCTTCACACTCCGAGACACCGAATATGAAGCCATCCGCTCTCGAGCAGCTTACCGCCCTTCGTGACGTGGCGAACCAATCTCCCAAGGTGGTCACCGTCGAGGAGGCGGAGACTTCAATTGCAGAAACGATCCAGGACGAAGTAGACGAAGCGCAGGTCGGTGATCGTCCTCACGACAATTCCCAAGACCCCCAAATCGATCCTCTTCCTCCCAGAGATACCCGCCACCGGCTTAACATCGACGAGCAACTAGCGTAGGACGTAGGTCGTTCACAACCTCATGATGTGGGCAACGATTTCCTCGCTGGGGTGCCTCCGCGAGCTGAAGCTCACGATATGGGCACTGATACGGTTGTTCCCTTGCCGGATCAACCAGAAGCACACGGTCCGCACATGGATGCCAAGGTTGCTCTGGCCGCCGCCAGGATCAAAGATCACCCCATCGAATCGGATCCTCGCATCAACTCGCCCAAACCGATCTCCATCCGCAACCACCAATTCACCGAGGACAAGCGACTCGCGGTGCCGAGAAGCGACAGCCCTTTTAAACCCGGCATCCACTTGGACCAGCGTGTCCCGACTCCTCCAGCCTTGGTGCGACCGCATAATCGCCTTGAAGACCGGCAAATCGCTACGCCCAGTCCCAGTGCTGATCGCGAAAATCGCAACCTAGGCGCAGACGTCAGGACCGCGAGTCCAGGTCTAGGATCGAGGCGTGGAGGCCTGACGGGTGGAAGACCTCATTCACTTCGCCACGATAGTCGTGTTGGTACCCCGAAGCCTTCAGAAAATGTCCATGATTTGGCGGGGGATGTGAAAGCGCCCGCAGGATTAGTGAGTCCGTTGGCGAAGAGCCCGGAACCGAGGAGCCCTCCGCCCAAGAGACCGGCGGCGGCTAGTCCAGCTTTGAGCGCGTCCAGTATCAGCATTGGGACGAGGGCGCATCAATTGTTGGAGCACTTTTTGGAGGGTAATAGGAAGGGGGCGGAGCGCGAAAGTGGGAATAAGTCGTGAGCTGGTGGGTTTCTGAAGAAGCGCAAGACCTAAATGGGAACGAGACAGAACGAGAGACGTTGGCGGGGCCGAGCAGGGTGTAAGGCACTGCAGGCTGTGCAAAATGGTCACATTCTTGGATGAGGAATGCTCGGGAAACACCTAGGATAATAACGGGATTGATGATGGAGATGAGTGGGTTGGAGAACAAACGGATACCTCTACTTGCAAACAAAAAGCTTTAATCATTAGTCTTAATCATTAGCGTCAGATACCTAGAATCCGAGGAATCGTTATTCTTTCCAGCTAAAGTTTTGGGGTGGTGGTGAGCTGGGTCGGATGGAAGTGACCCATATGTTGTGAACAAGTGTGACCAGCGTTGTGCGTGGAATGGTTTGATTCGCGATTTTTGCTCACCTACCCTCTACTTTCTAGCCTACCCTCTCGACCTTGCTGGGGTGTGGCCGCCCGTGCCGACCGATGCTGTCCGGCAGTGAGGGCGGAGAAGCCTTTTGTCCCGGTGCCGGGGGCAGCGGACTTGACTCCACCGGCTCCGTCTCACAAAGTGGGTCAGTCCGCGACATCTAAACTTTCCCCTGTCCGAGGTCTTGGCGGCGGGGTGGTTCCCGCTGTCCCCGGCTCCAGATTGCGCGGTTGCCCCTCTTGTCGCATTCCGAATTCCTGAGACGACTTCCTGGACTTCCCCAGATTCACGACCCAACGTGTTGCGCCGCCTGACTTGACCAAGCGTTAACTGAGTTGTCGCGCAGAGGATTTTCAGATCTTGGTTATTTTACTTGTCAAAGCATCTCGTTCAGACAAGAAGATATTCCTCAAGACTGTTTTGCGACCACTCACTCATCCCTCACCCTCAACCACCAAATCGTCATCACTCCAAACTCACCCGAGACAACAACAACACCACACAACCATGTCCGAACAAAAACAAACAGTCCACATCGGCACCCGCCGCTCCGCCCTCGCCCTCCGACAAGTCGACCTCGTCATTGCCGCCCTCCAGCCTCACCACCCCAACGTTCACTTCCAAGTGCACGCCCTCGCCACCCTCGGCGACAAGAACCAAACGGCCTCTCTGCCCTCCCTCGGCAAGGGCCTCTGGACCAACGAGCTCGAAGCCAAGCTGTTCAACAAGGAAGTCGACTTTATCGTGCACTGCCTCAAGGACATGCCCACCACCTTGCCCGAGGGCGGTAAGATTGGTGTTGTGACGGAGCGCGAGGATCCGCGGGATGTGGTGGTCATGAAGAAGAAGTGGGCCGAGCAAGGGAAGTACAAGTCTCTGGCTGACCTGCCCGAGGGCGCCATCGTGGGAACTTCGTCGGTGCGCCGTGCGGCCCAGCTGCGCAGGCGGTACCCCGGCTTGGTGTTCAAGGACGTACGAGGCAACATCGAGACGAGAATGAGAAAGTGCGACGAGGAGGATTACGACTGCATCATCTTGGCCGCGGCGGGGTTGTTGAGGATGGGGTACGACGAGCGGATTGCGCAGTGGTTGGATTCGACGACGGAAGGGGGAGGTATGCTGCATGCGGTTGGACAGGGCGCGCTGGCCATGGAGATTAGGGAGGGCGATGAGAAGACGCTGGAGATCATCAAGCCGTTGTGTCATGAGAAGACCATGGTGGCGACGTTTGCGGAGCGCGCCGTCATGAGGAGCTTGGAGGGCGGGTGCAGTGTGCCGATTGGTGTCGAGACCAAGTGGGTGGGCGAGGATCAGTTGCAATTGAAGGTGACGGTGGTCAGCTTGGATGGAAAGGAGAGTGTGGATGGGCAGAGCGTCGAGGTAATCAAGACGATTGAGGAAGCCGAGGCGATGGGTCAGAAGCTGGCGGAGGATCTGGCTAAGAGGGGCGCGCAGAAGATTCTGGACTTTGTCAACCAGGGTCGTGCCTCGGGAGGTGCGCTCAAGATTGGTGATCTCTGAATGTTTGATGGTTTTTGTGTACGATAGAGAAGGATGAGAAGATGGCGCGAGGTTTTTTTGCGGGCGAACCAAAAGTTGAGAGGTATGCGAGGCGCAACCCTGGGTTTCTACGATCTACTGAATGTTTTCCATGCATGTACATAATCCTGGTATGATACTTGGATGCGTTCCATCGCATGCATGCTTGTCCCGATTTAACTCCAATTCGATGTATGCATAAAACTACCAAACACCGCCCTTCGCCGTGTGATGATAACAAAAATACGTCTCTGGGCGTAGTTTGTTGGGCCCCCCATGTTGTTTGTCTAAAAGCAGGTTGAACTGTCCGAAATTGAGTTGATCCCCGTAACCATTTCCCCGGGTTCCGTCATAAATAGCCAATATACACCAAGCGTCATTAATCTTTTTCCCGTCAAGCGGCGCCCCATGATTTTGAATCTCTTGCGTTATGTTCAGTGGTCCTCGGCGGCAGTGAACTCCTTGTAGGCCTCCTCGTCCATGAGCTTCTCGAGATCGGCAATGCCCTGGTCGGTAACCTGGACCTTGGCGACCCAACCGCCGCTGGCAGAGTGGTCCTCGGGAACCTTGTTAATGGTGGAAGGGCTCTCCTCGAGGGTCAAGTTGCTAGCAATGACCTTGCAGCTGACGGGGGCGTTGATGTCGGCGGCAGACTTGACGGACTCGACAGCACCAAGGGCATCGCCAGCGTGGACCTCCTTGCCCTCCTCGGGGAGCTCGACGAAGACGACGTCGCCGAGGGCCTTGGCAGCGTAGGAGCTAATGCCGACGTAACCAGTCTTCTTGTCGTCGGAGAGCTCGATCCACTCGTGCTCGCGGGTGTACTTCCTTAGCTCATCTATTTTTTGTGGTGGTGTTAGTTAGCATGTTGTTGCAATTGTGTGCGCCATGTGTTGTGGTTGTGTGAATCATTATCGCAAAGGATGACTCCGCTTATCGGGAAGCGCATCGGCTGATGGAGACGGGAACGGGTGGCTCACTGTTGGCAGTAACAGAGAAGGGACGCGCAATGCGGACGGAGCTCTGAGCGAAAGCAGAAACGACGGAAGGACGAGCAATCCTGAGGCAGCGAGCAATGGAGGCCATGGTGACGGTCGGTGGTTTGGACGGAGGGGGGGTGGACGGAAGGCGTGTATATCGGCGTCGCTTGGTGGTGTCGCAAGTAGTTGTTAGTGCTCAATCCAATGCGCCGGCCACAAGTTAGAAAAAGGCACAGACAGGACCCGGGGTACATCCGGTATCGAATGACGAAAACAAAGTGCCGGCCACCCGACAAACGGCTAGACTCCGGGCCAGCAGCTGTCAAGGCCGGCTTGCCAAGACCACAGAACCGAGCAGCGGGAGATATCGAATGCAACCCATATTATGTAAGCGCACCAAAAAGCAAACCATGGCCGGGCCATCAAGGTGGAACGGGCCGGATCTGGGGAAAGATCAACTGAAGAAAAACAAAAGCACGTCACCGGGCAACACATGGCAGACTGGACTTGCAAATGGGGAGTGTCCACTGTTTTGAGTGTCCACCCCTTGGCAAGGAGCTGAGGCAGCATGGCACTCGGCGCGGGAGGGTGTGAGCAGTCGGTTCAATGGGCAATGGGAAAGACGATGGAAAGTCGCAAGTGAGCCAGCCATGCACACACATTGATGCCATGGCTTGCTCTGACATGCAGCCTGCCATAGGTTGATGCTTCCGATGAGGTTCAGATGCTGCAAGGGCCCGAGCGTGGATATTCTGTTTACACATTGGAAATTTGTTGTGGACATTGTGTTGTTGACCCGAGAACATGGAGCTATCGCCATCTTTCTTGCTCATCAACGGTTGCCCGATGTGCACCACAACTGAAATAAGCCCCTCTGCCGGTGTCACCTTGCCCTTCTGCCACTCACACTGCATCATCTCAAACAAATCTGACTGCTGTGTTGCCTTGATATTGCCGGGTGCCAATCTCCCTTCAGCTGTCAAGGACTTCCATGTTGTTCTGGCGCGGGGTTCATCTTAATCGTGATTGTCATGGCAATATCTCGGGGCCCAATTTGGAAACTCAAATCGTTCGACGTGGAATGCACTGCCCGCCTACCCATCTCCACATGCTCGCTCGGGCTTGTCGTCAACACAGCTGAATGTTTTTTAGTGTCCAGTTTGATGGCAAACGGACAAGGGAGCAGCCGCAAGCGCCGCCGCGCACATGAGGATTGAGATCTCATCTTGACGCCAACGAGAGGACCCCAGGGCGGTCCAGTGTTCGAAAAACAGGCGCCCAGCCAAGCCAAGCGCTAGCGGACCCACATTCTGCGATCTTCAAGTGGAGTCTTGGTCTGATCAATTCCCTTCGATTGGAGCTCCTCCCCCTTGGTCCGTGCGTGCCTAGCTAGCTTCATCTTGTGTACCTATCGTCACTCTGCTGCCCGTCAGCGCCGCCAGCCCTGCACACGCAGTTGCGGGAGTGTCTAGCCTCTCTAGAGCCCAGGTACATAGCCATATGGAAGCCAACATCGATCAATCCGACGACCTATGGACACTACTCCTTGCATGACATCTCGCAGCACCAAGCATCCATTTGAATCCACTTCCATCAATCATTTATATTCCATCTCCATTCCCACCTCCTTCCATCCATCTTCCAACCCCAGCTTGTTGCTGCAGCATCACTACACTACACTACATACGACTCCGCCCGCACTTCAGCTGTCATCGGGAATCCATTCGTCGCCGTCCGCAGTCAGCAGCAGTCTCCACAGCCTCGGTGAAACAAACCCACAGGGTGCCCAGCAGGTACATACATAGTCGTCGACTTATCGCACGATCCCCGATTGCGTTGCATCTTCCACGGCCGACCCGGCAAACCACAATTGCCTGTCTCCAGGTAGCAAAGCAAGAAACGAGCACCATACAAGCAACCATTTACAAACCAATATCACGCGCCATATACCCATCCTTTTAACCACGGCCAACTTATCCGACCGCGCCGTCTCAATCAGCAAGACCAACCTTTTCCCTCCCCTCGTCCCATCTCGTTCAGTCGCCCCTCCCCCCCCCGCTTGCCGCCCGAACCCACGAGGAAAGCGTCATACGGGGTTTCACCAAACACCACAAACGGACCACGACAAACCGATTGCTTGATCCCTCCCGTCCGACCCCTTTCCGCTTGTCTTCGTTCCGCCCGCACAGACAACCCAGTATCCCAGGCTGAACCTCTCTGTCTACCTACCCCTCCTTCTCATCCATTGTCAAGCTGGACTTCTCGCCCTTTTCCGCGGGGTCCCCGGACCAGTTCCTCGATAACAATCACAGCAACATGGACACCGTGGTGATGGATCACGATCAAACCATTAGCCCAAACGAGGCTCAGCTTCCTCACAACAACAACATTCCAGACGACAACATGGGTGGTCTGGAGGATTCACCTCAAATAACACCCGACCAAAACGGCTTCCCAGATCGCCATTACCAACAGCAATTCGATCAGAACCTCAACAGCTCACCACGGTCATATTCCCAACACGACAACTTTGACTCAGACCGATATGCCACACCACCAGCACCCCAGCCTTCAACATCACGACCGCCCTCGGGGCTCGGAGGCCAGAACCCATCCCAGTCCGCCGAAAACGGCTCTCGGACAACCGCCGGCGGGAGTTCCAGCGAGCAAGCCAACGGGCGCAATCATGTCGTGATCAAGGTTGGCATGGTTGGTGATGCGCAGATTGGCAAGACAAGCTTGATGGTCAAATATGTTGAAGGCAGTTGGGACGAGGACTACATCCAGACTCTGGGCGTTAACTTCATGGAAAAGACCATTAGCATCCGCAACACCGAGATCACCTTCAGCATTTGGGATCTTGGCGGTCAACGCGAGTTCGTCAATATGCTGCCGCTCGTGTGCAACGATGCTGTAGCCATCCTCTTCATGTTCGACTTGACCCGCAAGAGCACGTTGAACAGCATCAAGGAATGGTACCGTCAGGGGCGAGGATTCAACAAGACGGCCATTCCCGTCCTTGTAGGCACAAAGTACGATCACTTTGTGAACCTTTCGCGGGAGGAGCAGGAGGAAATCTCCAACCAGGTACCATCACTTGTGCGTATACGGCAAAGTTCCTGCTTGCTGACGTTACTTTTCCAGGCTCGGCGATTCGCCAAGGCGATGCGTGCGGCACTGATCTTTAGCAGCACCAGTCACAGCATCAATGTTCAAAAGGTACGTCACACTTCGTTTGCCATAACTGGTGCAGGGTCTGACTGTTTCGCAGATCTTCAAGATCGTACTATCCAAAGCCTTCGACCTAAAATGCACAATTCCCGAAATTAGCAACGTTGGCGAGCCACTTCTCCTGTACCAGTCTGTATAGGTCGATGAGTAAACTCGACGCTGTCAACCGTCTTCGCGACAACTGTGCGAGCGGCCTCCTCCGACGATCTGCAACCTGCATTAATACCCCTGGCTGGCGTCGGAGCGACGGCACATGTCGAGTACCTGCAACGGTCACTCGACAGCGACATGGGAGGCCCAATTAACGGAATACCGAGGCGCGGTCCCCATTGCATATATTCGCTTCATAGGCCCTCCATGCCCAAACACCCTCGAGGTAACTCCACACGTTAGGACAGTGGCATTTTGTGATGATTTGGTCCGTGGCTTAGCAAATAAAGCACAATGGAGGACGGCAAATGGGCATGGGTCGCGATAAAAACGAGACATAATAGTCTTTGGAGTCCGGTTGTAAGAAACGGCTGGTGAGGACCGATCATACCAAATTGGGCATCTCAATCCGATATACGATGGGGAAGGGTATTCTATACCATGAATGCGGAGCACAAGGAATACGTGGGGTGTGTGCCTTTGGTCCTTCAGGCGTGGAATCGTCCCCGGTACAGGTAGAAAGGGACTGGATGTTCATTCTTTGGTAGTATGTGTTTTAATTCCCTGTTGGCAGTCAACATATCGGTATTTTCCTGCACATTCTTTGCCTTCTTCTTGCTCTCCAAGCCGATGGCACGAAACACTACCCGCCTCTCCCCGCAGACGTTCCGAGACATTCATCAATTTTTTTTTCAACGTGTCGCCTCAAAACTGACACCATGTATCTTCCGGCATGTGGAGTGCTCAGTCGGTCTACCAAACAACCAGCCACTTGACCAAAAACAAATGGCCACGGAGGCTGTATATGCAATGATCATATATCCGTTACCAGAATCATCTGCTGATAAAGTGCCACTGGTATTGGGACAACTCATAAAGGTGAGCTCCATCCTCTACAAGAAGGAAGAGCACGCAGGCTGCGAACCGAAACGACGTACACTACAAGGTTCTGTCCTCACAAGGTCGGTTTCCCGAAACCTGTTGTTCTTCCCAGTATGATTCTCGTAATCCCGCTTGCGGATGTCACAGTAGATAACGGGACAGGCATACGCAAACCCCGAGAACCGTACTCGAACCTCATCATGGACACCAGAGGCTAGCCAGACATCTCCATCCTCGCCCTTGCGGCTGATACATCACACGCGGGGACAATGTAAGGTTGTCAAAAGTTCGTCCTTCTGCGCCCTGCTCGTGATCCGTTACCTTGTACCCAGCCAACTCAGACGCCGTGCAATCGCTGACCAAGGATAGCTGCTCAAGTCAAACCCTTCATTGGCTCTTGGGACTCCGGTTCGGCGCACGCGTGCCACACCAACAAGCATGATGCTTAACCTGTCACGTCATGACGATCCATCCGTCTGCCTTTAGCCAACTCCAGGCACCCAACTACCATACTATCTCCTCACCGAGAACATCCACTTCGCTGGCTTATCGATATCATCCAGTGGCTTCGATTACTGTGGACTACATCCGGAGAATCTGCGCTTGGGGAGCAGTCTTTTTGGTCCCCCCCCCCCCACAAAGGGTGAGACAACGACGACGTGACCAAGGGTTCCGTTGTCTGTGGTTGGGGAGGCACCGCAACTCGAAGGCGTTGGACAACTAGAGGGACTTTGACACTGCTTGGCTAACGAAGCTCTTCGAGCGGCCTTTCCTTCCGAGCTGATGAATCCCAATTTCGTTACCAGAGACAGAAAATCGATAGAGGAGGTTAAAAGCATTGACGATCACATCATCGCATCCATCTGAGACATCCCTCTTCCCCAACCACGGCCATCTTGATCACCAAAGCTGCAGAAAGGCCCAGCACCGACCGTTAACTCCGAAGCATCATGAAGTCTTTCATCGCCTTCTGCTCTGCAGCCTTCTTCTTTTACCTGGCACTCGGTCAGAGCACCGCAGGATCGGGCACGACGTTCTGGCAAGCCGCGGTGCCGTCGAGCACCGCTCCAAGCACTTGGACCCCGAGCACGCCGGCTCCTCCTGGTCAGGCGCTGTGCGGGCAAGGGTTTACTTATTGCGGGTATATCTTGAGGGATCACCAGAGTACGTCTTAATATAACCTTGTTTTTTACTTACTCTCCGTTCGCTCTCTTATTATTATCTTCTTCTTCCGGCTTTCCTCACTATCTTCCCATCCTACGTTTAGCTACTATTTCACTCGCTTTTCAGTTCTTCTTATAGTTTCTTTACCTCATCTTTTACTTATCTTCACCCTCTCCACATCCTCTCTTCACCCTCTTTATATCCTCTCTTCACCCTCTCTTTTCCTCTCCTTTATCTTCTCTTTACCTTCTCTTTACCTTCTCTTTACCTTCTCTTTACCTTCTCTTTACCTTCTCTTTACCTTCTCTTCGACCTTTCCTCACCTTCTCGTCATCCTCTCGTCATCCTCTTTTCACAATCCTATTGCCCTATCTTCACCTTCCCTTCATATTCTTTTCTATTATTCGTCTTTAATCTTTTTTATTTTTTCTTCCTTTTCTTCCTACCGGGCCGTCGCCGCATCTCAACTTCGGACAACCGCTACAGCAACCAAGAACTTTCTCTACCCTACTCCCTCCTACTCAAACTTCTTTCCCCTTCCTTTCTGCCATCAACATCCCATTTGACATTTTACACTCCAACCCAAACTAACATCTCGTCTCTCCCCTCAGACTTCAAAGAAGAAGATGTAGTCAAAGCCTACTGCGCCGCCTCCAGGAGTAACTGCGCCAATGGCAAAACCAAGACCGACCCCATCCAAGCCCTCTACGTCTGCCTCCCCGCCAACGCCAACCCAAAGGAAAAGGAAAAGGCAAAAGACTCCGCCATGTCGCCGAACCCGCACTACGACGACGCATCCACTCCCGTAATGTCATCCGGCAAGTCCATCTCCGCTGTCTCCCGGTTCTTCAGCATCCTCTCTTCGCGCACGCACATGAACCATGCCGTTCATGAGAATATGGATCAAGATAGCACCACCGAAAAGATGAGGCAAGCGAGACAGGCGCCAGCGTCGTCGTCGTCAAACACGACGAATGCAGGGAATGATGGTGGTGGTTGCAATACGCTGGCTACGTCGGGGAATAGGATTGAGTTGTTGTGCGCCTGTAGTGGCAACTGTCTGAATCCGGTGTCGGATCATATTGGGAGGTGTGACCAGTCTTGCTAGGGATTGTATTCGAAGTATCTTCAGGGGGGGTGGAGGGGTGGGAGGTCATGGGTAATGCGAAGGTGGGCGAGTAGGGAAAAGATTATGGGAAGTAAAAAATGTTATGCTTTCCTTATCAATCCAAGGTTTTTCTTGTCTAGTTGTCTCGTTATGAGGCGACTATCTATAGATTAGTCAATCGAACTGTCGCTTCGTGCTTTGAACTCCTAGTTTCGGATAATGCCGGTTTGATAGCATTAACAAAGTATTGGGAATTTGATTAGTGTCGAGAAGGATCATGTTAGAAGAGCTTCCATGCAACCTGAAAGGCCTTATTTGTTATGTTCAGTAGTGTAGCTGCCGACAACCGAGCAGCTGCCGACCTATTGCTATAGCTCCGAGCTTTTGCAAACCGCACGTTCTTTTTGTCTGGACCACCCACCTATGAGTCTCCAATGTCCACGCCGTGATAGTGGCATCTGCACGAGACAAGCCGACCGTCATCACGTATATCACCCGGATATGAAATCTTTCCGTCCAGTAAGACAACGTCAGCAAGCCAAATCGGATTACCAAGAAACGGTCACGTCCAGTATCACCAACTTCACACTTTTGTTATAGTACCTAGACACTCACACTTTCCTCCTGCAACAACTCTTTCCCGCATACACGCATGATGCAAGGCCATGTTGATGTTCTAACTTCAAACATCATCTCGCAAAGATAACTTGGTTCCAAGTGGATCAAGCAAGAGCCATGAGGCATCGCTAAATATAGTTTGATAACTGATAAGCGTTATTTATCTTGAACAAGTTGGTATACTCACTGGAAAAGTCATGGCATCAGCTGTCATCTTCAAACCCACGGTAGAATACAGGTTGACTCAAATCCATACAACCTGGCGGCCATCGCAAGGACCAAAACACTGGTAGTGGCGAGGGGGCGAGGATATTCCAGAATGAATACGTATATGAACTGATGAGTTTGCCCGCGCGGTCTCGTCGTCAAACAAGCATAGATAAATGACTTCAGATATCTTTTCATTCAGCTAGCATACAGCATTATAGAAGTTGTCATTACATATCCATCCGACAAGCAAGCTCTATGCAACTACCTCCAATTCCGGCAAGCAACTCCCGCTATGACTACCTATGACTGCAATATGAGACTGCATTTGGCTGGGTTTTCCATGACGGTTTGTGCTTCTGACTGTTGTCAACGCCCATCTGACTCTGTCATGGCCATGATTATCCCCATCCAATCATAGTATGACGGCAAGCTTGTACGCAAATGCGAAACCCAAGGAAGCAAATGACTGAAAGCTATAATCAAGCAACATGGAGGGTATTACGAACTATTGATCCCAACTAAACCATTTGCCCACTCGCAGCGAAGAACAATTTTCCAAGACGCCCCTCAAATACTCCCAAACTCCTCCTCATTAATCAACCTCCCCAAAATCAAACTCTGAATAACCAACTCATCACTCAACGTCCTGACTCTCTTCAATGGCGGCTGCTTCTCCGCCTCGGTCGGCTCATAGACGTACCCCACACTCTGCCTCTTCCTCTTTTTGCTCTTTGTACTCTTCCCGCCACCACCGGCGCTGGCACGGGCACTACCGGCATCACTCTCGCCCACCCCTAGGATATTCGGACTCGCGAACAACTCGGCCCCATCCGTCTTCCCATCCACATAAACCCAATCGTATGGTTTCCCCTTACCGCCTTCTGCCTCCTCCTCCGCCCTTTCCAACTCCCTCTTTGCCTCATCCAAACTGCCCACCCGCCTCAATTCCGCCCCCAGTACTCTCGCCAAGAAAACATAAGCCATCTTCCTCCCTTCCTCTTGCTTCTCCTTCTCCTTTTCCTTCTGGGTTTTCCTTCCTTTCTTATCCCCACCCGTGCTCATGACAAGGAGTATCCTACTCCCGCCCAGCCACCGTCCCCTTCTCGCTACCGTCTCCACGAGCTTTGCCGTCCTGGCATTATAGGGCTGTAGGTTCCGGGAGAGAATGGCATCTCCTAGGAACGCGGACTGTCCGGCAGCAAGAAGGTAGGGCGACCAATCGACTATCGAGTTGGAAGAGAGGCATGTAATAACCCAGCGGGAAGCGAGGATGGGAAGTCCGAGACCAAGGGCCTGCATGTACTTGACTTTGCGGGAGTGGCCATCGGCGATGAGGGCTGTGAAGCCGGTGTCTCGGCCGGTGTTGTTGAGAGGTAGGTCGACGTTCGATGGCGGTGATGAGGTGTGGCCTTCGTTCTTGGAGGCAGAGGTGGCAGGTTGGATAGGGATGGGTTCAAACAACTCATCGAAACCATTGTCGAGAATGCGGCCGCCTGCTTGCTTGATGCGTTTTTCGATGCTGGTTGCAGTTTCCATGCGTGCGTTGTACTGGTCCGCGCTCTCGCCTGTGCGCTTTGACTGGAAGGATATTGCAAACGCCATGCCTTCAAAGATCTTTGACCCACGCTGAGAGGCAGCAGTCATGGACGATGTTCTGCTGGGTTTGAGCAGGGAACTGCGAGACATGCGAACACTATGGTCGAACGTGGGTATTGTGGCTCCAGAGACGGACAGTTCATCGGCAGAACTGGACAGCCGCCTCTCGACCCGTGCCGAATGGCGCAGGCTCTCTGTTGAACTAGTCTTTGGGAATTTGGGGAGGCGCCCAGCAGCGTCACGCCTAAGGTTGTTCACAGGCGCCGGGGACGAGCTACCAAGATCAGGCCTGGTGAAACTGGTAGAAGCATCTCTTGCCGGTACAGCAGTTGACGGAACGACGGGTGTGGAAGACAGATTTGAAAGATCCGAGGTTGTCTGAATAGCAGCATCGACGGCAGACGACGACACGCTTGCCTTGGTTGTTCTCGCCGTTCCCGATGTCGGTATCTTTGCTGCCTGATCTGCACCGGACGAGACTCTCTTCTTTCTACTTCTTCTTTCGAACACCGGCGGCGATGAAGAGGGAATATCACAGGAGGGTGCTGGTAAGACAGGGAGTTGAGAAGACGAAGGCAGTTCATGCGCGGATTTGTCAGCGAGTATACTCTCAGTTGGACTTGTTGTTGGATGCGCATCCGCACCGGATGTGCCAGGTACCGGTTCCTTGCGAACTGGCGAAAGAGGTCTGGGTGCTGGACGCTGGCTCGGTCGTGGGCTCTTGAAGACGGCGTCTGGCTTCTGTGCCCGATCCTCATCTGGCCCAGACTGTGTAGACTCGTCATCTACAGCATGCGCCGCAGCAGACTTGGCCCCTTGTTCCTGAGAATCTTCTACAGTATTTGGTATTGCTGGTTCCTCATCCCCATGCTCCGGCTCTTGCGTCGCTCGTTTCGCTTTGCCACGCCTGTTCTTGTTGGATGATGGGATCTCAACATCATCCGAATTGGCCACCAGCGGAAACCGGATCTCAGTCAGCTGTTCCAGGGCAGCCTTTTTCTTCAACTTTGCCCTTCTGCGCCTGACCATGGATGTTTCTGTATCTTCATCGTCCAGAGGGCCTGGAGGATCTGATCCCGCTATTGGACTCGACCACCGCTCCTGCGATTTCTCCATCGGCTCGTAGCTGGCAAAGGGACGTTGTTCAGCTTTCTTCTTCTTCTTGGGCGGCTTTGTTTGCGGCGATTCCGGAATCACCATGTCGTCTTCCGAGGCACCAGGGTGAGAGCTCGCCGGCTTTCGCTGCGTTGCCCTCGGCGGAGGTGCATCGGGTAAGACAGCTGGACTTGATGGTACATGATGCGATGGCGATGAACGCAGACCCCGGGCTCGCAGTGGCGACGACACAGCCAGATTCGGTGATGCTGTGTGATGCATAAAATCGGAGGGGGAAGGGCGCGAAGAGGTCGGACTGGCGAGGGCTTTTGTGGCAGAAGAAAACTGGGTAGCTCCAAATAGCTGCGAAGGACCAAGTAGTTGGGATTTGCTTTGGCGGAACGGATTGTTGTCTGAGACGGGAGTCTCGGGCACCTGCTGGGCAGGCGAGGCCTGTTGTTTCTGCGAGTGCATGTTCCGCAGGCGCGCGATGCTGCCGAAATCAACGCGACCTGACCCATCCTGTGTCGTCGTCGAGGTTGTTTTGTTGGTGGCGGGAGTGTCGAGAAGTCGTGATGCTCGCGGCTCGGGAACGGCTGTCGTAACAGAGGCTGGCTCCAGAGAAGGGCTGCTTGGGCCAAACTTTGGCGAGCTTCGAAGAGTACCTCTGGTTTTTGCCTGTGACGCTGAAGCAGCATACCTGTCGTAGCTCCTTCCGCCGTTCGATTGAGTTGTCTCGTTGGAATGAGCCGAAGGTTGAGATTCGGCCTGCTTCTGCTCCTCTGCCCTGTCAGTCTCTTGGGCTCGCAGCTTTTCCTCCCTCTCCAGGTTTTCTTGGGCTTCTTGGCGCGCCTTTTCTTCGGCTTCCCGCTTCTCCTGCTCTTCCTTCTTTTTCTTTTGTCTTTCCTTTTCCTCCTGCTCCCACTGAGCAGCCATGACCAAGAGTTGCGAGGGCTTGAACCAGGAGACTTTTGGCTTCTTGGCCTCTTCTCGTTCTCGTTTGCGTTCTGCAGCCTGTCGGGCCTTCCATGCGCGGTACGCCTCCATGTCGAGCGGCTTGTTCTCGGTGAGGTCGTCGGCCGGGCGAGAGTTGCGTATGCGGTCCTCCTCCGACTGTGGCAGGGGAGGTAGCAGATCCTCATCTCTTTGTTTTCTCGGTGGTTTGTTCATCGTCGAAGATGGCGCCAAGGATGTTTTGGAGGACGATGACGAGTTCGAGATTGTTGCCAGCGGGCGGGTGTTGCTTGTCTGAAAAGGTTAGCAGGTCGGCAAAGCGAGAAGTGGCTGAGAACATACCTGGTCGGCGCCGTAGGTTTTCATGTAATCATCGAAGACAGCTTGGGTGTCGAGGGATTTGGTCGCGTTGGGGTCGTCGCGGATGTCCTTGAGCGCGTCGGACATGGTGACGTTTCAGTGGCCCAAGGCTCGATGCTAATGTGTGTAGGTTGCCAACGGATGCACCTATGCGCGGATGCTGTCACCCTATCACTCGCATCCGATTCGAGCACACTGTGTCCGGACAGGCCAAAGTTGTGTGAGCGGTCTGGACAATTTCCACCCTTGCCGCGCAAACATTTCAGGGCTGACTTTTTGCTCAATCAAAACCGTGGCTTGCTGGTTTGCCGTCAAGGTTGTTGTTGGTCCGGCTACAGAGGGATTGATTGCACCATGGAAGGGAAAGTTGAGAAGCACGGTGTGGCGGCGCGACAAGAGCGCGCTGTCACGTGCACTCACTTGTGCTACTTGAAGAGCCGGTTTGAGTGTGATAAGATAAAGCACGCATGGCAGCACGTCATTGCCCCTGCTCCGCTTGCCCCATATTTCAGCCACAGCTCTAGCCACATATACAGCCACCCCCATACCCGCGCAACCCCACTTGTGCCTGTGCCGCTGCGGAGTGTGCGTTCTCCACTTGGCTTCGGCCTGGCAAGGAAGCCCTTCGTCAGTCGGACTTCCGAAAGCAGGTTTGATCAACGAAGCTTGAAACGAACACATGTTGTGACACTCACCTACTTACCATCCAAAACGCCTTCATAAGTGACACAGACCGATGGAATAATACAGCCTTATCGCTACCGTTTTCTCAAGCTTGAACCAAGTGCCATTTTTGTTCATCTTCTTCCAACGCGGCCGGGCGTTGTCAATGGATGTCTGTAACGCTGCGAACTTGTGATGTCATGCTGGCCTGGGTATGATTGCGTCATTGAGCCAAGGGAACGCATGCATGTCAACTTTGATGTTTTCGGACAAACGAGCCTTTTCTCGGCTTCCCTGTGCTGGTACTGCAGCTTCCCTCTTGGCCAAAAGAGATGACGGATCGACCCGACGCGCAAAATAGGCGTCCACCTTGAAGGACGGCACTTGTTCGCTTTGAAGCTGCCCCATGGCCTGAGCCACATGCTGTCGTGCTCCTCGGACACGGAGGAAGGCACGAAAACGATAGGGCAACAATATTCCAACAAAATCAGAACGCCGGCACCTTCCGCCGGATGCGAACTAGGAAGGATGGCGTGCTCAATGTACCTTGATTACCTAACGTCCAGTGCATTTAAACAGTACAGTAAGCAGGACACGCCAAAAACATGATCGAGAAACCCCCCTCATGTGTCGATAGGTGTGAAAACTGAGAAGCAGCGGGTGCACCAAATGGCAACATGTCCAATGTTCTGGCGAATATCGTCCCCAATCCCTGCATCCTCGTGCCTTGGATCTTCATGCATTCCCCTCCATCGGGTCCTTTCCATTCACCTGTTTGTGGCCGAAATGTAACCGTTATCTCAGCATCCTTGAACCGCTTCCTACAAATTTCGACCTTTATCCGCCTCTTGTTTTGCCATCAAACATGTTCCCATCCAAGCAGTAGCATCCAACTCTGTATCCACGACAAACATCGTCTAGACTTTCGACTGTCTTATCAACACCACATTCGCTAATTCATCCCGACAAGTTTACTTGAGATATACCTCCACCTAAGCCATGTCGGCTCACACGCCAGATCCGCCTCGGGATGATGGGAGAGAAAAGACTCGAATCGACGATGCCACTGCGAATACAGCCTGTAAGGAGGATGCTCGACCCAGCCTCTGGTCCTGGATCAAGCTCGACGATACCACCGCCGTCGGTCCTCGCATAGGCCCAGTCCTACAAAGTGTCGCCACCGCGAGTTCCGACAGCGACGACAGCATTGCTTCGCCAGAACGCCAGCGCGAACTTGAAAAGGGAAATTCTATCCAGTACCGCACATGCAGCTGGCAAAAGGTCCGTAGCATCCCAAGCACACAGCGCAACCTTCTCGCCATATAAACTGACCATCAATCACAAGACTGCCGCCCTGCTCTTTTCCGAATACATATGTTTGGCCATCATGAGCTTTCCCTGGTCATACAGCGTTTTGGGTCTTGTTCCCGGGTGAGTTGAGACCCTGAAATAGGCAATCCGGCACCCAGAGATGCAGCCGCTCACAATTTACAGGCTAATCTTGACGTTGGTTGTTTGTTTGGTCGTACTTTACACGTAAGCCCTCGTCACGATTCCTCGCCACTTCTGGCTGCACGTCCTAACCCATCAATAGCTCACTGGTCCTGTGGGAGTTTTGTCTACGGCACCCCGAAGTCCGGGATGTCTGTGATATCGGCCAAATGCTCTTCTGGAACAAAAATTGGGCTTGGTGGGCCACTGCCGTCATGTTCTTGCTCAACAACACAGTAAGCCGGCTACCGGTGCACCACACGGACTGCAAACTAACCACCAACAGTTCATCCAAGGCTTGCATGTCGTCGTGGGCGCCGAGTATCTCAATACCATGACCGGCACAGACCCGGGTGTCGCTTGTCGGACCGTCAGCTTTGGCATTATCATTGCGCTCGTCTGCTGGCTCTGCTCGCTTCCACGGACATTCAATACCTTGTCCAAGCTTGGAGTGTTTTCTGCTCTCTTTACTTTCATTTCGGTCGTCCTTGCTGCCGCCTTCTCGGGCGCACAGAAACACCCAGCTGGATATGATCCCCGCCCATCATTCACGTCAGACTCCGGAGTAGCATCGGTCGGAGGTAACCCCATCGTAACCGCACTTCCGGTCAAGTCAGCGTCCTACATTGCCTGTTTCAATGCTTTTCTCAACATATCCTATACCTTTATCGGCCAAATCACGCTCCCCAGCTTCATCGCAGAGATGAGAGAGCCAAGGTGAGTGCCGCCCTTTTTCATAGCTCCATCCACTATGTAACTAACCATCATCCAGGGACTTCCCGAAAGCCTTATGGGCTTGTGCCATTGCCGAGGTTATTCTGTTCAGTGTTGTCGGAGGAGTTATTTACGGGTACACTGGAAACCAGTACATGACTGCACCTGCATTCGGTTCACTCCAAGAAACTTACAAAAAGATTGCCTTTTCATTCATGATCCCGACCATCATTTTCTTGGGCGTCCTGTATGCCTCGGTTTCGACGCGATTCATCTTCTTCCGCATCTTCAAGAACTCGCAACACATGACCGAGCATACGCTTACCGGATGGTCAACATGGGCGGGTATTCTTCGTGAGTCACCCACTCACTTCCGAGCAATGTTGCTCTCATCCCGTGCTGACACCAATCACAGTGACAACATGGATTTGCGCTTGGATCATTGCGGAAGTTATTCCATTCTTCTCATCCCGTGAGTCTCTTGACACCATACCCTAAACCAATGCACACCCAACTAATCCCAACACCAGTCCTTTCCCTCATGTCATCACTCTTTGACAGCTTCTTCGGCTTCATCTTCTGGGGTGTTGCCTACTTCCGGTTGCGCAAAGCCGATGCGAGAGCCGGCATTACGAGAAAGAGAGGCATCGGCACCATTCTGTTGGATGGGACCAACATCATCATCATACTCGTTGGTTTCCTCTTTCTTTCCTTTGGGAGCTATGCGAGTGTGCTGGGTATTTTGGAAGCGTATGATACAGGATCGGTCAGGAGCGTGTTTTCGTGTGCGAGCAACGGTCTTTGACAAGATTCATGTCTGTTGGGTGCAAAGGCTCCCGCAACTGGAACAAAATGTACAAGACCTTCCTCGTGATCCGTTGACCAACAAGATCTTTGATGGAAGTAATACAAACCAGCGATTCCGATTTATTTGCCAGATTTACGTTTCCAGCACATCCACGGGTGGATTTCTATACCTTGCCTATTGTACGATATGATAATGTCCACTTTAAAGCTCCCCCCTCTCTCTCTCTTTGTCATCCACCCTTTTTTACCAGTCCTCGTTTTCAGGGTATTTAGCTGGAAGAGTGGTATTTCATCTATGCTTTGTACCGTGATAGCAACAATAGCTTGTGCCTTTTCATTGTCACAAGGACTCGGGGTATTCATTTTAAGCTAACTCGGAGGCCAGACATGGCCAGACACATGTGTGTTTGGAGCACTGTGACTCCCATTTTTTCATGCCATCTTTCCAAGGGCGATGGATGGTGGAGATATTCAAAGTTAAACCACATAACAGAAAGAAGGGGATTCATCTTATGTTTTCCACATTTTGTTGTGTCGTCCTGTTACCCGTCCACTTAACAGCTCGGCATGGTGCAGCCTTCGGACAGAAAATCTGTCATGCAACACACCACAAGCATACAATACCGTTACCAGCCAATTCGCAACCATCTTCCAACAGACGGAAGTCCCAACCGAGAGACGAAATGTGGGAATTAGAAGAAGAACGATATGTCGATTTGGCCGGAACATCAGATGTGTGATATGGTTGGTTTCGCACGAAATAACATTGCCGGAGCTGAATCCACTTCGACAAGTGACAACCATCATCGCCACTGCCGCCGCCATTATCAACCTACTGAGCAACTTGGGGAACACTGTCGCTCGTACTTAACCATGTGCAATAAGTACATGAGCGCAGAGTACGCTTGCTGGAAACCGAACCACTGCGAGGGAAAGTGCCGGCCTTTCTTCATCAAATGCGAACTTGCAAAGAAAGCCGAACAATATCTTCAAGATGTCATCAATGAAGGAGCCAGTCAAAATCCCGGTCGAGTGCAGCCGCCATAATTCGGCACGGGGGTGGGAACGCGTTTTCGAAGTTCGATAATAATCCAAAGACCGCATTGGCAGACATCTTGGAACCGACAGGTTTGTCGGAGGGATACGAACACCGAAAAGACCTGATACCATGATGACGGGCTTCTGCGCGGCCATCTCGGCGACCATCGACATGCACGTTGCGCATGGTCTCAATCAACTGAAGGACCGGGGATGACATCGAAGTATATCATGACTCCTTCAGAGTATAGGGACGCAAGGAGCAAGTGACGATGCTGCTGAGCTCGAGGAGGAATGGAATTATCGAAGTGACTGGAGCGAACGAAGACGAAGCACTGCAGTGACTACCACGAGTTTGATTGGTTGAGGACAGAAACGATATTCTTCACCGAGGTGATGCTCAGCTGGTTTGACGAGGCTGCACACATATACAATGTCTAGAAAAGGGTCTTCATGCCTGCCAGTCATTCCTTCCTATCCTTCTTTTGTTTTCGATCTAAACCAACTTCTTTACTCTTGCCACGTTTCCATATCCCTTGTATTACACTGGAAAGGATAAACAGGTATCACAAATCAGGCCATCCTAACCAGACAGCGGAAATCCATAATAAGGTTTCTCTTTTCTTTTTACAACTCGCCACATTGCCTACAAACAAATTCACAAATATCATCCTACCACCACACAGGCATCGGCACGGTCAAGCTGCGTGGTCCGATATACTATAAGCCAACATAGTTTTCCTCCTACCAACACGTCAACACTGCGTGGTTCGATATACTATAAGCCAACATAGTTTTCCTCCTACCAACACGTCAACACCTGGCATCATGTGTATCCGTTTCGACCACCCGATCCGGCCTTGCCCCCGAAGATGCAAAAACAAACATGACCCAATGGTGGTCGAGTGTGACGAAGCCTAGAAAGAAAGATACACTATCCACTACTTTTGTCCGGACATCCTTCACGTTGCAACACCCACGAATATATCTATCTGCTGCCACAAACACCACGGGAAACGGCTTGACGTCATAGCAGGAATATTCATGGACACATGGGCCGAGCTCATCGAAAAAAGAAAGGTTATCTTCGCGACACAAGAGATGAACGAGATGCAGCGTACCGAGCTCGACACAGAACACTCAATAGCTACAAGAGCTGTGTCCCACCTGCCGATACTCCAAGGGCTGGTTTACGAATCGTTGAAAAAAAACACGCCCTTCTATCATCCTCTTATGGCCAATATGTTCCGACAGGTGGAGGAGTGTCGTAGGAGGTTGATCCTGGCTGGTTTTATTTACGAAGAACCCATCCCGCCTTGGTCCCAGCCGGTCGTCGAAGGCGACGTCCCTGATACGAGCCAGCCTGCAAATGAGCCCCCACTCTTTCCACCCCGTTCACCCAGCACGTCGCGCCCAAATACCCCAGAGGTCGTTGAAGACATATGGGATGATTATAATGGCTACGATTCCGGTGATGAGGAAATCGTACATGAAGGCGATCTCGAGGATAATCTTCCCAGCAACGAGGAGTTAGGGATACGGTAATGAGGAACAAGCCGGCATCGTCATGTTTTTTTCTTTCAACGGGGTTGCTGGCCTTCTCTCATGCTCAGTCACCATCATACTAGCATTGCCCGGCTACGATGGACTGATGAAGGCTGAATGTCAATGCTGTCAAGCTCGAGGCGGGATTGCATAGCGTACATTTGCTTTCACGTTGGGCTTTTTTTTTGTAGCTACATCTAGCTAGCGAATTAGCGATTCTTATTTACACACTTTTCTCAGTTATTCCCAGGACGACGTGCAGCCCAGTGTATACATACTACAAGTTTCAAATCTATATTCTGTGCAACTAGTTGTAGGCGTCTGCCGAAAGCAGTCAACATGCCTTCCAAGCATCAATGACATAATATGTTCACGACATGAATCCGGCGTACTCTTCGGTCTTGAATCTTAACTATATAAACTTTACTTTTTGCGATGACTTTCAACAATTCGACGGGCCGCTGGTCTAGTGGTATGATTCTCGCTTAGGGTTCAATCCTGAGCATTCTTGCGAGAGGTCCCGGGTTCAATCCCCGGGTGGCCCCATGCTTTTTCTTTTATTAGTTTTTCCCTTTTTATATCGTCGTTTCCCAGCATGTGCGCAGCTCGACTTAAGACCCTTTTTGCTCCTTCGTGACATACTCATTTGCGTTGTTTTACGCAGAATCCGCCGACCTACCCCTGGACGTGATGCGATATTTCGGGGGAAGTTTCTTGTAATTGCGCAGTTTTCTCAGCCCTCGGACAACGTATCACCGAGACTAACATCACCACCACCGCTCTACACAGACGTTCTCCGCATGGAAAAGGATAACCATGTGTCCACTTTCAACACAAGCGTGCGCAGCTACTTTTTACACCAAGCTGAAAATGGTCTCTTAAGCCGATGAGGAGAAACTGGGTTGGCCGATCTCCTTCCGACAACTCTATCCTGGCTGCACGGTACCTTGAACACCCTCATTATACCCGCTCACGAAACCGACTACTTGGGGGTTGGGGGGCGGCCTGGTGTGGGGCTATTTTTCAACCCCCTCTCATTAAAGAGGGGGAAAAATTTTAATGGGATAACCGTTTAATTTGGGACAAGCTCCGATCTATACCATACAGAATCGGCTATTAACGCTGCGCAAAACCACTTTTTAACTATTATAGGGCTTGCTACCCGTGGCTGAAGCGACTAGCAGTCTCGCCAGTCCGAGTCCCTGCCGGTAGGCAACCGATGTAGCTAATTAGGTCCCTTGCCGCCGCGGTACTCTCGCGGCCCGTGCGCGCGTACGTCCCTTAAGAAGGATAGTTAGCTATACCCGCTTAGAGGGCGCTCTTTTCTCCTCTTTTCTTCTTCGTAGAACCTTATTAATCGATTAAGGCTAGTATTTATGCTAATTGTATTGTACCTCTTATATTAGGTTCTATTTTTATTTTTATTAGCAAATATAGTAGAAATTAATAATAGAATAGCGGAATAGAATTAAAGCAGCTAATTATTTATAGTACGGTATTATAGTATTTATTACTTACTATAGTTGGATTTAATAATATAGATTTTAATAATAAGGAAGAGTTCTACAATTTTTAAAGCGGCGATTAATCCGATATTAATAGTACCCTTAGCGATAGGTTTATTAAAAGCCTTATTAAAGTACTAAATGGTAGTACCTCTCTTTATAATTATATTAAATCCTTTTTCTTTAATTCTAATCCTAATTCTATCCTTACTCTGCGTTTGGACTTTTACCTCGCGGATACTTCTACGAGCCGAGCGGTGGGCTTTAACGTCCCCGCTTTAAGTATTTCTATTAATTAAAATAATAGTTATAGTATTACTTTTTATAAAAGAAAACCTTTAGAGTTCCCGAAGTAGGATGGGTAGCCATATACTTTCTTTTTTTACTATAATAAATCTATTAAAGCGTATAATACCAATATTAAAATAGAGCTTTATATTAATTATAATATTATATAGTACGAAATCCTTAATATATTCCTTAATAATAAGTAATTCTAACTCAAATGGTTTTTTAGATTAGTAAGACCGTTTGCGGCGAAGAAGACCCTATAGTTTTATTTAATTAAATTTGAATAATTTTTAGTTCTTATTAGAATTAGGATATTACCCTTAATAAATTCTCCTGCTTATATTAGAAAGATAGAGAATTGTTCGCGAACTTCTTTGCTACTTTTAATAATAAATTATTTAAAGCTAGCGGTTATAATTAGGAAAGCCCCGCTAAATTAGTATATTTCTATTATACTATTAATAAGAAGTTTTATAATAAACTCTTCCTAGTAAATCTCTTAAATAATTATTGTATATATATAGTTTAAATATAATATTATACTATTAGCTACGAACGGATATTCGAATTTAAGGAGGACTATTATAAGTATTTTCGTAACTAACGAAGCTACTCTACCTAAAGTAGCGGTTTCTACTTTCCTATATCCTAAACTAATATTTAAAAGCCTAATAATTAATAATAATAGTCCGCGGCTTAAATATCGAATTAGTTTAAGGATTATACTACGGATATTAATAGCGATATTATTATAGGAATTATTCGTATTAGCGTATTTATTAAGGGTTATAGTAATCGAGGGCGAAGTAATTTAAATTCGGTTACATCCTCTAAACGTACTAAATAGGTTTGTAATAAGGAGCGCTAGAAGTATAAAGATAATAACCAATACTTCTATTATAGAATTTCCGGTTATTATATAAATAGTTACCTCTATTTACTGGTAATTCCTCCGAATAATAATATTTATATTTAAATTACTATTATAGAAGTTCTTCTATTATTAGAAAAAGAGGAGAATTAAAACTTTATTCCCGAATAGGGAAAAGAATAGCTCTAGAGCGAAGTCGGGCCCCGGAATTATCCGAAGTACTAAATAAGGTAGAATAATTTAAATTAAAATTATAAATAGAAATAAAATTTATATTAATTCTATTCGTTATTAAGGATTATAATTTATTTTACATCTTTATTAATAAGGGTTACTAATACTATACTATAGTAAATAAAAAGGTTATTAAAGATCTTAAAATTCCTATTATCCTTATTAAACCCCGCTATATAAAAAGAGCCTCTACTATTATAGAAGGGGCTACTATTTAAGGATTTGCCTATTTTTTAGCGGAAGTCGATAGATATATATACTCCGTATGTACGTACGTTATTCCTCTCTTAGAATTCTCTACTATTTTAAGTAAATTATAATTGAAAGTAATATAGGCTTATTCTATTCCCTATAAAAAAAGGATATATTTGGGTATTACGGATTATTGGATCCTATATATTAGAGGGAAGTAAATACTTAATATAAATTTTATTAAAGATATTAAGTCTATTACCTATATATTCGCTATTACCTTTATAGGTTATATTCGCCGCCTACGGAAAGAGTTAGGCAATAAAGTAATTAAGGAAGCTATTTATATTATTAGTTTAAAGGATATAAAGAAGGTACTATAACTAAAGAAAGTCTATACTAAAGAATAATTAAAGAAGATAATTCCCCTAGTATATTATAACTCCCTTCTATTATAAATAAAAGAGAATACTAATAAACGGAATCCCTCTTATTTAAATATTAATTATTAAATTAAGATTAAAAAGGAACCTAATAGTAAGGAATTCCCCTTACTTTTTAGACTATTGTATAATATAATCTGCAAGGAGCATTTAATTTTAAAGAAAATATTAAAACACTTATTAAATAAAGAGTTTATTAAAGTAAACAATTTAGAAGTAAGTACGCTAATACTATTTATAAAAAAACTAGGGGGTAGCCTCTACTTTTACTATAATTACTAGGCTTTAAACGCTATTATATAAATAGATTAATATTCTTTACTACTTATTAGAGAAACGTTCTATATATTAAAGGGGGCGAAATAGTATATAAAGGTCGATATTGTATAAGCTTTCTATAAGATTTATATAACTATAGGGGAGGAATGGAAGATAGTATTCAAAATTCGCTATAGTCTATTCGAATAGTTAATAGTTCCCTTCGGGTTAATGGACGCCCTAGCAACGTTCTAGCATTATATTAATTTTATATTATAAAATTAATTTAATAAATTTTATACGGTATATATAAATAACATCCTTATTTATACTTTGGATTCTAAAGCGGACTACAAAGTTAAAGTCTATTTTATATTATAGAAATTTTTAAACGCTAAACTTTACTTCAACCTCGATAAATATAAATTTACTATTAAAAAAGTTAAATACTTCGGGTTTATTATCTATATTAGTATTAGAATTTAGGCCGACTCTAAGAAGGTTAAAGCGATCCTCGAATACCTTCCCCCTATATTTCAAAAGGGCGTACATAGTTTCCTTATGTTTATTAATTATTATTGAATATTTATACTTTAATTTTCCAAGGTCGTTACACTTCTTATTATATTAATAAGAAAGGGAATTGCGTTTAAATAAATTAAAGAATACAAGGCTACCTTCTAATTATTAAAAATATTATTTACCCGAGCCCCAATCCTTACGGAGTTTAATCCGGATAAGAAGATATATTTAAAGATGGATTGTAATCGCTTTACTTTAGGGGGTGTTATTTTTTAGGAAATAAATAGTATTAAGAAGTATACGGTTATAGGATACTATTTATAGAAGTTTAATACTACTAAACAGAATTATTTAATTTATAATAAAGAAATATTAATAATTATTAATTATTTAAAGTAATAGTTGGTTAAATTATAGAATTACAAATCTTTTACTATTGTAATAGATTATTAACATTTAGAATATTTTATAAAAATATAACGTCTTTTAGAACGTTAAGTACGGTAGGCGGAGTATTTATTTTAGTTTAATTTTAATATTAAGTACCAGCTAGAGAAAGAAAGCATTATTTCTAATACGCTTTTACGAAGGGAATAGGATATACCGATAGAAGAAAATAAAAAGTTTACAATTTATAAATAAACCTAAATTCTACGTTAGAAAAATATTCTCTACTCTGTATTTTAGCGTCCCGAATTATTTATTCTAGGAGGGAGGGTATATAAATGTTCGAAAATCCGGATTTATAATAGCTTTGGAACTAAACAGCGCCGAAGGACTATTTCTACTAATAAATAATGGTAGTAATTTAGTATAATAATTAATATTTTAATCCGATATTAAAATTTAAAATTTAGATTACGGATTGTAATATTAATTTAAGAGGCCGCCTTTACTATTAAGGCCGCTTCTAGGTCTTAAGAATACTGGTATATAGAATTAGAGGCTATAAACCTTTTAAATTAGTCCTAGTAGTTTAATATATTCCGTACTACTCTAATATAAATAATATACGACTCTTACCTTTTTAATTACCCGGGACGAGAAAGTACTATAGCTATTATAGGGCGAGAGGGCACCGTTGGGGGTAAGGTAGGATATATGTTATTGTATAAGGGAGGAGAAGGGAAGTATATATAGAAGACTAGCTATATAGGCGAGAGCCTAGTCTGGGCCAATCTGTATTCGTACACATACGTAGGACTGTATGTAACTAAAGCCGTTAATAGCTCTAGATTAGAGGTGTATAATATAGTTATATTATAAGCTAACCCTATAATACTATCCCTCTTTAAAAGAAGCTTATAAAGTTAAAAAATTTATATATACGTATAATAATAGCTTCTACTTTAAAAATAATTATAATTTACTAACTATATTAGGAGTAGCTTCTAGGACTAAATATCTATTAATCGTCCTATAACCTTACTGAATACTAAATATAATTTATCTTTTATATTTTCATTAACTATTTTATTAATAAGCTTCGTTATTATTATTTTCGGGAGTGGCCTTATATCGGTTATAGAGGCCGTTTCTTATTAGAGACGTACGGAGTAATAGCGCGGGGGCTCTAGTATAGGAACGGTAGTAGGGGCAGTAGGAATATTAGAGGCGAAACGCTAGAGGACTTTCTAGATTCCTAATAGTACCGGTTTATTTAAATTCTTATAATAAAATTATTAGATATAATATTCGTAATTAATTATATTAATAATTAGCTCGTAAGTAGGGTTTCTAGTCTTTTATTTAATATAGTAATACTAATATATATTACCTCCTAATTAAATATAATTAATAAACCTTTTAAAAGTTTATTTTTCGTACTCCTCTTAATTATCTATAGATATTATTACCCGGCCTTTATCTACCGTTATATTTATTATAGTATTCTAACTAAATAGTCCTGTACTTAATTAGGACTATATTATAAAAACGTAGAAAATTAGTAAGTACTTTATATTAGCGGGCAAAGAGAGGTAGACTATATACGAATTAGTACGGACGATTCTAAAGGGGCCTTTCCAGCGGGGAGAAAATTTTGTATATAACCGACCGTTAGCGAGGTTTATAGTATTTAAAAGAATTATATTATTAATATAGTATTTAGGGGAATTAATACGTTTTTTATTAATATTATCTTTATATTATTCTTATATATAGCGGATTTATTAGATTATAAAGTCCTATATCTTCTAGAAATAATTTACTAGTTCGTTAACTTTATAATATTCTTTAAATTAGGCTAGCGAAAAATTTAGAGGTAGTAGGGTTCGGGGTTCTATATTTATACGAAGATAGTAACTGTAATTAGCGAAGAATAATAAAATTCCTATTAATAAGGAAATAGTATTATTATTGGCGAACTCTACGAATAATAACTATTTAGCCCAGTCTATTTAAACCTAATTAATATATATTCTTAAAAACTGTTCTATTTTCGTATTAATATATTTAATCTACGCGTTAGTTTAGGGGTAGAAGGCGGAGGTTAATTTTCTAATAATAAATAGTCTTTTATAAAGGGTAGATTAGAAGTGTAATATAAATTGGGTACCTCTATTGGATAGGATACTATCTAGTAAACTATAAATATAATAAATACGATTAATAAAATAATTAACTAATTCCTCGGCCTCTAGGGTTATTATTGGGATATAGTATTGTATTTTTATAAATCGATCAATAATAATAGCAATGTATTTAAAAGTTTAACCGAAGTAGGTACTATTTAATAGTAAGGTAATATAATCGACCAAAATCGCTATTTAAAGTACTAGAGAGATAACTACTAGTTTAAAGTAGCTAATAGAATTATATTTAAATAATTTAATTTTAGTATAAGGGAGGCAGCCTCTATAAAAAAGCTTTATATTATTGTATATCCTTTCTTAATAAAGATCGTATTATAAGAGTTCGTATATAGCGTTATAATTAGGGTAGCCCGCGTTAGGAGTATTATATTAACAATTAATTGATTAAAATTAAAGGCCTTTATTATAAGGGTCAATAATAACTCCATCCTTTTATTTTATAATATTATTAATAATATAATATTCCGAAAAAACTTTATAGAATACTTTCCTAATAATTAAAAGCTACTACCGTCGCAATACGTTTATTAAATAAAATACTAGCTCTTAAAGGAAAACCGAAGTTTCGTAGTTCGTATAGATAAAGTTATTAATTAACTTAGTATTAAGATCCTTAAGGCCGAGTAAATATAGCGAAAAATTAGCGGTAGGGTCCTTAAAATAATTATTTTTAAATTATAAAAGGTTAAATAAAGGTTTTTTTACAAGCGACGAAGCAACTATCTTCTTCGCTGTCGGGGCGGTCGCAAGCCTTGCGGTTTAAAGTATTAGGGTGTAAATTCTTAAAGCCCGGGGTATATTTTATTAGAAAATTGAACCGGGGTAAGAACTAGGACTAGCGTATATACTATTAGGTAAGCTACTTATTTATTATAAAGGTTTAAAGGTTTTTATAGTCCGTTAGAATATTAAAAGGCTATTAGGCTCCTTCGAATTCCGGCCACTACTCCTCGAGTACTTTAATAATAGTAAATAACTCTTTATTATAAATATTACAATTATATTTCTACGAAGTATATTTGGTTGAAAAATAAGCAATAAGGTAGAGGATTTTATCGTTACTATATTAGGAGAGGATACCTCTAATAGCCCAATTTAAAATATTTATTTCTACTATTATTTTTTTAATCTAATTATGGATCTTTAATATAGGGCCTACTATAAAAGCTTTCTTTAGGGACTTGAACGCCTATTAGTAAATATTATTCTAGGCTTAGGCTGCATCCCTTTTTATAAATTTATTAAATGGGGTCGCTATAATTGAAAAATCTTTAATAAACTTTCGGTAGAAATTTACGAAATTTAAAAACAATTAAAGGAACTTCTTAAATTCTAGGGCTAGCTATTCGGTTATTATTTCAATTTTTGCGGAATCTATTTTAATACTTCCTAGTATAATAATTAAATTTAAATATTTAATATACGCAGTATAGAATTCATATTTATTAATATCAATACTAAATTCTATTTTAATTAGCTAATTGAGGACGTTATTAATATACCGTTCGTAGTCCCTTATATTATCCGAATAGATTAGAACGTTGTTAAAGTATATGGTAATATAAATATTAAGGATATTATATAGGATATTATTAATATAATTTTAGAAAGTACTAGGGGTTTTTTATAAACTAAAGGGAATAATAAGGGATTCGAAAAGGCCGAAGCGTATTATAAACGTAATTAGCTATTTATAGCCCTACTTTATTCGGATTTAATTAAAAGCAATTATTATATCGAATTTCGTAAAAATTTTAATATAGCAAATTGTATTTAGAATCTCTTTAATAAACGGGAATAGGTAGTATAATTTAAAAGTAATATTATTAACGCCTCCATAATTAATATAAATATAGATTCTACTTCCTAATTTCTTTATAAATAAGACCGGAATTAAGGCTTTTAATTATAATAGCCAGATAAACTTCTTCTTAAGGTTATTATTAATCTACTTTTTAATAATATTAAATTCGTCCGGGTTAAAAGCGCGGCTATAGGTAGCGGGCGGCGAGGCTCTTAAATAGAATTTGAATTTAAAATTGTACAAACAATTAGGTAGGAGAACCTCTACACCCTCCTACCTAAAAATACTAATATAATACTAGTACTATTTAAGGAGTTTAGCCTAAATTTTAGTATTAGTCTTTAGGAGTTTATCTACTTTTTTATAAAATTTAGTAACATTTTCAAACGTAATTTTACTAATATTAATACTATTAATAGCGAAATATTTATTAATAGCTTCTTTATAGTATAGGAAATTATTATTAGTACTATTAATCTAAATTAAATTAACGACCCTTACTATACGTAAAGCGGTTATATTTCCCTTCCTAATTAGAATATTAATTTATTAATAATAATTATTACTATTTTTTTCTTATACTTCTAATTACAGCCTATTAAATCTTTCTTAATTATTTCCTTCATTAAATTATTACTTATACTCTTAGAATTTAGGACGCCTCCTTCTTCTCCTATTTAATCCTCCTCCTTTATTATCCTAATATCCTCTTCTATTTTAGCTCGGATAGTACGGATTATTTAAAACTTTAATATTTCGGCTAATTAATTAAAATTCATAGTAAAAAATTCCTAAATATCGTTAAGGTTAATAGGACTATTAGGGATACTATAAAAGCGGGTCGGAGGCCAATAATCTATAGCTCTAGTATAAATTCTTCTAATAATTTAATATAGTATAGGCTAGTAAATTAAGGTATTAACCGGAAGGTTTATTAATATAAACGTTTAGCTTAAATTAATTAGGGGTTTATTGAGCGGAGTAATATTTAATCGGTTAATTACTTAATTCTTAAACTAGTTAAACTTCTAACGGGTAATTCGTTTTACAATCGCAAAGATAAATAAATAGCGGGTAGACTCCCTTTATAGTAGTTTTAATTCCCCTTCATCGGGTATTTTTTTTGTAAAAAAGGCTTTTTGTACGTAGGACGGGTACCGGGCGTATTAGAATAAAGGGGGGAAAAGTAACGAACTATTAAAGGAATATAACGGTTAACGGTTTTATAAGGGAAGTAACTATATAATTCGTAAGTAGGCCCAAAATAAAGGGAGTTATTAAACTAATTGATACCCGGGGTGTAATATATTAATTATAAATAATTAAGAATAATAGGATTATCCTTAGCGAGGTTGTAAATAAGGAGGTCGATAATTTCGTAGTAAATTCCTACTTATATTATTATTCTAATAAAATATATAATACTACCATTAATTTAATTATTAGCGAGGTATAATAATTTAGGGGCTGGTAATTTAAAAAGGGGAAAGTAGTATTGGAAAGTAAAATACTAATTAATAAAACCGAGTACAGTATAGCCGCTATCAATTAAAGCGGAACAATACAATTTATATAATCTAAAGGAGAAATAAATAGAGAGATTTAATAAATTAGAGTATTTATAGCCGCTATTTATTAAAGATTTATTTATTTTAATAATATTTAGCCGTATAAGAATAAACCCCTATAGTCCTCCTCCTTATCCTGTAGATTAATACTTTTAAATATAATTTAGGTTAAAAACTATATATTTCCCTATCTTTAAACTAAATTAACTTTATTACCTATAATAGGACTCATAAAACCGGGTTAGTAAATAGAGGTTGGGTAGTAGTAACTACCGGGGCCGGGGGTACTTAGAGTAATTACTAGGAAACCTATAGAAAAGCTAGTACTTATAGTATTAATTTAATAACCGCCGCTATAATTGGAGCGCTATTAGCTATAACTATATTAACCTTAAGCCGGTTATTACTATTAATTACCGCTACTATTAATATTATTATTATTATTATTATTATTACTACTATTATTTTTATTTTTATTTCGGTTTCTATCTCTATCCTTACGGGGTTTAACTTCCTTTTTAAAATTAATATAGGAGCGGTACTCCGCCGAAAAATAGCCCTTCCTATTATAGTAGGTATATATATTATTCTTTATATAATATTTAAAAATATTATTATTAATTAAATGAAAAATTTGGACGTTGGAGGTTAATATTGGATTAAGGTCTATAATAGAACCTTCCTAATTAACGGTAATTTTTCTAATAGGTACGGGGGCGCTAAAGGTATTAGTAGTAGTAATACTAAAGCTGGTCTTATAGTAGGGGTTAAAATTTCTATTATACTAATCCTTATTTTTTAAATTCTTTATAAAATTATAAACGAGAATTAATTACTTATTATATTTATTATTAGCGGATTAAGGGTTCTAATAGGTAATAGCGGCGTAAATATAATCCGAAATCTTTTAATACAAATAGTAAATCTTTATACCGTTGTCGAAATTGTAGTAATCGATTAAGCGAGTAAAATTATCCTTAAACTCCTACTATTTTATACCTTTAATCATCTTTAACTCTTCGAATTCGCAATAAAAATAAACAATAATATTTATATTATTGTACTTCGTAATTAATTCTATTAGGAGGGCCTCCGCCGTAAATTATTTAGTAGGGAATTTAGTTAGGATTTTAGTAAGTTCGAATTTAATAACTTCGAAGGGGGCGCCTTTAATAGAATAGGTAATAAATAAAAATTTTGTATATTTAGTATTAAAAAGTTAGGAGTTGTCTAATTAAGCGAATTAGATATAGAAACGCTAAATACGAAATTTAATAGAGCGTTCAACAGCGGTTCCTTTACTATTAAATACTAGTATTATAATAATACGCAATACCGACCTATAGTTGCTACCGTTGTTTATAGAAGTTATAATATCAGGCTTAGGTTCTTCGTTATTAAAATCGTCTTCCGGAAGTACGATATTAAAAGCTTGGGCGGCGATAAGATACTAGCGTAGTTCGTTAATCGTTTTTTAATACTTCTCTTTCTACTTTTAGTAGGTAGCTCTAAAATTGGCTCTCAAAGTAGAAAGTTCTAATTTTAAAGTAGTAATATCCGTTCGGAGTAAACCGATTTTAATAGAATAAGTATTACGGATAGCCCTAATAATAAATTTGTAATTTTTAGCAGCCTCCTATACTTAGAGGAAGGCTTTTATTTAGACTATAGCAATATTACTATTAAACCGTTTAATCTCTTACTAGGCTAGTACTAATTAGGATTCGGAGACTTCGAATAACCCCTCCGCCTCGCGCGCCTCTGTTCTGGCTCCAACGACGTCTGGCTCGAGGTCTGGGATCGCGACGAAGGTCTTAATTGCGCGGACGCGAGTTTTAATTGACTGATTAATACAATTATAATCAATTTTCCTCTTATTAAATAGTGAGCGCATATAGTGCAATAGCTTAGTACAATAAACTATTACGGGGCGAGAAGGTACCGTTGGGGGTAAGGTAGGATATGCGTTATTATATAAGGGAGGAGAAGGGAAGTATACGTAGAGGACTGGCTATATAGGCGAGAGCCCAGTCTAGGCCAGTCAGTGCTCGTACACACACGTGGGACTGCACGTAACCAGAGCCGTCAATAGCTCTAGACTGGAGGTGTGTAGTATAGCTACATTATAGGCTAACCCTATAATAATAGCTATTCTTAGCCGGTACTTCTATTAACTACTCCTAAGTATTTACGTCCGGTAATATCTTTACAACTATTATACTTATAAATCTACAAAGGTTTAGCGAGAATAGAAATAGGATTTAATATAATCTTTATTAGTACTAGACTAGTTTAATAGGGAGATATAGATAGATTTTATTACGGATTTTCCGGAGTCTAACGGTAATACTTACCTTTAGGTAATTAAAGATTAATTGAATAAGAATATTATTTTGGAACCTATACCTTTAATAGAAGTTATATTATACGCCGAACGTTTTTTATAATATTTCGTCCACTATTATAGGTTCTTGCAATTTAATATTAGCAATAGAGGATTAAATTGGATTAGCCCGGTTTTAGGCTAAACTTTACAAACTCTTTAATATTAAACGCTTACTAACTACCGTATACTATCTATAAACCGATAGCGGCCTAGAACGTATAAATTAGGAGATATACGTATATTTACGAATAATAGTTAATTATATATAAAATAATTAGTATAAGTAGTGCCCTATAGTTTAATTGGTTATTAATAACTGTATTAATACTTTTATTAGAATATTTCCTTTCTTTACTACCTATAGGTTTGATATAAAACTCCCTATTTCTATTATTAAAGAGGGAGCCTATTCGGGAATTCTCCTTTTATCTTTCAAGAAAAGGGTTTATTAATTCGTCCGGAAATTATAGTAAATTATAGACTTATATTAAATAATTATAATAGTAGTTGCCTAAGAATAAAAGAGATTTATTAATTAATGTTGTTAATTGGCGGAGTATTTTTAAATTAGGAATAAAGTTTAATTTAATTTAAAGAATTATATAATAGACTGCCTAAAGAAAAAATTCGATTAACTATACGCAAAATATACCGTCTTTAAAGTTCTTTCTCCTTATATAGTCGAGTTCTTAAGTCTCTTTCGAACTATTCATAATATTTTTTATATTAATTTCCTCCGTCGAATAATTACTAATCCCCTCCCGGATTAGAAATTTACAAATAATTAATTATTTATTATTAAAATTAAAAGGGAATTAGAATTCTAAATTAAGAAATCTTATATATTAATACGGTAAGAAAGTACAAAGGCATAGTTCGAGAGTTTTTAGTAACGTAGAAAGGGTATTGGGACTTAATTTAGGAACTATTATAAAAATTCTTAGAAATTATAATATTAGACTAATTCGAAGAGAAATACAAACTAATAATTATAAATAATAGATTATTAGACTAGTATATTAAGAAGTACCCTCTTAAAAGTACTCCGGATTAGGAATTTATGGACGGATAATAGGGAATTAATTACGGAATTATTTTAAAAAAATAAAATCGGAAATTCGCGAATTAAATTACAAAAAATTAGAATTTTATTCGGGTTAAATCTAAGACTATTTTAAAATATTAAATATCTTTTATAATATTATTATTTAATAAATCCCTTATAGTATTATTTATATTAAAATTATCAAAATCCTCCCTCCTACTATTAGTAATACTTTTATTTTTAAGGTTATATAAATTATAGGGGCGAATATTCTCTAAGCGTATATTAGATAATAGCGAAGGGAGTAGACGAATATTATTAAAAGGATAAATATTAAGGGGTAATTAGGGGATAAGGGTATTTTATTATTTGAATCCGCGTAGGGTAATAGTAGCGAAGGTACTAGTACGGAGGCGTTTATTAGGAGTATTATCCTTCTTATAAATTAAAAAATAATATTTAAGTTAAATATTGGAGGGGCTGGCCGCTAGAATAGAGGATTTAGAAGTAGTAACGGCCGCTTTCTTTACCTTCTTTACCTTAAATCTTTTATTATATCAATTAATAAATTTGTTTAACGCCCTTTCAATAGCTGGGTCCGCTACCTACCTTATTTTACTTATATTGAGCTCTATAGTAGCTATTTTCTTTTAGAACTTAACTAATTTAATTCTTAATAAAGAATTAACGCCGGACTTATTAGGTTTAATAGAGGGATTAAGCGGGCGAGTAGCGGCCGCCGGAGTACCAATTCTACTCTAAAAGCTACTATAAAAGAAAGTTAATATAAATAGGAAAGTAAAAGAAACTAAATAATTAATATATAAGGGAATAAAACCTTTCTCCTTAAATAGAGAGAGATTAGGGAGCGCTTTAAAGGTAGTTAAAAAGATAGCCCGTTAGGGATTGGAAATATAATTAATAGTATACTAAATTACAAAGGCGTCCTAAGCCCAAATTAGAATCGGCTTATAAGTAACCTTACTATATTAATAAGGTAAATATATAGTAGCCGAACTACCCGTAGGAATAGTAATATAATTATATTTATAAGAGAGATAGTAAATATATTAATTAGACTAAAGTTTAATTATATTAGTAATAAGGGTTGTAATTATATTATTAATTATAATTTTACTAATACTAACTATAATTGTACTAGGCCGGGTTTAAATTAGTTTAGGAATTTTAAATTTCTTAGGAGCCGGAGTAAGAATTGGGAGCAGGGCTAGAGAAGAGCTTTACTATTATTATAGGAATTATTAAAATTATTAAAATTGTAGAAACTAATCGAAATTAAACTAATTGGAAGTATTAGATATTTTAATATAATTATAGGCGCTAAATTAGTATAAGAACGAAAGTGAGGATTAAATAAGATTAAATAAAAAATAGAGAAATAAAGAACGAATAATAAGGGTAACGAAGGAATAATAGTATTAAAAGGGATACTTATAGTAGAGAGTTATAATTTCGTTAAAGAAGGAGAAAAGAGGAAGAAAGAGAGAGAAAGGGAGATTTGAAAAATATATAGGTTATTTAGGCATTAAGTAGGTAGTAGTAAGGAAGGGGCGTATTATTTAATTTTAGGAATATATATAACGAAGTATAAATATATATATAGTTTTTTAATTAAGGAAAAAGGGGGGGCTAATATTATAGGGCTTACTACCTATAGTTAAAGCGATTAATAATCTCGCTAATCCAAATCCCTACCGGTAGGCAATTAATACGGCTAATTAAGTCCCTTACCGCCGCGGTACTCTCGCGGCCCGTACGCACATACGTCCCTTAAAAAGGATAGCTGGCTATACCCGCCTTAAGGGCGCTCTTTTCCCCTCTTTTCTTCTTTGTAGAACCTTATTGATCGATTAAAGCCAGCATCTATGCCAACTGTGCTGCACCCCTTACATTAACATCGTACACACTAGTAACACAACCACGTACAAACTCGCTGTTTCTAACTATACACTTCGTAAATCTATAAAAGTAAATAGTCTATATATATCTATAGATTAATAGAGGTTAACCTACTATAGTAGATTTTGATAAATATTTTAATAAAGTGGGGGAGGCGTCCGCTAGCTACCGCGGCGCCCGTATATATCTAACTACTCGCCAACGTATTAAGCGCCTTAGAACATTACGCAAACTGCTGACTATTAGAGAGATTGCTACTATTATTAGCGAATTGCATACTTCTATATTTCACTATATTAAATTGCTAGTCGAATATAGTAAATTAATTATATTATTGTACTTAAAAAGTCGCCCCCGTATATTAACCGCCGCCGAGGAGGATGCTATTGTATTATACGTAATATTTTACTTCTAAAAACAATTTCCTACATTATATTAAATAATTATTAGCTTAGCATATTGGTTACAGTTATTATAAGGCGCTCTAAAGACTTATAATACAATATAATTAGTGAATTTTTTCAAAAACTATTTAAAATTAAAAACTACAATTTACTACGCCGTCAATATTAAGAGGAGGTTCTAAGAATTGAATAAAAACTCTATTAATAAGTAGTTCGATAATTATATGGCTATAATTAAGAAATATAATATTATTAAAGGTAACGTTTGGAATTGTAATAAAATAGGGGTAAGACTCAATTACGTAGCGGGCGGGCGTATAAGGGTAATTATACTTAGGGATCTAATAAAGTAAAAGGTAAATTAGTATATTACTTTGCTATAAAATTTATATAAGAGTAAATACTTACTATTTCTCTCAATTAAAGATAAACAATATTACCAACTGAAAGTCGGCCACCCTTATAGCTAATATTAATATAATTAGTAAAACTATCCCTATTTATATAAATAACGCCGAAACCGGAAATGCCGATTTCTGGTCGAGGAGTGCTCCAAAACGAAAATTGATAACGGCAATCGATTTAGGAGGGTTGTTTACGTCCTTTACAATATCCTGCAACGAATGTAGCGATGGCGTTGTATTGTCGTTGCCGATAGCTATAAATAATAGTGTTCGTAGGTTCGAAAATAGCGTCTACAACCCGCTCGTAGAAATTTCCGTATATAACGACCCTAAAGCCGTACTTATTACGAAAACTTCGGATAAAATAGAGGAAGATAATAAAATATTGAAAAGGTTTATTATTAGAGCGAATAAATCTGTAAATTATAATATCGTTTCGACCGAGGACTAACGTTAGGTTCGAAAATTACTTTTCGAATTCGTATAAATTCGCATCGGAAAAAATAAATTTATACAACCCGAAGTTAACGAGGTTAAAACCGACTAATTTATTACTAAGAAGGATTTTAATAATTTAAAGAAGAATATTTTAAAAGAGATTGAAAAAGGTACTTAGGAAATACTAAAATAATAGGCCAATATTATAGCGAAAATTATCCTGAATAAAATTAATACTACCCTCTAATAATTATTTACTACTACTACTAAAAAGTTTATCCTCTTTAACTTCAAACAGTAATTTACTATTAAGGGAGTAATTATTACCGCCGAATTTATAAATTATTCGAACGAAGATATAAAGACGGCCGTAGTAACAACCCTAGGCGGGAAGAAACTAAATTTAGTAATTAGAGTAGCTATTCGGATATTAATATTAATAAATTATATAATTATTTTTAATAAACCTATATATAATTAATATTAGTAAAACTAAATATAAATTATAGAGGTCTTTAGTAAGGAGGCTTTTATTATTATAAATACTATAAATATATTAATCCGGGGCGTACTTTAGAATAGTATTAATAATTATACTATATTAGAAGTATTAATAAATATAGTAAGGAATAAGAATAAGGAGGTAACTATTATAAGAGTTCGGCCTTAAAAAAGAAGGGATAGAGAAAATAGAGGTTTATTCCTAATAGAAATCGCTACTTTAAAAGTAGCGAGTTTCCTTTAAAATAATCTCTTCCTCTAAAATAGCGGTATATACCCTTACGAACCGTTTTAAACTTCGAATAACATTTAATAGTATTTTAAATATTAGGGAATCAAATATATAGCGAAATTCTATTACTAGGAAAATATCTACGCCTAATATAGTAAAGCTAAATATAAAGGAAATTATTTTAGTACAATAAATTTTCTATTAAATAAAAATAAATCGCTCGTTTATTATAAACTATATAGGAAGAAGGGATATTTCGTTTATAATTATAAAGAGTACCCCCTTTTTTAAAAGGCTATTATAAAAGTGTTTATTATATATACCGAAAGGTTATAAGCGTTCGCCCCCCTTCGTAAAAACCCGGCCGGAAAAGTATTAAAGCTAGTAATAGAGACTATAAACGAGAATAACCTATTGGACGCCCCTCTTAACTCCTATACTATTATTACCCTAGAGAAATGAATTAGAAGAAGTGTAAAGAGAGAGCGACTGAAAAAAATCGTTAGCCCAACCCCCCGATTAAAACCCCTAACCTAATAAGGCCTAATAAATATATATTACTTATATTCCTAAAATATAGGGAATTGAATATATAATAGTAATAATACTTATATAATTATAATTCCCCTAAAGGAAGTAATACCCTTATCCTCCGCTAAAGGACCTATAGGAACCCTATTTTAGGGTAATTAATAATCTAATTAAAAATACTCTATTAAAATATATAGAAGTTATATATAAGAGAAAAACTTTTATTCGAATAAGAGGAAATTTATAACGTTGTAGCGATTTATAAGCCGGGTAGAAATTTGAATAAGGATATTTACCGTCCTAAGGGCGGAAAGTATTTTGGAATTAATTATTTAAAGAATAGAAGGGTAGTAATATATATAAATAAGAAATAGAATTTAAGGGACCTCAATTTTTAGACCGGAAGGGATTAGATTATAATAATATTTAAGAATTTAAGGGATCCTACAACTGTTTATTCTATTTATTTACTTATTTTAATATAAGGAATACTAAAATACTAATAGGGATCTCTACTCTTTAAATTCCTTAAAGTTAGGCCCTCAGTAGGAAATTAAATTATTACCGTCGGGGATTTTAACTTCTATTATCCCAATTAGGATTTAGAGAATAGGATTAATTTAGAAGTTATATACTTCCTTATATAGGTATAATATTAGAAGTTCAATCTATTTACCCCCCGTAGTAAATTAATAAAATTTAATAATATAATATAAAGAGAAAAAAATAGAATAATTAATTATATATAATTATTACTCGGGGTTAAAGCCGAATACTAGGGAGTATGGTAGTACGAGTGAACCAGTTCCAACTATTACCCTTAGGAAATTTAAATCCAAGTAAAAAGAAAAAATAGGAGGGTAGAAGAGGAAGGAAATCATATTTAAAATTTTATAAATATAGTAAAAGTAAAGGAGGCGGCGGAGAAATGGATTTCGGTCCCGGAAAGGATTAATATAATAGAAGAATTCGAATAAGGTTTTTATAAATTCAATAGAGAATTTACTAATATTATAGAAGAATTCGTCCTATATTAGAAAAAAGGTTTGGGGAGGAGAGCAAATTAATAAATATTAGAATATAAAATAATTATAAAAGAAATATAATAGAAATATTAGACGTAGTTTGGATATTAAATACTATTAAATTAAAGGGAGTTTATCGAAATAATAATAAAAAAGAAGAAATTTATTTTAAAAGTATAGTAGGTTATATAGTACGAAGGCGTTACTAAAGCCTTAAAGAACCCAAATTAATTCTAACCTTTAAAGAAATAAACCCGAATTTAAAATTATTACCTAATAAACCTACCCAAACTATTAACCTTCTAAATTAGTAAGAGGGTAATAAAAATCGAAGACTATAATAGTAAGGCCGAGATTTTTACCGATTATTTCTTCTTAAGAGTAAATATTCTAATAGAATATTTATTAGATTAAATTAAACTAATAAACGGTATTAATTTAATAATTATTAGTAAACTAATTATTAAGGAGGACGTTTAAAACGTCCTTTCCCGGATAGTACTTAATAAAGCCCCGGGCGTTAATTAATATTCAAATAAATTTTTAAAATTGTATAGGCAATTATTCTAATAAAAAATAATATATTTAGTAGCCGCCAACCTCTAATTCGGATTTTTCCTACAATAATTTAAGGATACGAAAGTAATTATTTTTAAAAAGTTTAAAAAAAGCGCTACTTAATAAAAATTAGCGGGCGTATAGAGATTTATATTACTACTTAATAATATTAGAGAAATCCTCGAAGCTCTTATAATTAAGAGATTTATATAAATAATTAAAAAATTCAATTTTTTACTAGAGGGCTAAATAAGTAACCGGATAGGCTATTTAATAGAGTTTATAGTCTGGGTAATTATTAATATAATTTATACCGCCTAGAAATTTAAAATTATAACGTCCTTTATACTCCTTAATTTAAAGAACGTATTTAATAGAATTAATTATAGGTAGCTTTTATATACTTTATAGGAAATATAACTCCTAACGTAAATTATTAAATAAATAGCGAACTTTATTACTAATAGGAAAAGTACTCTCTTCTTTAATAATAAAACATTTCGCCCCTATATTATTATAGTAAATATACCTTAAGGCTCTCCCCTCTTACTTATCCTATTTATCCTCTTTATTATTTTATTATACTAGAAGTTGGTAATAATCCTAAATATAATTATAGTTAGCTTTGTAGACAATACTAATATTATTATAATAGCCCGTACTACCGAAGAAAATTGCCGGACCTTATAAATAGTACAAAAAATATATTCGGAATAGGCTAAGGCGAGAAGTATAGAATTCGAAGTAAATAAAACGGAATTAATATATTTTATATAAATGAAGGTACTAAGGATAGAAACTCTCTAATTTAAGGACGTAGTATTTTAATTAATAGAATTAATAAAATTCTTAAAGGTTTAGTTAGATTATAAATTTAATTACCGGGCTTATACAAAAATAGTAAAATAGAAAATAAAGATTTAAACGAATATACTTACAAAATTAGTAATAAAAATATAAAATTACTCCTTTATTTAAGTAAGGGAAATATATATTAAATATATTCGTAGTACTATTATATATAAAGTCTTAATATTCTATTAATTAATTAAAATTTATAAAAAACTATAAAGGATTGTAATTGGATTAGCGAAATATTAAACTAAATACTTAAGAATTATTATTAGAGTATATAAAGCTACGCTAATACGGAATTTAAAAATGAAAACCTTTTATCTACTATTCAATTTCTATTTAAATAAAAGAATTTAAGCCTTCGAAGAAAGGTTCGTTCGTATAGACTAAGTAAAGTTTATCCGGGGAATAGTAATTTAGGTAGCTAATTATATTCGGATATAATAAATTAAAAGTCGGCTACCTATTAGTAAATTAGAGAATAGTATAATTAAAACTAAATAAATTGAGGCGTAGGTACTAACGGAGAAATTATTAGTAATTATAGCCGGCCCCCTCTTAGAATTAGGGTCCCTACTACTATTATTATAAATCCCGGAACCTAGGGTTATTGATAGGGAGGAATAGTTAGAGGATATAACGAATAAAGAATAGGTATTATACTATAACTACTAATCAATAGTAGTAATAGCTAAATTAAATCGGTAGTACGAATTTACTATTATTAACCTTACCCTTAAATTTAGTAGCAAAACTATTTAATAATATATAGTTAGTATAAAGAAAGAAAAGAAAAAGAAGGGAATTCGAATATTGGAGAAAATTAACGACAAATTATATTTGCTAATTAAAATAAAGAGCTCCATCCTAGTTTAAATTAGAATAGAGGTTATAGGACTCCGGGTTTTTCTCTTCCGGAGAAAGGTATTAGGCGCCTAAATGCCCGTTTATACCTACGGATTAAAAAAAGAGACTTTTACCTATATTATCCTAAATTACTTTAATATAAAAGGCTTCTTCTAATTAAATATTAAAAATTAGCTATTAATAAAAAAGGAATTTTAAAATTATTTAGACAATAGAATTAAAGCCGAGAGGATTCTATTATAAGCGTTAAAATTAAATAGATTAAAAGAATATTGTTTAATAATTAAATTAGAGGAGGAGTAATACGAGGAATTCGTAAGGTACTCCTAAAGAGGGAATAAATTATTAATAATACTAAAATAAAAGAATAAAGGGACGGGGAGGAGATAATTATATTAATTATAAGTACTATCTATATTATAACTATAGTAAAAATTGAAGTGCCGTCTATTTAACGCCTAATTACGCTTAAAAAACTCTTTGAAAAACTTTATTATACGAATTTAATTCGTAGTAACATTGCGACGCTATTAAACCTAATTATTATTTATAATAGAGCGGCCGGGGGTATTAATAGCTATAGGGTTATTAGGGGTAGTACTATTACTATTAAAATTGGAGACTGTACGAATAGAAATAATTGTACTACTATTATTAAAATTAAATATAATATGTACGGGAGTAATTACGCTACTACTAGAATTAAAAGTAATATGAATTAAATTTATCGTACTACTAATACCGGGGCCGGAGGGAGTACGACTATAAAGAATATTCTTTATATATAATATATAATATCCCTTCTACTAGAAAATAGTAATATTATAATATAAAGCGTAAGGAAGACTAATAATATTATTCGGGAGACTATTTTATACTAAACGAATGTATATATACTTAGTAAAATACTAAATAGTACGAATAAAAGTATTTAATTTCTAATAATATCCAACCAAGCTATTTAATATTATAATAATAATTATAAACTAAATAGTATTGTAAGTATTATAAAAACTAATAAGAACGTTTAATATATATTTACTAGTAATATAAATATAAATTGTAATTTAGAAGTCGGTAATTAGAAATAAAATATTAATTAGAAAGGAAGGGCGAGAAAAAGAAAGATACGGAACCTATAGGCAGCCAAAACGAAGTAAATTTTATTAATAATAATCTTACGAAAGGCGTCGGGACCGGTAAGTCTCTTATTAGATTTTAGGACTATAACGAAATTTAAAGTATAATAAAGGTAAAGGATTTTATAAATAATACTATACGAATTAATATAAGGATTAGGAATAATAGAAGGGATAAATATACCGGTTCTAAGGAATTTAAAGATCCGGATTATTATAAAAGATATAAGAAAATATCGCGGGCTTTAAGTAAGCCGGGGCTATGAAATTAGGAGAAGCTATAGAACCTAAAAATACTTCTAAAGAAAAAACCTTAGAGTCGGAAGTAAGGTCGATCGGATTGGGATAGTTATAATTAGAGGAAATTATTTTAGAGGATATTATAATAAAGAAGAAGGAAAGTAGGAGGAAATTAAGAAGGAGTACTATAAGGAGAATTATATAATTAAAGGAGAGGGTTTCTATACTACTATAAATAGGAATAGAATTGAAGGTTAGGAGGTAAAGGGACGCGGCGGAGGTAAATATAAATAGGAATAATAAAGCGGAGGGGTAGGAATGTAAGTAGGAAGATGGATGGAGAAGCGGGAGGAAAGCGGAGGAAGGAGTAGTAAAAATAAAGAAGGAAAAGTAGCGAAGAAAAGCGGCGTTCCTAACTATATCCCTATTATTTTTATTATTTTAGTATTAGGACAATATAGTAAAGGAGGAAACGAAATTAATTAACTATAGCAGTAGGTAAAAACTATTATAATTATAAGCAAAGTAGGAATAGCGTAGGTAAGCTATAACCGAAATAAAGCTAGGGGTTTTTATCCAGCGGCGCTTAACGCCGTACGGTTTTCCCTCCAGAGAACTAAAGAAGGACCCCATGCTAATAAGGCGCTATAGTTATATAGCTAGAGTAAAAGAATATTAATATTATTCCTATTTATATAATATTTAAAACGGATTCTATAGAGGATTTTATCACTAACAACTTCAATAATTCGGCCCGGTTCACTAAATTATTAATTAGCTTCTCAAATACTGACCTTACGCTTGACTAATTAAAGTATTTTAATTAGCATTCCTTTCATTCGTCTCCAATATTTACAAAATCGAAGGAGGAAGACGGTTATAAACTAGGAGATAAAGGGTTCTCTTTTTAAAACTAATTTAAATATAACTAATATAGGGTTAATTATACTAATAAGAAATTTAATAATCTAAATAATAAAGTGGGGTTAAAAAGACTATACCGACTAATCTACTATCTATTAATTATCGACGGATTTAATAGTTACTATAGTCTTAAAATTAAAGAGTATACCAACGCCTTCAATATTATTTTAATAGCTTTACCCCCTCATTTAACCTATATAATACAACTACTTAACATTAGGGTATTCTTATCCCTTAAAGCTTATTACTAGAAAGTATTAAAATAGTTCGTCCAATGAAGAGAATTCAACTTTATACGTACTACGTTTATTAAAAAATTTAAAATTCGTCCCCCTGCTATACCTTCGTATTACCTTCGTACTAACTATATTTCCCCCAATACTTTAATATACCCTTAATAATGATATAATTATATATAATATTAATAATAGGTTCTCTAATACGGAGATGTAGCTAGTCAACCGCACGAGAATCCTCCTATAAATCCGAATAAAGTAGCCTAAAAAATCCAACCCCGCTTTACCCTTATTATTACCTAAAGAGGACCGCTTTCGAGAAGCCACTAGAGTTATTACCTATATTAAAAACAAATACTATCATACTTTCAATTCGCTAATATATAACCGTTATCGCACTACCGAAGTCGTAATCTACGAAGCCCTATTAACGTATAATACTATTTAAGAATATAACCGTTAAAACCGAAAGAAGGCAGCTAACCTCGATTATAAAATAAGGAAACGAATATATAAAGTGCCTGGGGAGGGGGAGGTATTAAGTCTTTTAAAGGGGGATCTTAACTAATAAACTATTGAGAGGTAATAACGAGAGTAGCTAACTGAGGAGAAGAGGTAACTTATAGCCGTTAGATTATATAATAAGAAGATTCAAAAGCAGGTTTATAATAATTGGGTTAAAGACCCGGTCAACGGTAAGGGGAAGGTTATATAGAAAGTCTACCTTAATAATTAGAGAAAGGAGTAGTTAACGGATAGGTATATACCAGTTTATAAGGAGGATATATTTAATGAGAGGAATAAGAAGGGGGATAGGTTATTTATATACAATATAGTAGGTATACTATTGCTAGAAGTCTTTAAGAAAATATAGGGTAACTCCTCTTACTTCTTTTCTAATAATTCAGTTAATATTAATCTACGTAATAATCCTTTTATTATACAATACCCTTCTACTATATTAGAACCCCTATCCTCTCCTCCCCGCCTACTTTCATAGTTTACTATTAAGATTATTGCTGATATTATTCGTTACCTTAATATATAGATAGTCGATACCCTCTTTAAAAGATGAGAGTACTCTAATTAATAACGATGAGGAGGAGGCTAACTATAAGGAAGTTTATGAGGGGGAGAGTGATAGGGATAAGGGGGAGGAGGAGGAGGAGGAGGTTAACTTACTACTACTCTAGTCAATTAACCGCCGTTTCTTTAACCTACCCGCTACCCTTAAACCTTATACTATATAAGCTAGACCGTTAATACCAGCTATCCCCCCTTCTACTCTATTATAGTTATAGTCTTTTGAATTAATACTATATTATAGGGTTATAAAGTACGTCGAAAGTACTATAAGACTTTAAATATAAGTAAGGAAGTAAGCAGTACGTATAAAAATTATACTAGTAACGAGGGAGGCGGTAGTAGAGGAGGTGGTACTAGTACTAGTAGAGGAGGTACTAGCACCCCTAGTAGAGGGCGCGCTAGTACTAGAAAATAATAAACAATAGCTGCAACTCGTTCTTTTATTTACTTACTACCTAATTGAGCAATCAACTGGATTTCTAACAGCTTCTAATAATGTTGTTGTGGTGTGTAATGTGGTGGTTTAGTATAGGGATGGGTCACTTTACTAGTGGTTTACTATGTGGCTTATCCCAGATTAAACGGTTATCCCATTAAAATTTTTCCCCCTCTTTAATAAGAGGGGGTTGAAAAATGGCCCCACACCAGGCCGCCCCCCAACCCCCAAGTATGACAAAGCTTCGCGGTCATCCACCCAGAAGCCCCACAGCCTCGATGACTCGGAGGGTGGCCCAAACTCAAACTCAACTGCACGAGCCGTGCGCATCGCCAGAAGAGCCCAAATGCGGTACCAGTCCACTAGCAACGAGTGTTATCAGATAGCACATGTACGGAAACGCCATCATTCCGCAGTTTCATCTCCAGGCTTCATGTTTGTAAGAAGGGTTGGTCGTGACAGCGGCAACTTGTAATAAGCAAAGTCGTCTAACCGAACTGGGATCATACCTAAGCGATGGTGGAGAAGCATGTCCTCAGTCATCAAATCCCCGCAGATCTCGAAGCTATTACGAAACAATCTCACTGCCAGCCTAGGTAAGCCGGCGAGGTGGACTGGTATTGGCAACACGAGAGCCAATTTCCCAGATTTTCCAACGGCCACATCGATCCTGTTGTCACACAGATGAGGGAGAAAAGAACAAAACGGACAGAATTTTGGAACCCGTCTATGTCTATGCGTTTATAGGAAACCAAAAATGACATCTACCCCAACACATACATCTGCGTGCCTGATTATAATGTGCTTGCCCAATCCCACATTCAGCGTCTATTGATCTGTCTATCGCTCATACTCTCCCATTGCCATCTATATTGCCCTGGGTCGTCGACCTATCTCAGAGCCACATCTCGCCTAGCCCGCCCCTCACTAGCCTCTTAGTTGTGAAGTGACTTCAAGGCGCGACATCCCGGCCCGTCTTGGCACTCTCCCGGAGGGCCTCGATAATCCTGAGCACCTTGGCGGCCTGAGATGCGGGGACGGGGATATCATCTTCGTTTCCAGTCTCGAGAGCCTTAGCAAAGCCCTCGAAGATCTTGGTGTACGTCTCCGGCTCAGTGGTCGGGTACACCTTCTCCTCAATCTTGCCGTCCTCGGTGACATAGCAGAGGCGGCCGTACCGAGACTCGTCCTCCTTGCCGAACCGAGCATCAGTCGCGGCCATGCCTCCCCTGAGCTGGTCCTCCTGTGGGTCCAGGAAAGCCTTCTGGTAGCTACCCTTCGTGCCGCGGATGCGGAAACGCGGCTGCTTGGTCTCGACACTGACAACGCTGATGCGGACATGTACGAGTAAGCCGGTGTCGGCATATGTCAAAACAGCCGCGATGCTGTCCGGCTGCTGTGACTCATCGCTTCCGCCAGTAACAATTCTGCCCTCACGCTGGTCCAAGAACTTGGCCGAGACAGAAGTCGGCATGCCGAAAAGGACGAACACCTGGTCCAGCAGATGGGTGCCGAGATCATACAGAACACCGCCGGCCTGGTCCATGCTGAGCTGACCCTTCCACGTCGTCGGCTTCTCCAGACGGAAGCGATCGAAATGTGTCTCAAACTCGACGATGCGACCGAGTGTGCCCTCACGGATGAGCTTCTGGACAGTCAGGAAGTCCGAGTCCCATCTGCGGTTCTGGTACACGCACAGAACACGCTTCTTCTCTGCGGCCAGGGCGGCCAGCTCCTCCGCCTGTGCAGACGTGGGTACGAATGGCTTCTCAACAAGGACGTGCTTGCCATTGCGCAGGGCGTCGCGCGCAGTCTCAAAATGCGTGTTGGGAGGCGTGCTAATGATGATGACATGGACGTCGGGGTCTGCGAGCATGGGCTCAATTGAGGTGAAGTGCTTCACCGAGGGATGGTCCTCGGGGGCGGAGTTCCCAGGCGAAGGGGACCGTTGCACAATGGAATGGAGGACAAGAGATTCCGTCAGGGCGACGAAAGGAATCTGGAAGACTTTGGCCGAGAGGCTGGAAGCAAACGTCAGTATCGACATTTCCCGTCAACGCGACGCTTGTGATATTGCAACTAGTCTTACCCGTAGCCAATAATGCCGACATTGAACTTGTTCGAGAGCGCCATCGTCAATATTCGGGTCTCGCAAACTGAACAGTAATGAGTAGAGGTAGCTTGTGCTTGTGTTGGGGGGGTAATGTTTCCAAATATATATTTGAGTCAGTTCGAGGAATGACGTGTGCGGGGTTGAACGTCGGTATATATCCACTCCGATATGGGGTGCGCTGCTAGGGTACACTAACAATGTAACGCTTCGGCGTTCTAGGCTATACTAGGGAGTTGATGGGCGGCTAAACGTTGGGTCGCTGGAACCTGCCAAGGACGTAAGCCCCGGGCCTTGTTCGTTGTTAGGTCGCTAGGGACTTACTAGACAGTAAACCCATACTAAACCCGAAGGATGCTAACGGAAATAGATACGAGGGTACGTATAATTACTAAATAGAGTAAGTTTTAGTAAGTTTAATAGTATAATAAAGAAAGTAAGTTATTAAAATAGAGGAAACTTTATTTATATATTTTAAAAACTAAGTATTTATATATATAAAAAACTTTTATTATTTTATATATAATCTAATTAAATATTAGTATTGAGAATAAGAAACTCTACTCGCACGTTGAGAGAACTCCATTTGTACGTAGAAAGAAAAGAGAGTTTTAATATCTTATTTTATATTTCAAATCAGATAGGAAGGACTTACATAATTAATTATATTCTTTTATATATTTTTCTCTACCTAATATTCCAACCTCGAGAAACACTTATTCTTAATAGTTTGAAGAGGCATTAAAGTGAGTACAGAATAATAAGTAGATAATTAAAGGGATTTAATATATAAGAGTTAAGGAACATAGTATTTAAATTATATATTTAAAGTTATTAATTTAGTATTTACCTTTTAAAATCTATTAAAATTTAATAATAAGGAATTCCCAGAATATTTAAATTACCCTACTACTATAGTATTAATAGGAGTTGAGCCCGTAATTACTATTCTACATTATAATAAATTCGGTATAGACGAATTCGTTTTAAAGAACTACAGTTGATCGCAACCTAGCGCTTTTATTAGTAGATAGTATAACTAAGTAAGAACTTCTAATTATAAATAATAATTAATTAAAAAGGAGAATTTATTAGAATTATAATAAATTCTATTTCAATTATTTTATACTTATTCCATATTATATTGGATTATAATACGCCGAATCCAGCTCGCTACCGTCTCGTATATATAAACTTAAAGGAGATACATTCGTTACTTAATACTTACTTTTCTATATTATAGATTAAACTAGTTATAATAACTAAATACTTAATACTTACTTTTCTATATTATAGCTTAAATGAGTTATAATAATTGAAATTAACTAAGTTAGTATAAACGCTCAGTTATTATACTTAATTTAAATCTAAATTATAGTATTTAGGCTACTCTATAGTTTATACTCTAGCTTTCTATATTATATATTTCCTACGTACAAACGGCTCCTTAAAAGCCTTCCTACTCCTTATATTATTTTTCTTCCCTTAATTTATTTACTATTCTAAATAAAGGTTACTCTTTATTTTAATTAATACGTAGTTTATTATCATGTTTTACTTTTCATATAAGTACTTAAATAAATTATATTTGAAAAGGCAAAAGTATATTTACAACCGAATAGAGTTCTCTTAACGTACTAATAAAGTTTCTCTACTTTTAAATATAAAGAAACTTTAAAAAAGAGAATTATAATAAATAAATAGGGAAATTCCTACATTTCTATACATATACTATATTATAACGTAGACTAGCTATAATAGCCTAAATTAACTAGGCTGCTATAGAGGCTCCCTAACTTCCTTACTATACTTAGTTTAGGTATTTAAATTATAGTACCCAGACTACCTTATAGCTTATATTTTAACTCTTTATACTATATATTTTATATATACAAACGGCTAGCTGGAAGCTTTCTTCTTTCTTATAATATTTTCTCTTTTACTTTTTATATTACAACTTGCTTTTAGCTATTATGGTATTTAGAAGCAATCGTCCTTATTATATAACTAACTATATTCTCTACCCCCGTATTATAAATATATTATTAAGGAGATTTAATGAATAAGTGTCACGGGGCGCGAGTAAGCACTAAGCTAAGACTTTAATTATTGTACGAGGAATAGGAAGAGAATCCTATACGCGTACGAGAACTATGTAGGACACGCTGTGGATGCAGTACACGGACCACAGCTAGACCGAGCTACGTAGGTACGTAACTATTGTACTATACTCAGACAGCTGTACAGCTGGCTACACCACTACAGTGTAGCACCCTTCTATATATAGGAATATAGTAGCAATGCCTGTGATCATAAGATATTTAAGAGAATATTTTTTAAAGAGAAATAAATTTAGTATTTACTATTTAAAACTCTTTAGAGATTGATAGATGATTTACTACTATCTTTATAATTTTAAATTAGAATTCTACTAAGTTATATTAATAAAAGTAAAAGTAGACTACTATATAAATAAATAGTAGAATTTATTACTACTAATATATTTTTATATTAGAATTGTATTATATTATATTAATAAAAGTAAAAGTAGATTACTATATAAATAAATAGTAGTAAATATATAATTAAATATTCTCATAAAGATTAAATATAATAATGATAAACTTTTATATTATTTATAAAGGAATTCCTAGAATTTTTAAATTACTCTACCTTCTTATATTATAATTTAAACTAATTATAACAACTTAAATTAATTAAGCTGCTAGAGGCTTTCTAACTATACTCAATCTAAATATTTTAACTACTATACCCAGGCTACTCTATAGCTTATAGTTTAGCTTATTATATAGTATATTTATTGTATATAAACGGCTAGTTAGGACAGCGTCCTTTCTTTTTATAAATTTTCGTTTTTTAATTTTATTTACTACTTGTTATAAATAGAAGTTACCCCCTATATTAATTATTAATAATTTAATAAATACTACCCTTCAAATTGCCTTTCCCTTAGAGGACGTGCCTACCCTGTAACTACCATTCAACCTACGCTTTTACAAAGCAAAAAACTAACTACTACTAATATTCTTTTATACAATATACAATAAATAATAACTATACTCAAACTCTCTATCTTATTATTATCTTTTATTACTACCTTTACCAACTCAACCTTTTTATTAACATATATTAACCGTTACATATCCTCCTTACCTATATTACCAAAGCCGCTCAATACTCTACCTACCCACCTTACCTTTTTCTTTTTTTTCTTTTTTTTTCCCACTGCCAACTAACTACCAACCTTTACCCAACCGTTTACTTAAGACTATATATCAACTTTCCTATCTACTTACTTACTTCCCAACACCCTCTTTATATACAAAGCACCTCCACCCTAGCTATAATCCTAATTTAACTACCTAAAAGCATCTACTTATCTTACAAACTTCCTTCCTAAAGGATTAAAAAGAAAATAGGAAAAAAAGGAAAGGAAAAAGTATCTACTAGTAAATAGAAAAAAGAAAAATAAATAAAACAAACTAAGTTAAAAAGTAAAAAGAACTGAAAAAAAGTAATAAAAAAAAGAAAAAAGACATACTCATAAGGAAATATACATCTATGTAAATATACAAGTCTATATTTAACCAAGAAAGTACTAAAAGAACCTTCTTTAATATTAAAAGTGTAAAAATTTACAATTATTAACAAAGGGGGAGAGAAAACTACTTGATACTAAAAGAGAAAAACGTCCTAGAGAGGTTAAAAACGAAAAAGAAAGAAGAAAAGGAAGGAGGAAAAAAAGGAAGAGAAGAAAGAAGAAAAAAGAAAGAAGAAGAAAAAAAAAGGAATCAAAAGGAGGGGGAGAAGAAGGAAAGAAAAAAAGAAGAGAAAGAATAATAAAGAAGATTTCGGTAGGAAGAAAAAAAAAAGGAGAAAATTTTTCGCTCCCCCCCCTAAAAACTAATCCATTCCCGGCCCAAGTAGCCTACCTACCGCCTCGCCTACCCAGAAAATAAAAAGACAGCCTCCCCCTATATACTATTACCTCACGTAAAAATACAAACCCGTACAACCTTTTCCCACCTACCCTACTACGTTTTTTAAATAAAAAGTTACAAATACCTTTACTCAACCAACCTAACCTCCAAACTCCTTCCTCCTCCTTCTACCACGTAGCTTCTTCCCTTACCTACCCCCTCCTACTACCACCCCACCCTTTCCTCAAACAAGCCCCTCCCAATAGAAGCTAGAAGGCAACCCCCTAGCCCCCCAAAACCTCTCGGTCCTTCTTGCCTACCCTGCACAGGCCCTCGCCCCTGCCTTCCCGATACGGCTACCATCTACACAAAAAATCAATGCCCAGACGCGCTTGCCTACCCTTCACACCTAACCCGCCCGGACGCACTCGCCTACCCTCTCTTCTCTACGCCACCTTGTACAATTCGAACGCGCTTGCCTACCCTGCGCCGCACCCAACCCGGTCGCGAATGCATTCACTTGTCCAGAACTGCAAGCTTGCCCAAAATTGCTCGCCTACCCGGTCGCTCCTGCCCCGCCGCCGCTCGGTCGGTCGCTCTTGCCTACCCTATCTACCGCAGCCACCAAGACTTGCAAAGGCCGCGGCCGCG